GAACGGTAAATAGCAATTTTCAAACGGTAAAAAGCAAATCCCATTAAATATTCATCGCAATCCACAATTCCTTTCATTGAAACTCGAAAGCTTACGTGTCATTAGGTGAGCCTACGTGGCAGCCGTGAAATTCGCGCAGATCTCCTAGCCGTTTTTTCGAACACGTGTTGAGACCTCATCAACATGCAGAAAATACATTTTTCTGCCACCCGTCTCCAATTTCTCTCGGTTTAAATAAACCTCCAAATAAAGCCATAAAATTCACTCCTTCGAACTTTGTGATTTTAGTGAAGCAATAGTTCGTTTTTTTTTTAAATTTCGAAAAGGAATTAAACAGAGAAAAAGAAAAATTTGAGATCTGAGCAAATGGCGGATTTACGAGATGAGCACGGGAATCCAATTCAGCTAACCGATCAGTACGGAAAACCGGTTCAGCTTACTGATGAGTTCGGAAACCCTATGCACATCAAGGGCGTCGCCACCACCCACACCGAGGGTTTCGGTACAGCCGCCGGCCACACTCACACCGAGGGTTTCGGCACCGCCGGCCACACTCACGCCGAGGGTTTGGGGACTGCCGGCCACACCCACACCGAGGGTTTGGGGGCCGCCGCCAGCCATACGGCGGGGGTGGGGGCGCCGCTGTACAGTCACGAGCCGCCTTCTGCTGAGCCAAAGCCGCTGCAAGAGCAACTCCGTCGCACTGGCAGCTCGAGCTCTAGCTCTTCGGTCAGTTCAATTAATTCCAAATAATTTACTTTCAAATTAACGAAGATATTATATATATATATATATATATGTGTACTCAATTATATTTATTAATTGTGGATCTGTAAATAATTAATGAAAATAGTCGGAGGACGATGGGCAAGGAGGGAGAAGAAGGAAGAAGAAGGGGCTGAAAGAGAAAATAAAGGAGACGTTTGGGGGTGGGAAACACAAAGATAAAGATGAGGCCGCACACAGCGCACCAGCACCTACTGCTGCTACTACTACTACCACATACCAAAGCAAAACTTCGACAACTGTTCCTGGGGAGCATGAGAAGAAGGGCGTTTTTGAGAAGATCAAAGAGAAGCTACCCGGCCACCATAACCACTAAACAAATTTAAGAGGTGTTTGATTGTATTTTGGAATATAATAATATATAGTTACAGTTTCATGTGTACTACTGTGTATTGTGTGTTTAATTTGGTTTGATTTTGTTGTATTGTTTCATTTGGATGAAGCTGCAATATGTTGTATTATTTTGTTTGATGATTCTGCATGTTGGTTTTAATATGTTGTTACTGTTTATTATAATGGATTTTGCATGTATGGTGTTCCTACTCGTTAGTACTTTCTGTGGTTTGTATATCTACTCTTTTTTTAACTATTCATATCTAAGAAATACGTATATATATGTGTGTGTGTGTACACGAAATAACTGATATTAAAAAAAAAAAAGATGGAATTTTTGTGGAGAGGTTGTGTTAGGGGTGTAGACTTGTACAGTGTAGATGAGTCGAGCTGGAGTCCAATTTGATGAGCTTTAGCTCATCAGAGTGTTATATTTTGAGCTCGGGATTGAAAAGAAGTTTTATATTTTGAGCTCGAGTGAGCTCCTGAGCCAATTTTGTGCATTTTTTTTATTAATATTATTAGTTTTTTATTATTATAAATTATAATAAAAAAATATGAAAACATGATCTGTAATTTATTTTTTAATTATTTATATGAATTTATTTTGAATTTTATATTAATTATATTCACAATAAAAATAAAAAAGTAAATTGAAATTAAATAAAAAAGCTCTCGAATTTAGGAACAACTAAGAATAGTTCGGATTCGGTTTGTCAGAAAGTTTAAAAAACTTGAGGTCCGATTTGAGCTTTTGTCGAGCCGGTTTATCGAGTTCGTAAGCCAGCTCATGAAATCATTTACATGTCTTAGTTCGGATTTGGCTTGTCATAAAGTTTGAAAAACCTGATGTCCAGTTTGAGCTTTTACCGAGCCGGTTCATCGAGTACTTCATGAACCAGAAGAATCAAGTATATTCTTCCTTACTAGCAAAGGCAAACTTAGTAGTTCGGTGCAAAAAGACTTGAGAACAAGTCATCGCGTATTTGAGTGGATGCACCACAGCATAAAATCCACTTACATGTTGTATCATTAGTTGATACCTCTACTTGATAAAAAGCCAATGTAGTGGATAGCTACTTACAAACCACAAGTGTTGTAAGTTGTGATTATCTCATTCTGCACTCCCCAAACGTGGGAACTTTTACTAGCTAGTTAGTTTATTATTTTTTATACTTGTTTCATAAATTAAAGCAATTGTAATTTTATGATTCGAAATTAGCATCTCTAATTAACCATGTATATATACATTTGATGCATGAATTATGTGAATTTGAATAGTAGATCTACATATAATCGCACACATCTATCTGCATGTGTGTTTAGTGGGTAGTTATTTAATCAAATATATCATCTGTTGACTGTTGTAGATAATCACGTGTAGCAACTAATTCCTCATGAATTGATATATTATAGTTTTCATCCCTCAAGTTTACACTAATTTCATATTTCATCCTTCATGTTCACAGAAAATACATTTTGTCTCTCATGTTTCAGTAATTTAACACTATTGGTTATTTTCATCTGCTACATGTTAATCCATCAGTTAAGGCAGTGATGGACACACGGTAGATTCCGTTAGTTTTAATGGAAAAATGACGGAAATGACTAAGAATGTTGAATTTTTAAAACATGGGGGACCGAATGTGGAATTTATGCAAACTTAACGGGTGAAAATTGTAATTTTCCCGTTTTTTTTGTTGATGCTATACTGCTATTTGCCTATTTCTCTGTTCTCCGCTTTTATATTTTATTTCGTGGATCCGACGGTGGAAAAACACGTCAGCCTCCGCCACTCTCCCTTCCTTTTTCTCTACCACCGCCGCCCACTGGCCCGGAACACCACATCACACACACAGTTCATTGTGTCTCTGTGCGAACACGTCGCTCTCGCTCAGTCATTTTTCCCGCCTATATAATCACCCCATCCTCAATGCAAGCACCGCTTCTCCAAATGCACGCCCACTTCTCTCACTCCAACTTTCTCTCTCTAAACCCCCGCCGAACCCCTGCCGTCTCCTCTCCGCCTGCGTTTCCTCAATTTCTCTTCTCCGACCGGAGTAGTTTCAATTCAGCCCTAACTTTCGGATCAATTCAATTGAATTCAGTTAAAATGACTTCTGTTAATTCTTCTCTCTCTAATGGCAACAGCTGCGGCAATCAAGCGATTGCCCTGGGATTGGACAGTGTTGAACTCGACCGCTTCGCGGACGTAGGAAACCAGCTCGCCGACGCCGCCGGTGACGTCATCCGTCGGTACTTCCGCAAAAGCTTCGACATTCTGGATAAAGAGGATTTAAGTAAGTCTTCCGATTTTATTTTTTTTACTTTAATTTTTTGTTTTCAAGTTAGTTATATTGAAGTGTTCAAAGTCTCCTTGTTCTAGAATGATTATTTTGTTGGTTTTCGCTGTTGTCTGGATTGATTGATTTTCTGTTGGAATTAGGTCCTGTTACGATTGCTGATCAAGCTGCGGAGGAGTCGATGGTGAAAATTATTGAGGAGAATTTTCCTTCTCATGCCATGTGAGCTTTATACAATAGAATTTTCCTTCTCATGCAATGGTGCAAACAATTGTTGATTTATTTTGGTGTTTTGAGAAAATCATTAGAAATTGATTTGATTTATTAAGAGAACCGAAAGCTTCGCCATCTTGATGAATCTGCTTTTCCATGAATTCAGATTTTTATCTTTTTGTCGAAGCTGGTGATTGGTGTATATTTATTTTCAGATTGTTATCTCATGTATGAATTGGTGCTAGTTTCAGTTCATGCGTGAACATCACACATATATAAATAACAAAAAATACGTGAATGAATAATATCCATGTCAATTTTGTTAATTGTATCCTCCCTGCAACGTGTTCCTCTGCATATTTTTCTTAAATTTCTGTTTGTATTCCTCATTTAAGTTATAGCGACGGATACATCTAGTACATAAATAAATGCAATTATATAACATGATGATACTCCATATGGAATTAATGTATTTGAAATGACCGTGTGACAGGGAAAAACAAGTAATACGAGACATGTATGGCATATTTGGATATATATATGCATAAAATTCATTTGTCTTTATATGTATTATTTTGGACAGAGCTGAATTCAATTTTCATCTCCTAAAAGTTGTACTACGATTGAAGATGTATTATGTTCTCATTTTCATCAATTTGTTTAGCTTATTTAATGTATAATTGCAGTTTCGGAGAGGAGAATGGATGGAAGTGCAAAGAAGATTTTGCGGACTTTGTTTGGGTATTGGATCCGATAGACGGCACAAAAAGTTTTATTACTGGTAATATATCTATGTTCTTTGTCGCTCTATGATTAAGTATGAAGCTTTGCCTAATACCTGATTAATTGTTTTATTCACAGGGAAACCCTTGTTTGGAACACTAATTGCCTTACTCCACAAGGGTAAACCGGTACGGATTCCGGCTGCTTATTGCATTCAAGAAGGCTATAAAGAGAATTCTGAATGTTCTGTGTTTTTTTACCTTTTTGGACTCATTTTGAAATGCAGTTCAATTATTTTTCTCTTTTTTATTTGACCAGATTCTTGGCATTATTGACCAACCTGTCCTGAGAGAAAGATGGATTGGAATAAGTGGCAAGAGAACTACCTTGAACGGGCAGGAGATCTATACACGCAACTGTTCACAACTCTCGAAAGCCTACCTGTATGTTCGTCCTGTTTTAACAAATATCATATTCTTCAGAAAAATATTCATAATAAGTTGATATAAATTATGCTATGTGCAGATTTTTTGTTCTGAATGTTGTTCGTCTGTAACATATCTTATGTTTTTTCTGTTCCTCTTTTTTCCATTCTTTTCTGGTATGGTGTTGGGGTCTCTTCAGGTACACTACTAGCCCACATTTATTTAGCGGGGAGGCTGAAGTGGCTTTCGCTCGAGTAAGAAGTAAGGTATGTCCACTTGATATTGCCACGGTTTTTTATTTTTATTTTTTTTATATATAAACATGTTGTTGCTAAAAGTTTGATATGTATAATTCAGCCGACTTAAAATATGTATGACGTATAAGTGTAAAAGTTTGATGTGTATAATTCAAGTTTATAAGATTCTGATATTCAATTTGTTTGGTTTCGCAGGTCAAAGTGCCACTATATGGTTGCGATTGTTATGCCTATGCCCTGTTGGCCTCAGGTCATGTAGACCTTGTGGTTGAGTCTGGCCTCAAGGTGAGATCCGTCTTTTTTGCTATATTATGTTATTAACATACTACAAGTAAAATTAATGTATCTTTTAGTCACGTGCTTCTTTTGAAATACAAACTGTTTAATCAAAATTATTACCTAATAGTGTAGGAAATAAGAAATTCTCCATTTTATGCATAATTCATTAGTTTTTACCATTTATTATAGTTATAAATTATAATACTTCAGCCACAAAGACAAGATCTTGTGACTCATTTGGTGAAATCTCAACTGCTAAACACTCATACTATTGTGGCAGTCGTATGCGTATTTATGATCTCTCATTGACCTTTTTTTTCCAGCCATACGATTTTCTTTCCCTGATACCTGTGATCGAAGGAGCTGGTGGAGTTATAACGGACTGGAAAGGGCATCAACTTTATTGGGAGGCTTCTTCTAAAGCAGAAGCAACTAGTACGATTTTCATGCGACTTAAATCATCACTCATTCAATGAAAAATTGATTTTTCAACCATATCAGTTATAACTATTCAATGTACTTTCATATCATGTGTTAAACGAGCCTAACATCTTATTTTCCCTTTCTTTTTTACTTTTGTTTTCAGGTTTCAATGTAGTGGCAGCAGGGGACAAAGGGGTTCATCAAGAAGCTCTAGATTCACTACAGTGGCAATAAGCCAATAATGCTTGCTTTTTGCATACGCACCAGAAACGGAAAATCCTGTTGTGATTCGTCTCCTCTTAACTTGATAGCTCTTCATTGAAGAAACAACCATCGGGAACAATTGAAGACGTCAAAATTTATAATGCATGTGATTGAATAGCTTAATTATGTAGAATGGCTAATTTTATTTCTCTTTTCGTTTTTCCAGCTCTGTTTGCATAGTTACAACATGAAGCGGCAAACATGAATGAATATCTTTTGTTTTGCACGAATGAAAACTCATATCAGCGGTTTATAATTCGACACAGATAACGGTTTCACAGTGGCATTATTTAGAAACAAACAGATTATGTACATATACTGTAATAATTCATCTCTTGTACTCTGAGATTGAAGACTTCTTAAGCATTTCTGTTTAAAGAAAACACTCATCGTTCACATTGTTGAAAGACGCATCCTAACAAATTTTAACAAGTTTGTTCCGATTGCTAAAAGTGATTTAAAAGCGTCCGATCTGATGAAAGGATAATGCGCCATGTCCATCAAAGGGGAGGCTCCTCTCTCTATTCCTTTCCGAAATCAGTGCTATAGTGAGCAGTTGATTCAAGCTTCTTCGCTTCATTCAGCTTCCTTACAGCCTGGAACATTTTCAACCACGAGAAACTCAACAAAAGACTAGGAGCAAAATAAATCTGTCAATATGCAAAAATCAAGACGAAGTTCCGTACGTGTGTGATTTTGTCAAATATAACAGAATTATGTGTGCAATTTATAAATAGTTAACTCCGTTAATAGCTACAAGGCAGGAGTGTGAAGTACATCTATAATCTATCCCATCAATCCTAACTAGCTTTAAAAGAATGAACTAAAAATAAAATATGGATCAACTATGATCAATTAGGTAAATTGTGATTGATAGTCCCTTTGAACTGTTAAGTGAAATATATCAAAACGCAAGAAAAAAAATTTACCTTCATGAAATCCTCATGAATGACATAATCACGCTCTGCTCGTATCGCTGACATACCAGCTTCGGTGCAGATATTACGAAGGTCAGCCCCATTAAATCCCTGAACAATGCAACATATCAATAGAAAAAAAAGGTTCTAAACAATCTTCACGAAGGATATTAAAACAGCAGTTTTAGCTAACCTCAGCAAGTTTAACAACGGCCTCATAATCAATTTCGCCATGTTTGGCAATCCCTGCAGCATGGATTTTGAGAATTTCCAATCTTGATTGTTCATTAGGTAATGGTATTTCTATTTTCCTGTCTAAACGACCAGGACGAAGAAGCGCAGGGTCCAGAACATCGGGTCTATTTGTTGCCATTATCATTTTAACCTGCAGTAACAATTTAAATCACAACACCATCCACTCAAGCTATAGTATGCATGCAAGTCTATAAAACGATGCCCGAATCTAAGCAAATATATTTATATATATTTTTTTTAATTTAAGAATGAGAATGAACAAGACCTTGCCAAGCTGGTCAAACCCATCTAGCTGGTTTAGCAACTCCATAAGTGTCCTTTGAATTTCACGGTCAGCACTTGTTCCCTCACTGAAACGACGCCCACCAATGGCATCAATCTCATCCATAAAGATGATGCAGGGCTACGTAGAACAAAAAAATGGTCTTCATTAATGTCAATCCAGAGTAAAATATCAAATTATCATATCTCATTTTGTAAGGAAAGGAAAAAAAAAGTTGTGTATAATACTTACTTGGTGATCACGGGCATAACTGAACATTTCCCTGATCAGTCTTGCACTCTCACCTATATACTTATCGATAATAGCACTTGATACAACCTGCACAGACACTTTTTGTAAGAATCAACTCCTATGATATGAAGGCTATGTAAGATTTTTTGGTATTTTCCCACCTTTAAGAAATTGGCATCTATGTTACTAGCAATTGCTCTGGCCAACAATGTCTTGCCAGTTCCAGGAGGCCCGTAGAGAAGTACACCCTGAAACAGGAAAACACAGTTGCTAAAAAACGAAAAGATGAAAAACTGAAAATCACCTAAGTGCTCTTTACATAATGTTACCTTTGGAGGTTTGATGCCAACTCTTAGGAAAAGTTCGGGATTCATAAGAGGTAATTCTATAGATTCTCTCAGTTCTCGAATTTGATCGGACAGCCCACCCACAGCGGAATAACTAACATTTCCAGGATCTTCGTGAAGCATATTATACACAACAGGATCTACCTGCAGTAAACATCAAAATAACTATTCCATCAACAATTTTTTTTTTTAAGAATCAAAATTGTGAGCCATAACTAGTTAAACCCAAACATTAGGTGTTGAGGACAACTGTTTACCTCACGAGGGAGTGCTCGCATAATTGTCAGTGTTGTCATATCAAGAACTACCCTGGTGCCTGCTGTTAGTTTTTCCTTGTCCACTTTATTGCGGCACCCAACTACATATCTCGGGCCACTGCTGGCTTTCACAATCACTAATATAGCGGAAGACAAAGATTAATTTAAAAAACAAAGACAAGAACAGCAACTAGTGACAAATTATCAGTCACCTAGCGTATGATAGGAAACCAAATAACTTGTCTAAGCACTACTAAGGCAGGACTAATGCGATTGGTCAATGAGTAAACTTTAAATAAAGACAGGTGTTTCTCCATTGGATAATCCATCTAGTTCTTCATAATTTTACCAAATGCAAACGTGAATTTTAAATATAATGGATAACATGGGAAAAAACTACTAAAAGTCTACTAGATTGATACTGGCATACTGCACATATTTTAATCATAAGGAAAGAGAATAAATGTCTCATAGTGTGTATTTAAAGAAGATGAAGAGTAAACAGATGCCTTACAGCGTTCATTATCGAGAGGCCTCAAAACTTCGCCTATGATCTGTCCAACACTCTGGAGAGACTTGAGATCATCTTCTGTTTTAGCATATTCCTTCTTCTTAGCTCTTAAGTTCTCCCTTACTGTACAAATCAGATATTTCCGATTTAGTCTTAGCTCATGGTATATCATACTCCAAGACAAAGGCAAATTGTATGTGATAAGGCTAAGTTGCTATGGTAAAAGCTACATAGTTCAGATCTATTATTTATGAACCAAATTAATGGCACTAAAAGTATAGCAGAACAATAAAAATCAACATATCACGACACTAAAACAAATCAAGTTATTTCCAGAATAAAGGAACAACCAACTCCAATATATAGAGATGAAAACATGGTAATTAGAAAACGTATCATATTGCTGAATCTTTATTACAAAATATTTACATCAACAGAACACACGATTAGGAGTGTAACATAAATATATTTATCTCCCTGCGTGAAGCAAATGCTAACTCTCACCGAGTGATGACAGTTAAATTCAAAACATTAGTGACACTGAGCTACAACCAAAATTTGATATCTAAAACCACTGTTCCAAAAAAAAATTAATGCAGCTTCAATTCCACTAAAATCTCATATATTCTATCAAACAAATAAGGTAAATATGCAGCTTCAAGTTAGAAAAACCTAGAACACAATATCATCCGCCATTTATCTTAAATCAAAGCTCTTCGTACATGCAATAACTCCCTAACAACACAAAACTAGATTCCTGAATTTCAATAAATCATCTCTTCAATCAAACTTATACAGAATACACTAACTAGAACCACAATTAATTAAGTAAACAAAAAAACCACAAATCACAACATAGATCTCGAACTTTCAGCGATTGGATGATAGGTCAGCTAAACGGCACCGATACAAATCAAATTCAACATATTAAGTAAAGTCTAAATAAATAATCGATTACCAGATTGAACTCGGCCTCCGAGTTCTTTGTGATTTAGGAGTTTCTTCCGATAATCAGAAACGGCCGTCTTCCGGCGAGCAGCATCGTCGTTTTCGCTAGACATTGGCTTTTGGTCCTCCTTTTTTCTTTTTCAAATTGTTCTGAGTAAATTCTTTCGTTTGATTTTATTTTTGATTTTTGAAAAGGCAGCGACTATTTGCAAGACGAAATTTACTTAGTGCAAGACCAATTTAAATTTTTTTATTAAATTCAGTATAAAAAGACTATAATAACCTTAATAAAATACGAAAAAAAAAAATTATTTTATTAATTTTCTTTTGCAAGATCAATTTAAAAAAAAATTAATAAAACAAAAAGAAAAAAGAAATTGAATTGACAAAATCAAAACGAGGAGGGAAGATTGAAGAAAACAAAAAAAATCAATTGCACCAAAAAACCGTTCGTCGCCCCGTCGCCCGCCGCCCCGTTGCCGTCGCCCCGTCGTCGTCGCCGTCGCCGTTGAAGTCCACCGCCGTCGCCCGTCGCCGTTGAACTCCGTTGTTGCCCCAACCCCGCCACAACAATCTCACGAAAAACAAGTAAAAATTACTTTTTGAATTAACTTTTTTTTGAGAAATAAATGTGATAAACATGATTTTATTGTTAGAATAATGAATTCAAGTCGTTTTAGAACATAGTTGATGATTCTAGGGTTCGATTGTAGCACTATTGTTGAAGGAGTTGCGGTTTTACAAAAATCGACCTGTACTTGTCGTTTTTTTGGAAAATTTTCGACACACTGGCGTCGAAATATCCGCTTAATATCGACACCAGAATGTCGATAATTTCAATATAATTCGACAGTTAATGAGTGTCGAATTATTTTGACATTTTCGACACTGCAGTGTCGATATAAAGCTGATATTTCGACCTGTACATGTCGATTTTTTTGTACGTGAAATGAGGTGCGAAAAACGAGAAAAACGATCACAAAGTACAATAGTTCTTACCTCTTTGTGTTCTTCGACCTTAGAATCCTCCATATTTATGTCTTGTGTATCCATAATGTCCTTCTTTTCAAGTTTTAGTAAGATTTGAGGGTTTTATGTGATAAGGGTTTTGAAGAATATGGAAGATTTTTTTGTGGAAAAAAATGTGTAAAATGAGGGTGAAGAAGAAGATGTTGGTGTTTTGTTGGGTAAGTGGGTTCCCTCTCTTTTTTCTTTCTTTTTTATTCTTTTTTTTGTATTTTTTTTTGGTCTTGCAATAGCAATTAACTTAATTTAAATTAATAATATCTAAATTATTATTGGGGTTATATTTGTAATTTCCAGTCTTGATCTTAGTAAATTTATTTATATTTTGGTCTTGCATGAAGTAAGGTCTTGCACTTAGTAATTTTCGTCTTGCAAATATCTGCAGCCTTTTGAAAATGGTTTGCATTCAGCTTGGTAGCGAAGCAAGAGATATTTTCCGCAGTTGAATTTGGGCCTAATTTGTAGTAGGCTTTGTGAGGTGTCCATTGGGCCCATTAAGCTTTGCTTCGTTACGGAAAACAACTTTTATTAAAAAAATCGATTTTATTGTCAAATTAGTTTTAGACCAACTGTGAGTTGCTTTGTTAAAATGTATAAAATACTAATAATAAATTAATAATTCCAAGAGTATATAAATTGCTCAATCTTTTTTTTTTTTTGAGTAAATTCAAGTCCATTACAAGGGGAAGTAGGGGAGGGGGGGACTCGAACCCTAGACCGTTACCCTATTGGTAAAGGCTAGGTACCAACTCTCCTAATGATGGTTGGTATATAAATTGCTCAATCTTCGGTTAATTGAAAGTGGGAGAATAAATAAGAGGGAAAAAATTAAGTTTTCATCCCTGAAGTTTGAACCAATTTCATATTTGGTCATCCATGTTCACAAAAAACACATTTAGTCCCTCATATTTCAATAATTTAACATTTTTGTTCATTTCCATCAATTTACCGTTAGTAAAGGCACGCTCTTGATTCCGTTAGTGCTATCGAAAATTTGAAGGAAATGACTAAAAGTGTTGAACTTTTGAAACATGATGGACCAAATGTGTTTTTTTTTAAATGGGGTACCAAATGTGAAACCGGTGCAAACTTGAGGGACTGAAACTGTATTTTTCCCATAAATAAGACAAAACATGACATGGCAAATTAAGCAAACACAATGCTAACACACATACTTCTTTCCCTAATCCCCAATTTTCTCAGTACACAGACCATAGCACTGACATTTACATTGTTAAATCCCACCTAATTTAATAACTTAGAATAACATCTGGACAAAAAACTGAAGGCTCCTAAAAGAAAGATGTCTTAAATTACAGCCACCAAAAATAGAATCACCGTTTTCTCTGTATTCTAAGACCGAGTTAGAGTGAGAAGTACTCATCAGAGTTAAATTAAACGAAAAATAAACTAACTACGTTTCGATTTTCTTCTTGCTATTTCCCAAACTGCCATCATCGAGCATGACTACATCATTGTTACCATCAACATCTTTTCTTTGAATCTTTGTATCTTTGGCAACAGATGAAAAATCAGAAGTAGCAGCACTTGAAAGATCGGATATCTTCCTTTTCTTCCCACCAGGTTGTGTTGGAATGATTTGCAGATCATCGTCTTCTTCGGTCATTAAGGAAGTAGCTTGAGATACACCAGAGGTGCTGGCACCATTTTCAGTGGTAGATGTGCTGCCATTCTTCTCTGCTGCAAGAGCAGGTGTCCAGCCAGACAGAATCATTCCATCGGGTTCCTTCTCCTCGTCGAATTCCTCCCTGTAAATATTTAATTTATGATTAGAAATTGAAAAAATCTGCTTTCATACAGATAAGAAATTTTTTTATCCTTAAGCAAAATGCCTATAAAAATGTCAGTTGATCGGGTCATGGATTCACTCATTTGTTAGTTCGATAAGAAAATGCATGAGGAAATAAAGACGAAGGAAATGGAATAGGTCAAAACATTAAAACATTGCCTTAATAGTTAAAACATTAAAAAAAATTATATCAGATCGCAGGTAAAATTACTAGTTTCATATCCATTTGCATAACTAGAAATCATTAAACAATCACCTTTCTTGAGCTACAAAATTAAAAGAAAGACAAACCTGTGTTTAATATTAATGCTGCACTTCAGCTCTTGTTGGAGATCCTCAACAGTAAGAATTGTTCCACCCATTACCGGAGAAGGAAGCTCAGATAATACCTAACACAAAATGATCAACCTTTTCAAGAAGAAGCAAACTACACTTAATAAATATGCTAACACAGTTGAAAAGAAGAGACAACCAACCTTTTCGAGGTTTGCTGCATAGTTGGCAACCTCATCTTCCTCGAGATCATCACCAACCTCATAGAGAAGGGCTGAACCATGCATGATTAAAGGCAAATTCATGCCAAGCTTTGCTTTCACAATCTTGTCAACAAGGTCCCTCAACTTTGAACGATGCGCATTTATCTCAAGGGTCAAAGGTGTCTAGTTGCAAACACATGCCATAGCATTAAACAACAGTTGTGCAAAAATGTATAATGCCGTCTATTTAGTCAAGACAATGAAAATTCCAAAAAAGAAAAGGAGAAAGAAATTTAAGGGAAATAAAAAAACCTCGGAGCAAACATAACATGACTTGTTTGGCTCGAATGGCTCTACTGGCATAAGAAGCATCTTCCTTGAAGGATGTTCCAGACAATAAGTCATCCTACACATAAAAGAGCCTATAAAAACGAGAACTAAAGAAAGCTAGAAAATATAATTGTTCCAAGTTTTTGGTTAGTTAGGAAAAGGATGTTGTTCTATCAGTCTTGTCACATCGATGTAGTTAATCAGGAAAACAGGATTCCAGTAACACCAAGGAAATATCCTCGCGTTAAAAGAGAAATGAAAAGGGGAATCTATAGCCGAGAAATTAGGAAGTTCCAGAGTTGTAAGATAGATGAGAAATGTTAACTAATTCAAAAGGAAAACAAACAAGTTAATATTCAACTTATTTATAGGTTTTCTTAAAATACAAAAGGAAAAACAAACAAATAAAACATCAAAATAATGAGTAGGCAATGCATAGGAGCAAATGTTTGGTGTAGCAAGTATGAACCACCTGTAATTTTTAGTATCACTCTGCAGAATCTTAATAGCCTCGATCACAATCAACCCAGCAATGATGGCATTTGTTGTGGCAACAGCATGTATAATATTACCAGCAATACCTTTGGACTCAAAAAGGCTATGCAAAGGGATGCCAAATGAAGAAGCTCTGATATTTGCGGCAGCAGTAACAAATTCTACAGCCAACTGATCGTCTTTGTCAAAACTTAAGTTACCAATCTCCTGAAAATGGAAAAATTAGATACCAGCTACAAACAGGAATCAGGTGACCAGTAATATTGAGATTTTCTAAATAATTTCATTCTCAAACCTTTTCTCGTTTTGAAAAGAATAATTTCAGAGCCTCAAGAAACACAGCTGAGTTCTCATTTAAGCTCCAAAGATCCTGTGGATTTTTCAGACCCATAGATGCCATTGCAGAAACTGATGAAATATCTCCTCCAACTGAAATTTTAGCCTGGTTTCCATTCTGATGAGGAAGCTCAATAGGAGATATATCTTTGCTATAAATAGGCCTTGGCTTGTGACGATTTTTCCACGTATCTTCGTTTGACAATGCTAACTCAATGTTATAACCAAAAACATGATCAAATATCTTCTTCCCATATAGTTCAATGTCTTCATTGTTTTTGCGTTCAAAAACATCTTCAGTTTGTTGAGACGAGCTGGAAGCATCACTAGAACGCACATTCAGATCATTTTCCTGATTTTTGGCCCCAAATAGTTTTGCAAAAAGCAGGTCCTTCGCCCATACTATACAGTGGACGAACTGCAATAATAAAACAATATATGATAATAATTTAGCTAAAAAATCAGGCGGGTAGAATTCTGTAGTACTGTAATACTGTAAGAGAAACAATATATTTTCTCGGTAACTGCTACCAACTGCTCTCACTAAAAAATGCTCTCTAAATTACCACAATAAGCAAAGTGTGGTCAAATATCCCCCAAAAAAAAAAACATCTGAACTCCTAATAAGTTTCTCCCAGGCGTGTAACTACCAAAAGCATCAGTCTCGCAAAAAGTTCCATGTTGTTGACTCAAATATTAATTTCAACAACCCTCTCATATAGCTTCAATCTACTTAAGCAACAAAGAAATTTTAAGTCTCCTGTAGTTAATAACCAGGTACATGAAAATTCTGGCGCAGTTTTTTTTGAAATAGAGGTCCCTAACACAAGACGTGAAAAAATAAGCATATATGTTTTGTATACCTTTGATGGTGTACTTGTGATAGTACAAACAGGGTAAGTTTTTGGAGCTGGCTTAGGCTGGCATTCATAACATTCCGATTTACCCTTCACGTGAACAGTTACCTGCCTCCAACAATTCAAAAATAATAATGGTTTTATGAAACTTTCAACAGTAAATTACGGACATGGATAATTCAATAGAGATGCAGGAAAAATAATCTCGTTAAAGAGTTTATCAGGATAATCCAACAAGTAAAAGTGGAAGAATCATCCGCTTCATGACCTAATTACAAAAGCAGTGAAGTGCAATCTTTGCAAGTGAAGGGAAAAACAGCATTCTTCAATGTTGAATACTCTAATGGAATCACAATGATAGCACAAAATAAACATATATTGCCAATAAATTCTTACAAGAAAACACCACCTGTCCCAAAAATCCAGTGGTCCCACTTTCGACCAATGGCACTCCAGCTGCCAAACAAAGGCGATTCACATGCCGCCGGGCATCTAAATTGTCAAGCCCATTCAAAACAACATTAAACTGCTTAAAGAAATCAACATTGAAATCAGGATCCTTAACATTTGCATGGTATGGTGTAATGCTGATGTGAGGCCTAAACTTCAATACTGCATCACGAGCAACCTGTATGAACATTCATCCAACTAATATTAGGAAATATTTCTAAGGACAATAGCGGGAAGCATTCAAGAAGTTAAAGACTCTACTTACTTTGGCTTTGGATTGCCCAACATGTGATTGTCGAAACAAGAACTGCCTATTCAGGTTGCTGACTTCAATGGTATCCATGTCAATCTGATTTGAGGCAAGCAATGGAAAAATAACTATATCATTCTACATGGGATTATGTATTTGAAAATAAAGAGCCTAGCTTCTCAAATAACTTTCAGAAGAAAAATATGAGATTTCAGATGCTGTAAGTAATAATCTGTATCTAATAACTCCTTCCCCCTCGGCACAGATTGCAATTAAATGGAAATTTCATTACTCCCTTAACTGACCCTGCAGCACTTAGTGCCTTCCTAAAACACTTATCACTTTCTAAAAGGCCTCCGTTCCAAATAATTTACAAAATCTAATAAACAAATCAATTCGAACTAAAACTAAACTGCTTTCAACTCAAATATTCATATTATGTTTCAACTCATCGAAATATGAACCCTAATTATCCAAAACCCAAGCACTTTCTAAAGCCCTAATTGTAAACCCTAAAAATCCACGGCCGCCAAATAACTGGAAATAGAGCATGAAACAAAAAAATAAACGATGAAAAGGAAGAAGAAATTCCACTCACGATATGTATATCTTTGAAACCAGACAGCGCGAGGGTTTTCAGAAGCTCGCACCCGATACCGCCGGCGCCCACCATAAGCACTTTCGCACCCTAAACACAGTAGATAAACTCAATACTTCTTCCTCCGAGTTACTAATTACAAAATCATGTGCGAAACGAAGTAAATTGAGTACCTTAATTGCAGATAACTGTTGCTCGGAAGCCATTGTACGGACAGAAAGCAGAACAAGTCAGCGGTTAACTGATAAAGATGCAAAACTACGCGTAGGTACTGCAGTTAGAGAGAGAAAAAATATATATATCTTAGGGAATCGTAAGCGTTGGGAGAGAGAAACAGAGGGGGGAATCTTTCGGGGAGAATTTTGCTAATGAAAGGGCGCCAAAAAAATAATATTTATTTTTTCACTCCTCCTCCTTTGTGGTAGAAGAACAGCGTGTTTGGCTGCGGGGAAGACGAAACGTGGGAGGAGAGGGGCGTAAAAATTGAAAATTGAGGCGCACTGTTTTTCCAATTTTCACTTGTTTGACTTTTCGAGTTTGCGATTTGCACCCCATCAATTACTTCAATTATTGTCATTTCTTTTAGTGTAAATATCACTTTACCCCTGAACTAGAGTGTCTTTTGCACTTTACTCCATGTACTATTTTTTTCTTACAGATTTTTACCTGAACTCGTAAATTGTTGGCATGTTGCCCAAAATTTGTCGGAATTGTTCAATTTTCACCGGAATTACAACACTCATATATGTGCACTGCACGTGGGATTGTCAGGGTACAATTGTCGATTCAGATCAAACTAAACCCTAGCCTTTTTTCCCTCGATTTTGGCAGCCCCCGTCTTGTGGAGATGCATTTAATCAAAGAAATAAAAAAATAATATAAAAAATCATTGCCTTTATTTTAGGGTAAATGGCACTTTACCCCTAAACTAAGTGTCTTTTGCACTTTCCCTCGTACTAATATTTTTTACAGATTTTTACTCGAACTCGTAAATTATTGGTATGTTGCCCTAAATATGCCGGAATTGTTCAATTTTCACCGGAATCACACTCACATGCACTGCACGTGGGATTTTTAAATTGTCAGTTCAGATCAAACTAAACCCTAGCCTCCATTTCCCTCGATTTTGGCAGCAATTTACCCCATCTTGTGGAGATGCATTTAATCAAAGAAATAGAAAAATAATATTCAAAATCAAAGCATACACACCCGATCTTTATAGCATAGCACACAATTTGTGTGACCTTAATAGGAAAAAAAACTATGTATACTTATTTATCAAAAAAAGAAAATAGGTGTACTTGATGTTAAATTAATGATGGGCTATAATAGCCCATAATTAAACTAGCTAATGAATTGGGCTTTTTTTGGACTTGTAGCTAATAGTTGTGAGTTTGGATTTGAGGTGGCTTAGGCCGATCAAAATCAAATGTTACATGTTACAAAACTAAAAGCATATAATATTCAAGAGAATTTATGCTGCTTCATAATTAATGAATATGGAGCAAACAATTACACGAATTTTGTCATCTAATTTAGTTTACAATAGAAGTGCATAACCTAAAGTCAAAGATGATATAATAGCTTATAAATGCATGAAGATATTTAAATTGGTGAGAGTAAATAAGTGGTACTCCATCTGTTCCATAATATCTGTCACTTTTGAGAATTTCTTTTATTTCATATTATCTGTCACTTTACAATTCTAATGCTGCATTAATTGCTTATTTTTCAATTTTATTGTTATTAACTTTATAGCATTCTTCCTGCATTAATTAATAAACAAGGATATTTTGGTCCATCAATATCTATTTTCCTAAAATCAAGACATATTTATTGAGATTTTTAAGATTTGTGCCAAGGTGAAAAACGACACCTATTTAGGAACGGAGGGAGTAATATTTATGGATTAAATGTATATTGCATTTGGTCCGCTACCATTATTTCGATCATAAAGATAGAGCGATACTAAGATGGTATTTACAAAGAATTTCAAAAAATAGAAATTGATGACTGTGGGTACAATTATGAATAAATACATGTTTTATAAAATTGGGGGTATTTATAAATATTATGAAAATATAATTTTAAACGGTAAATTATAAGTTGGCGTATCTGCAACAACAATCGATAAATTTTGCAAGTTATTTTCGTAAAATGTCAATAAATTCGTTATAAATGTGAAATGCCTTTTACGGTTTGAGAACTGCTATTTATCGTTCATAACAAAAAATCATTTATCTCTCTAAAACCCCCAAAAAACTCCCAAAATAAAACCCCAAAACCCCCCAAACTGCAAATAGCAAAAAAAGAAAATTTCGAAAATTCGAAATCAAGCTTGAAGAAGAGTTGGGCTTCGATTTTTTGAGGTAATTTCGACTCCTTTATGTGTAATATGCATTGGGTAGGTCGATGACGGAACCAATTTCATGTTAAAAAGCCCTACAAATCGATTTGTAGGTTTTTTTTTTTTTTTTTTTTTGCACATACACCCACAAACGCCCAAGACGGGCGCCTACAACGTGTATGAACGCCCGTTCCGGGCGTTCGTACACGCCGTGGACGCCTGCCTTGGGCGTTTTTAGGTTTTTTTGAGAGATTTTGGGATTTTAGAGATAAAAGATTTTTTGTTACAAACGATAAATAACAATTTTCAAACTGTAAAAAGCAAGTCCCTTATAAATTGATGAGAAAATAATAAGTGCACGAATGCCTAAACAACTTTAAGCCCAAATTAGTATCCATGCATAGAGCAAAAGTTGCGTTTGCAAACACTCTAAAAATAAATTGTGAGCCAAAAAAACTCATATCTAATTTAATTTTATTTATTTATTTTGAAATACCTAAATTAGATGGGAAAATATTTTTACGATTTATTTAGTCTAGGCCAAAATCAATAGCAATTCCGAAATTAATAGAAATATTTAATTAGTCATTACTTTTTGTAGAAACAAATAAATATATATGCCACGTCTATCACTAATGTATGTCCACGGTGGAAAATTCAAAATACTTTTAATCAAGGGTAAAATTGTCACTCGAACAAACTCGCTTCTGGCATTAAAGAATTTTGTCCTGGCATTATAAACGAGGAAAAAGGTTGAAGAAAATCAAACGTTTTCTCAATTTCTTTTTTTGCCCTTTGTTTCATATTAAATTTCTGCTCACTCCCCAGTTGATGCTGTACTTTTCGTCAACAGAATCGTCCCCAGAAGAGAAGCAAAAAAACCCTCTCCTTTGTCAAACGCCACTCCGATTCAATGTAAGCTATGCTTCGATGGTATATGATATATATATTTTTTTAATTTATGTATTTTCACTGCTTTGGGGTTCGGATGATTGTTGATATTTTTGGTTCAGAATTCTGAAAATTAGCCTCACACGATCGTGATATATATACATGCATTTTGTATTTATGTCGAAAAACGATTTTGACATTTTTTCTGTTTTTCATGGTTGGCGTATTTAGAGCGATATGGCTGCAGCTGCTGAAAGAAAATATCATACTCCGTTTCTGAAAAGATATCCGGCCATTAATTCAAGCGGTAAATGTTCCTACTATCATTTTCTTTTTCGATTCTCTTTCGTGTGCGTAAGTACTAAATATGTACTTCACATGAATTCATGTTTGCATTGTGAATTTTGTTTAGGCGATGTTTGTTCTTGTTGATTCATTTTCTTTTGTTATTTGAAGTACTATGTTTGTGGAGACAACTGCGTTAACTATTTTTGTCGTATTTGTTTGATCTCTGTTGAATTTCGTTCTCTTAATAACCATTTACGTCTTCACGATTTTTTGTGTCTGTTTGAAAATTAACAAGTGTTTGTTGTTGACCAGAATAAGAATTTAAAATAAAATGGAAGTATTCGTTACATTAGAAATTTGTAGGGCCTAAGCAAGTCTTGCTCACACGATTCGATAGGATGTACAAAATAAATTATCCATTGTCTAGTAGCTGTTTGCTAAAATGTTATTGGATTCAGTCCTTGTGCATTTGTCCCTGAAGTTTGTGCATGCAGAAGTAACTATTGAAAGAGGAAGCGTCTTGAGAACCTACAGTAATTAGGCGGTTTCGAGATACCCTCCACCTTATACAGTTTATGGCATCTCTATTGTAAACTTGGGTGATTAACTTGCTGTCATTATGGTATACATGCATTCTTGAAACTAAATGTCTGAGAAATTCGCCATCGAGTAACATGACTAGCCTGCTTACAGTTTTGTTAAGAAACTGCACGTCTTCAAAAAATGTGTTTTGCCTGTATCCAGAAGCTATAGACATGGTATAATTTGGAAACTGACTTAACTGAACTGCCCGCAGTCTTATATTATAGATTACATCTAAACAGTTCTTCCATTTTCCATTAAATAAAGAAGTATTTACGTTAATTTGTGCATTGTATTTGACTTTTTCATTAACAGATTTGAGCTCCAAGCGGCACAAAGGGATAAAAGCCGAGGAAGGAAGTGGCTGTAATGATAGTACGTTATCTTCTCCTTGGCGTTTTGAATCCGAACGAGAAAGGGGTTGCACTTATTCACGAGTTGTAGATCATTCTGATCCGTTCGCTACAAATAATCTGCTGAACGAGTTAGATTCTGGCAAATATGGAAGTGCAACTAAAGAGATATACGAGCTTCTCAAGCGGAGGGCACAGTTATTGAACACCTTATGCCCAATGAATCCTGAACTTTCATTACCGTGCTTTGATGTGCAAATTGGAGTGGCATCAAAGATGACTGAACCAACTACACCTGATGTCATTGACCTAGATGATGATGAGGACGGAAATAGTTTTGCAGTCGAAAGATTTGTTCCATTAGAACAGCAACCCCACTATATTAAGCCTGAGCCAGTTGTTATCATTGATTCAGATGACGAAAATGATACTAGGAGACCTCCCCATCTGGAAATGGAGTTGAAGGAGCCTCCCGGAAATCTTCAGATGAAAGACTTTGTGGTAATTGAACTTCTGAATCTACCTACATTGGAGCTTTATCATTTATCAATTATCAATCTATACTATCATTCATCTAACTTTATTAATGGTGTTCTGGTGGGATTATAACTTAAGAAAGATGAGATTTGTGTTGAACTTCTGATATATATTTCCATGTCATAGATATACTCTTATTTATTTTTACCATTCTGTTAGTGACCTCATTGCCATATAACTGAAGTGACCTGACACTATGCAGGAATGGGATTTCTCTCGAAGCCAAAGCCGAACCCGAACCCGAAAAGCTCGAGAAACAAATGTGCCTGTGGATGTTGCTCAAGGCCAAAATTCTCGAGAAGCAAATCCACATGTTGCTGATGAAACTGAACCCCCGAAAGATAAAGGTGTATATGTTGGCATAGAGGAGGATATGGAAGAAGAAAATGATGCGATGTCTGATACACATTCTGACGGTCTTGGTGACATTTGGAATGAGATGACAGTTGCATTAGAGTGTTCAAAGGTATCCTCCTCTACTATTCCTTTTTATTATTCCAGATGGTTAAATTTCTGGACCTCAGAATTTGATTTGCTAATCCGGACAACACATTTTCAGTACTGCGCGATACATATTAAGCATATCATTTTTACTGCTACAACCCGTAACCATCACAACATGGCCGTCTTTTACGAAAGATATTCAAATTTGTTATTTTTCTAGTTATTGACTTCTATGGATAGCTTGATTTTTTATCTTTTGTTTTCGTTTCTTTCTTGAGAGTGTGTCGTTTCTTGTCTCATGATGGTTAATACTGCCTTAGAATGCAAATCAAAACATAGGGGAACTATGGAAATAGTTTGTAACTTCTGAGGCTTAGAGCATGGGAGCTGCATCAATGTTGTTTGTATACAAAAATGCCCTAATGATAGCCTGTCACTGGAAAATGTTTGGCCTGTGATAATTAAGAGATATAAATATTAAAAACATGATAAATTAACCCCCACCCCCTGCCCCCATCCAAATATATGTGGTTCTTTTTTCATGCTTTAATTTGTCACAATGGGATCTATGCGAGTTGTGTCTTCATTTTTGTCAATATGCATTTATGTCCTTCACTGTCTAAATCTGAAGTGCTCACTTTTTTGTGCCTAATATCTGAAACTTCAATCCTAGATGCTGTGTTTCACTTTCCAGTTATTACTTCCTTTTGTTTAATTTGTTTTATAATTTGAAAAAGTTAATCTATATTGTGATCAATCTCCGTTTGAATTTTTATCCTTGTATACCTTGAGACCTCATTAACTAGTCTGTTTTTTATGTCATAGGATGCCACTGAAGATGCCCTGCTTGATGGGCAAGATGCTGAAGATGAATACGAGTGTGAGCATTCGTTTATACTCAAAGATGATATTGGTGATGTATGCCGCGTCTGTGGGGTCATTAGGAGAGGAATTGAAACAATCATCGAGTATAATTTCTCAAAGGTATGGCTTTGAGTTCCACATTGTATTTTTGTAGTATTTATTGCTTGCTGATTCTTGTGAACTTGGTTATTAGTGTGAAAATCTATATCTATCATCATTGTCCCTAAAAGTTGGCATAATTTATTATATGTGCTTCGCAGTCACTTAAACTCACACGTACCGAACTGCTGTCCTGCAGCTTTTCGTTAACCTGATGCAACCTGCATACTAGAAAAAAAATCTTTAGTCAATGTGCTATCTGTTAATTTTTTTCATTTTTAACTGATTGTATGCATCTCTCTAGCCTTTTGACTTCACTATAAGGCAACCTCTTTCGTACATTGATATTTATGTTAATACTCCTACAACCTACATCATTTATATTTGTAGCCATATTTTTCAATTCATCATTATGATTCGAAAAAGTACTAGTATGATTCCGACAGAAATTATAAAAATGTGCTTGTTTGGGCCTCTGATGACCTACTCCCTTTTAGCGATAAAGAGCTTTACAGTCGAATTGTATGCTCTGTTTAGTTTCATATCTAGAGGTGATGTTTTACATGTGTTTGAAAAGATCTAGAAAGTTGCCTTGGTATATATGAAAAGAAATGTGTTTGTGTTGGTTGCATCCGAAAGCTAGATTGGTGAAAATATGTTTGGTTTTATTTACCGCAAGCATAAAAAATCTTGTGTCATATTCTGAAATCGTATGCGAGAATGTTACAAATTAACCTATATAAACTTCTATTTGCTTGCTCAACACTTGTGTTGCACATGTTAACCTAGACCAACTTTATGTGCTGAATACATGTCTTGTTCTTCTTTTGTAATGGTTGTTTCCTGCACACAGTATTCACCTTCCCATTCCTGCTTTAAAATTTCCTATGTAAAATTATCAATCTTATCTTGATACAAAAATTGCATCATTTTTTCATCTGAATAACTGAATGTTGACAATACTAGATTGTTCTGGCAAATAATATTTGATTAAAACAACTGATTTTCCTGCTCTATTTTGAATACAGAGCACAAGAAATACAAGAACCTACAGATACGAAGGGCGCAGTACTAGGGAGTTAGATCCAACCGAAAATTTACCCGATGCGTTCAGATCATCTGATATCGATTTTACCGAAGCTGATATTAACCCACATCCACGCCACAGGAAAGAGATGAAACCCCATCAAGTCGAGGGATTCAATTTCCTTCTGAGCAACCTCGTGACAGATAATCCTGGAGGTTGCATCATGGCCCATGCACCTGGCTCAGGCAAGACTTTCATGATCATCAGTTTCCTTCAGAGCTTCATGGCGAAATATCCCGGTGCAAGACCTCTTGTTGTACTGCCAAGAGGTATTTTGATGATATGGAAAAGGGAGTTCACCAGATGGCAAGTCGAAGACATTCCCCTGTACGACTTTTACTCAGTCAAAGCAGATAGCCGTTCACAACAGCTGGAAGTTCTGAAGCAATGGGTGAAGGAAAGGAGCGTTCTGTTTCTAGGCTACAAACAATTCTCTTCCATAGTCTGTGACAAGGACGATGGGAAAGTTACTCTCGCTTGCCAAAATTATTTGCTCAAGACTCCAACAATCCTCATTTTAGACGAAGGCCACACTCCGAGGAATCAAGACACTGATGTTCTGAGCTCACTTGAGAGGGTCGAAACCACAAGAAAGGTGGTTCTCTCCGGAACACTGTACCAAAACCACGTCAAAGAAGTGTTCAACATTTTGAATCTGGTGCGCCCAAAATTTCTAAAAATGGAGACTTCGAAAGCCATAAGGAGACGCATCTTGAGCAGAGCTGAAATCTCTAGCAGAAGGAATTTGATGAAGAACAGCACGAACAACGAGTTCTACGATCTGATTGAACACAGCCTCACAAAAGACGAGAATCACACACGGAAGGTGACTGTGATACAAGATCTCCGAGAGATGACAAGGAAAGTCCTCCATTACTATAAGGGCGATAACTTGGACGAGCTTCCTGGACTAGTTGACTTTTCTGTCTTTCTTAGGCTCAGTCCCTGGCAAAAAACCGAAGTCAAACAACTGACTCAAACTGTAGCCAGAAAGTTCTCAGTTAGTGCACAAGGAAGTGCAATTTACGTGCACCCAAAGCTGAAAGCTCTCTCGAAAAACTCTGGTGTGAAAGACAGAGTCGATGAGGAGAAGATTGACACTTTACTGGAGAAGCTAAATGTGAAAGAAGGTGTAAAGCTCAACTTCTACCTCAATCTTCTCCAGCTTTGCGAATCGAGTGGGGAAAAGCTTTTAGTTTTCAGCCAATATCTCTTGCCCCTCAAATGCTTGGAGAGAGTAACTGCTAAAGTCAAGGGCTATAGCATCGGGAAGGAAATGTTTATGATAACGGGTGATTCTGATGCGGACATACGCGAATCTTCCATGGATACATTCAATAAATCATCAGAAGCTCGTGTGTTTTTTGGGTCGATCAAAGCATGTGGTGAAGGGATATCTCTAGTCGGGGCTTCTCGGATTATTATCCTGGATGTTCACTTAAACCCGTCTGTGACCCGGCAAGCAATTGGGCGGGCATTTCGACCCGGCCAGGTGAAGAAGGTATATACTTACAGATTGATTGCTGCTGAGTCGCCAGAGCAGGATGACCATGCCACCTGTTTCAAGAAGGAATCGATTTCCAAGATGTGGTTTGAGTGGGATGAGTTTAGGGGACAACAAGGGCTTGAAATGGAGACTATTGATGTTAAAAACTGCGGAGATGAGTTTTTGGAAAGTGCACGATTGAGTGAAGATGTGACTTCTGTGTTTAAGAGGTAAATCGAGCTATATTTTTTCACCTTTTGATGCATGTATTCTATATCCACCTTTTCACTGTTCTTTTGTATTTATCGTTATTTTCAGGTAATATGTGCAGAAAATTGTAAGGGTCGGTCTTCTACTGGATTTTTTGAGCTTGTTTGCTGTCACAGATTGATTTGTTTGTGAATTCTTGTCTAGTGGCAATTGAAACACGAAACTGTTAAGAAGTTCGGTGAAGCATGGTGGATTTCTGAACATGAAAAAAAGCATATTTTGTGATTATGAGTCAAGTCATTAGAGAGTTGATTTGTACAGTGAATTAAATCTATGGCTATACTATGAAGTTGTGCCAATGCTACAGTTGTATTGGATTTTTATTGGTTAAGCCGTAACCGAAGCTTTGCTTGTGTGCCTTCGGTTGCATTCTTTTTTCTGATTTTTTTTGTTCATCTGATAACAGTGCATTTACATTACATAGGATGGGACAATTCCCTTATTCTTCGATTTGATGCCACAAAAAACATCGTATTCTCGATTTTACATTACACAAAACACACATTTCTTTACATATATAATCTGTCCAACCAATCTTTTCTACAATCACTCCCGGATTTTCACATAAAAAAAAAATCACGTAAACGATGGGAGGAGAGACGAAATAAATTGATTTCTTCGATCAAATTCTGCGTTTTCAGTCCCCATAGCTGAAGCCGATGCATTATAAGCATCACTCTCTCTCAAGGGAATAAAACCACCCTCACACTGCTGCAGTCCTAGTGTGAGAGACACTTCACTAACACTACCAAATCTCTCCATATCCGAAATGTGGTACGCAGAAGTAATGAACCTCTCACTCCCACAACTCGATTCCACCACCGAATCTTGGTAACGAGTCGACTCAGTTGTTTGCCTTTTCCCAATCCCGTAATCCATCTGCGGTGGTTCTGTCTGAAATATGGAATTACTGTCCGATCCCATCATTTCTATATCTGTAATCTGGTCTGTCGAAATTGTCGCCCCTTGCAGCAAAAAATCTTCTCCTCTGTTTTTGTTGGAGGGTTTTAATTTTACAGCGGTTCTTGATATGGTTTCGGATGAAGAATTGGAATCTATTTCAGCATCACCAGTTTCTTCTTTGTACATTTCTTCGACCATTGGCTTCCATAGGCGGACACGAGCATTTATGAACCAGTTTGAGACCTAAGCCAGACATAAAATTAAAACTTTGTGCAACAGATTCTTAATTATGCTCTTAAAATGCAAGAAAATTAAAAGATAAAATGTCTAGAAGCATCCTTTTTCCTTGGTCATTCGCAAAAAAACGAGCAATTATCTATTTCTCGAATGGCAATTCAACAATTTATATTTCATCACTGTCAATATCAAGATTATAAACAACTCAACATTGAAATTGTCAACACACCATATGATTAATTATTTGCTAACACATGATGCATGTTTTATTCATAGTACAACAACGATTACTTCACCTGACTTCTTGTCAATCCTGTCTGCCTTGCTAGCATTATCTTGTCAGAATCTTTCGGATAGCTGCAAACACAAAAAAATAATCAAGAAAAGAAATAATCCCAAAAATTCCTAAAGCAGAAAGTTAATTTTTTTTTTTTTTTTTTAAATTATGCAACTTACGGATGGAGAAAGTGTTCGAAAAGCCAAGCACGCAGGATGGAAACGGAAGTTTCCGGAAGGCCCCTCTGAGGCCTCCAAGCATGTTGTTGCATAATTCCGAGCTGTTGAAGGGCTCTGTGCTGTCTGAGTTGATGGTCGACAAAGCGAAGGCGAGATATTCCAACTCCTTTATTATCGTTCGAAGAAGAATCTTCTTCTCCGAGGCTTTTTCTTGCTAAGTGAATTTGGTTGTTTATAGAATCACGCAAGCATCGAAAATGGCGGGAAATTGTCTCTAGGGCAACTGCCGTGTATGGTTTAGCTGCTCCGGCACCTGCTATTACATCGAACGAGGAAACAACTATCTGCATTTGATGGTAGTACTGTCTGTATCTTCTGTCCACCTGTTGTACGGTAGTTAGAAACAGTTACGTTTTCTTGAAAATTAGATTCCTTTTGTAATCGAAAATAGCAATATTTGTCATAACATGTAAATTAATTCTCACCTCATCCAACATCGACAAAAGCTTCGACATTTTGTTCTGCAAATCCTGTTTTTCAGCCACGGAAATCTCACTCCGGCTCGCCTTAACTGTGGGTGAAGAAGAAGGATATTCCTCGCATGATTCCTCTTCGACTTGTTTCGAGTTTTTCGGAAATTCCCGTTTGGCATTTTGATCTTTCATACTTTTCTTGACACTAACAACTTCATCGAGCAATTGTTGAGCCGCTCTCAAATACTTAGAATTCGGAACAGCTCTCACAACACTCGGCATACCATTATACGCAGAAACATTATTATCATTATTATTATTATTATCATTATTACTATTATTAATATTATTATTATTATTATTATGGGAAATAATCGACGAAAAATCCTGGTATTGGATAGGTGATACATTTGAATTGAGACTGAGGGATAATAATCCAGTGCCTTGGTTCATCATTAGCATCTCGTTTCTATTGTTTTGTGAGCCTCCGTAATTTAATAGAATTTCTTGTTGGGAAGTATTGGAGTCATAATTAGGCACCGAAGAAGAAGTCGGTGGCGTGTAATTACTTGAAAACATTATCGTGTTTTCTTGAAAAACGGGAGATTCGGAATGAGAATCGTCCAAACGGTCCCTTGCGTAGAGCATTGTGGCGGAATCTCTTTCGTTGTTTGGCATCGGGAAATATGTTTCCATGGCTTTCCTTTGTGCTGAAAAATCATCAACAACTGTGTTTATTGATTTGAATTTTTTTTCATGCACATTGTAGTTTGCTAATGCAATTTGGCTTCAAATCACACACACACACACACACACACACTCTCTCTCTCTCTCTCTCTCTCTCTCTCTCTCTCTCTCTCTCTCTCACACACACACACACACACAAGATATACAGAAATCCAGTTTTTTAAACCCAAAAAAAAATGATCAATAGGAGGCAAAAAGGTATCAAATTCCTCAATACAGAATTTCAAACAAAGTTGCTTACTTTCTTCCAGAGAACTACACACATGTATATACACATAGGTGTGTGTGTGTGTGTGTGTGTGTGAGGGACAACGTAGAAAATTAAAGTATTACAGTAATGAAACAGAGACAGCAATCTGTAATCATATGATTGTGTGGACATAATCATCTAATCCAAATACCACAAGACAGCAATTTTCTTCCTCAATTAGCACCCCAGAAAAATAATAAAAATAAAAATAAAAAATTCAGACAAACCTGAAATTCAGTATAAGCTGTTCTCGCCTTGTAATGAACACAATCCTCCGATCCGCCTTAAAAAATATATATATACCTTCAAACCAAACTCACAGATCCCAACACTTCAACACTATTATATGACCCCTTCTCTCCTGCAACCCTTTTCATCTCTCTCTCTCTCTACTCTCTCTCTCCTCTCTCTCTCTCTCTCTCTCTCTCTCTCACACAAACACTCACACACAAGAAAGAAGAAAGAACTAGGAAAACCTAAGAAAGAAGACAAACTTTTTTTTCCTCTTTCTTTTCCTCTCTATCTAGGCAGGCATAGTAGAGTTGCAATTTTTCAAAGTTTAAAGTACAAGAACATTATATCACACCCCCTCTACAACTCTTTCCATTCACCTTTATGACACACACACACACACACACACACACACACATATGTGTATATATATATCATCATATTATTTATATATTCCCACGTGAGACTTATACACAAAGTCTCTTTCTCAATTTTCCACCTTTCTCTTAATATATAGCATGAAACCCCCCCTAAAACAAAAGGGTCGTTTCTTATTACTATTTTTTTCCCAAACCCCACAAAAATAAAAATCACACCTTTCTCTAAATACACATCTATAATAAAATCCCACTTATCTCTCCTCTCTCTGCTTTGCCTGTTTATAGAAATTATTTAAATAAATAATTAAATAAAATGTTGGCTATCTTTAATTTCTTAGCTGTTGTTGTTATTATTATTTGTTTCTTGACTTTGGTTTAATTCTTTGCTGCTGTTTGTTTGGTGTTTGGTTATGGAGTGCCATTCTCTAACCACCAGTTGGTAGACCTAAAACTTCCCTTAAACCATTTATATATATATCTATATATTCAAATAATAATAAGGGTAAATTACAAACACCCCCCTGAGGTATGGTCAAATTACAAAAACACCCCTCTTGTTTGGATAATTATAACCACCCCCTCAGCTCTTCAAATTTAGTGGAATCTTCGATATTATATGAAATATTATCACTTTTGTACCCGTTTTATACCATTCAAACTCTACATTATGAAGTAAGATGATCATAATATGTGATTTTAGCTTGTGTATATCAATTTGTAGTGCATCGGAAACTGTATTTTTACACAAAACGAATACAAACTAGAGCACATTACACGGAATCTAGATGATTATATTGAATTTGGCACAATAAGGGTAGAGGTGTAAGAAAAAATCATAGTTGAGGGGTAGATGTAATTATCCAAACAAGAGGGGGGGTTTTGTAATTTGACCATACCTCAGGGGGGTGTTTGTAATTTACCCAAACTTATAATAACATTTCAAATTTTAAACAACTCAAGATATTTAAATTGTGGTCATTGATTAAAAACTGCACGTAACATAATTCACTAATGTGCAAATTAAATTATTACTAAGAGTATATGTACTGCCATAATTTCATCTCCCATCAATAGATTGTCGGTCTTCAGTGTCGGGTTCTCAGCAGATGCAATATTTTAATATTTTATATGCCCACTAATGATGATTAACTTATTAATTAGTACTAATTTTAGGGAGGGCTTATGTCATGGTGGTTGGGTTCTTACTTCTTATTAACCAAATCTTTATTTAATTAAATTAAATAAAGATATGTATACAACAACACACCGGGAACAATAACACGATGTAAATAATCAGGTGTAACATAGAATTTCCCCACCAGAATACATATGTACTTTTTTTTTCTTTAATATATGTGAATTAGCTTATTTTCTTTTAATTTGTTTTATTTAATTCGAAATTAAAAAAAGGATGGGCCTTTGAGTTTTACTAAATGGGGCTGAAGCTTCAATCAAGGAAAGGGTATTAAAAACATAAGCCCAGAAATCACAAGGCAAAAAATCAACTGTCAACTACAAAGACACAACAGTTTGCAACGGGGTTAAAATCATGTGCATTTTTCTTACCGTACAGCCTTGTGTTCCTCCTCCAACAGCGACCGTCAATCTACTCGATGTCTCGTGTGAATCAATCCCCACCGTCGATTTCATCCAAGATACCTCTCTCCACATTTCCACCGCCACACACCCTGAATAATCTCAGGTAGAAATATGAAAATTACTGTTAATTAATTTTAAACCTCTGTTCGAACTTTCTCTCTCTGCTAATCTGTACTCTACTTAATTAGGAAATTCCTCCGCCCCCCTCCGCCGTACAGTACATGGCTAAAGCCAAATCCTGCCGCCGTACAATCGATTCCTACACCGTCAAGCATATAAGCAAAACCATACGCCGTAAGTCTTCGCAATTTCATCAACGGCATATGATATGCTATCAATCGTTCAATCTGCTTGTATCTGTTGCATAATTCGGTCAAAATTGTTTTCGATTGTTTGCAGCTGGAGACTGCGTTTTGATGAGACCTTCTGATTCTTCGAAGCTGTCCTACGTGGCGCGCGTGGAGAAGATCGAGGCGGCAGACGGCCGCGGCGGCGGCACGAGCGTGAGGGTACGCGTTAGGTGGTATTACCGGCCGGAGGAGTCGATCGGAGGCCGGCGGCAGTTCCACGGCTCGAAGGAGTTGTTTCTGTCCGATCATTTGGATTATCAGAGCGCTGATACTATAGAGGGGAAGTGTACGGTGCACAACTTTATCAGCTACACTAAGCTCGATGCCGTTGGGAACGAAGACTTCTTCTGTCGTTTCGAGTACAATTCGTCCACCGGTGGCTTCAATCCTGATCGAGTCGCCGTGTAGGTTTAACTTTTTTGTACTCGTTTGTTTTACGATTAAGTTATTGAATTTGGTTGATGTGTATACGGAGGGCTTATAGGTGAATGGTTGAATTTGATTAGAGTAGTTTCCGAATTGTTGAACTTGTTGATTGGAGCCTCATTTAGGCGATGGTCGAAACTTGAACCAGTTAGTTGTTTTCCGATTTCCATTGTGAATTAGTGCTAGCTGGGAAAAAAATTATACTAAATAATTATCTTACAATTAATAGAAATGGAAACTGCTAAGAAGACTAGGTTTCTAGCTTGACTCTTGGTCGAGTTTTATAAATTATTGTGTTGCTTTTTGTTTCTTATACATCTCCCTTTTAGATCATTGATTTTAATGATGACTTTACATAGATGAAGATACTTTGGCTTAATGAATTTTGCCCATTGTCACTGCATCCATTTTCTTGCCTTTGGGTGTTTTTGGCCTACTTATTGCTTCTATTAGTGGGTATTTTTGTCTTTTGTTTCTTCCATTGGTTGAACAATCTGGTATGTATCCTTGGTTTCGAGAACATAGGCAGAAGCTACTGTTGCATGGTACTCTTGAATTTTTTTTTTAATCCTTGCTCGTTTTGCTGCCGTAGGTACTGTAAATGTGAGATGCCTTATAATCCTGACGAACTTATGGTTCAGTGTGAAGGATGCACTGAGTGGTGAGTTTATATGCACCGCGATCTTTTTCTTTTTTTCATATGTTTGGAATGCTGCCACATTTACAATACTGATAGTTTATTGATTTTTCTTAGCTAGGATTCGAAAATATCTTAATAGTTTATTAGTGATTTTTTTTTTTTTTAAAAATTCAAGTCCATTTACAAGGGGAAATAGGGGTGGGGGGGACTCGAACCCTAGACCGTTACCCTAGTGGTAAAGGCTAGGTACCAACTCTCCTAATGAGGGTTGGTTTAGTTTATTAGTTTATTAGTGATTTTGTTTTCTTTAAAATCTGATTCAGGTTTCATCCTACTTGTATTGAAATGACCCCTGAGGAAGCCAAAAAACTAGACTGTTTCTACTGTCTTAGTTGTTCCTCTGAAGATCAAAACAAATTACAGAATTCTCATGTTTCTACTGGACACTCTGATGAGAAGGTAATTCAGTAACTATGACTGTATTTTTCTCTGATTTAGTATTTGTTCATCCAAAATCTAGTCATCTGTATACATATATAAAAAAGAAAATATCTGGATAAATGTTCTTTTCAAATAGAGTATATCACAAATTGCATCTATGTCTTTTCATATATTTTTTTATGTGAACAGGTGGATACAAAACGGCGTCGCAGATGATGTGCGCAAGATGTGTATTATTGTACTTATCCAATGCAAACAAACACATAAGCAATGATGAAAAAAGAAAAAAAAAGTGTGAATGGGTGAAAGAAGGGAACAGTGATGGAGAAACTCCTCGTTTCTACTTTTTAATTTCAAGGATGTGTTTGGTTGTCTGTATTTATGTGATGTAGATTCTCCTTTCTTTTTCTTTGTAAAAGCAAATAGTATTTCAACATAATAGTTACAGGGCTCATTAGATGCTCTCTACCTGTTGGCTAGTTTAGGTAGAGTTGCGAGTGGTTAAAGTGATATTAGAATTTCATTATAGCATGTAATTTTATGAAATGATTGGTGATTACTTATTTTGTATCATAACTTACTAATATTTGTAGTTTCCATTGTCTCCTATCTTCAAGTTTCAGGATCAGAAACTTCGTCAGCTCAAGAGTGGAAGTGAAAGGGCTTTACCATTTTTCGTATCAATCGTAATACACGGGTATTAGTCTTTTACCACTATGTTCTGGTAATTTATCTTCATGCATGATTGGCAGTGGCATACACATTAGGATGTGTGCATAGTGGGATGTTACATACACGTGTAATCTTGCCCGATGAATTCACCGAGTGTAACATAAAACAAACAAATAAATCTATATTCAATATTTCTATACTTATTTTGGATCAAGTACGAATGTCTACACAAATTGTCTTCCTAAGTACACTTTGTTTTCCTTGGAGTTTGAGACTTTTAGTATACAGTGACATGACTAGTTAAGAGGCTTCATCTTCTGCAGTTAGACTTCATTTTTCAGTAACAGAAAATAAATTTCGGTACTCCAGAATCCATTTACACGGTTAAGTCATCGAATAACTGCTTTTAATTTGACTTTGCTCTCTTCCATACAATGACAGTACCACCAAAATCGGAAGAAGCCAAAAAGTTCTCTCCATGGTTCCAAGCAATGCCTATAACTGGGTAGCTGTGACCCTGCAATCATAATCAATAGTCGGTTCAGTACGAAATCGTTGATGTACATAAAGTGAAAATAAAATGAAAATAAAATCTTGGAATTGAGTGAGATAAACCTGCAGCTTGTTCACACATGTATGCCTCGGCCGTGTTAAATCGTAGAAATAGACATTTGCATCCTCGCTCCCAGCAACTAAATTAGTAAAAGAGATCAACCTCAAACTTTTAGTAACTTACAAAAATATTTACGTGCGTAATGACTTAGCAAGCATACCTATGTATTCTCCTTTCTCAAGGGAAAGCAAAGGGCAAAATGATGCACGGATGCTATGCAAACGTGGCGCCAATTTCAGTGCGCAACGAACTGTCAAATAACCTTGTACCTCCAAAGAGACGCTACAAAGTTGAACAAATTTCACCCCGTTCAAATCAAATAATTCCAAAAAATCACATATATTAACTACCAAAACAAATGTTTATTGAAAGCTAAACCAACCTGAAGAAAGACAAACTTCCATCTCGACAAAAGGTGAGCAGTACTGGACCCCGTGCCAGCAGAGAGAAGGTTCTGTACTGTACAGTAGTGACTGGAGATTTGTGCTTAGCTTTGCTTCGATGTCGGTGAGTACGAGATAAAGCACCAGTATGTGAGTTCATAGTAACTGTGTATATACATCCCTGCACAGAGTTATGACAAAAGTGTTTTAAGGAAAAAAATTCTAAATGATTATCAGCAGTATAAATCCTTCTCCATGGAGACCACACATACCTGAGCATCACCACAGAAAATAAGTTGACCGGTGTGGTCAAGGTCCATGGCAGTTACCTCACTGTCAAATGTTGACTTGTTTATTGTTCTTCCAGTACTGAAATTGAACACCTGGAATTCAAGTTACAAGAGTTGATATGAGCAATCTGGGGAATAATATGAAGTACCTGTGCAAGGAGAAGCTGAGGAGACAAGTACTAATTTGTTTCGCTACATTGAAAAGGCTTAAATTCCAGAATTTTGAAAAAAACAACAATTCTGACTACCCCGTGACACCACGTTGATGTAATTGGTAAAAGTAGCAAAGAAATTACCATTATCTCTTTATTTGCATTTCCTACTGAAAGAAAATTGTTGTTAACCTGCACAGTTAAGGTAGAAAGAATTAAAATTTTCCCCTGTGGGCCCATCAGCTAAATTCTTAAGATTGAAATGTACTTACAGGATGAAAACGAATACAAAGTTGTGAAGAGACTCCATAAATCACCCTCATGCAAACGCCTTTGGAGATATCCCATACTCGTACCGTCTTATCAACTGAGGCAGATGCAATGTACTGATTGTTTGTTGAGAAGTCGAAATCTGAAAGGGAAAGACATTCAGATCCGAATGACCATCAAATTGCTTAGCAAGCTCGAACTACAAACCTCCCTACAGCATCTAAAGAAAAGACATTTAATTGGCTAAATCATGTCTGATTAATGCACCTGAACCATGTCTCAGTTGTATCACATTCATATCTTATAGTACAAAACTAAATCCGCGCGAATTTCAAAAATCCTTAATCAATCTGCATATAAGTATTCGTGTAATGGGAAAACATCAAAATTCTTGATCGTAGCACAATATCATTAAATCACAGGAGCAACTCTTTCTATTGACATAATGTAGGACATTGTGCTAACAAAGCTAGTTAACATACATAGGCAATTATACGTTCTAGTAATAAGAAGCCTAGTTTTTTTCCCCACTATCAACATCTGATAGAAGATGATTCCACCAATGGGACCATAATTATTAAATAAAAATGAGCATAGAAGTATAGAAAAGATTTACATAGTACCAGTTGATCCAACCTGTGACGTCTTTTGTGTGCCCTGTAAACACCTTCGGAATCGATGGTGGAGTAGAGACAGTGCACACGGTCAAGCTTCCATCTGTTGCTCCATAAGCAAGTAGATCCGAACTCATGTGGCCAAACTTTATAACCGTAACTATAAAATAAATACACCATAAATTTTATAAAAATACTATAATTCCGACTTTGTAAATGCAACGAAACAATGGACTCTGATTTAAGTGTCAGAAATTACCCATAGCCTTGCATTGGTCTAAAATGCAGTGCATCCCTACAAAGGAATATGCAGGTTCACTCTTTTTACGTGGGTACTCGATATCACTGGCATTAGAACTGAAACTTGTGCTGTGGCTCAGTGTTCGGCTAAAACTTTTTATATCCTATAAATAGATCAAGAAGAGAAAATAAAGATTTGATATCATTCAGAGGGAAAGGTAAATACTTCTAAATGTGGTTGCTAATAGCAAGCAACTTTGTTTATTCTATTCTAATCGTTGTTACAAGCTAGCATCTGCATCTTCATTGGTGATTTACACTGGGCTAAAAACTTTTGGATAAAGCTCCTTAGACATCAATTGCCATAAAAATATTTCGTAGTATAGACTATAAGCTCTCAACACCAAATTGCAAACTTAATGATACCTATATGTCAATTTTGAAAGAAGTAGGTTGAAAATTAAAACTTGACGTTTCCCAACCACTACCAGTCGTCTCAATGAAGATTCTTACAGTAATATCTTATACATAAACACACACACACAATCATATGCATAATTTACATAGTCAATACCGAACAAACATGCATACATTTCCATAATCTTGTTTTTATGCATGTATATAGAAGGCCACTGGACCACCAGTCTTGTTGTCAGAGTCCTCCAAGTCATTCATGCAAAAAGACATGAACATCACGAGGAAACTTAAAAGTAATCACTTTACAATCTTAATTTCCATAAGCCAATTGGTCCTTTTTCTTAGACTCTATAATTAATGTTTTTTATTTATTTACTTCATTAGGACAGTTGCCAAGCAACTCAAGTTAACTCCTCTTTTATCGTTTAACATTCTCAAGTACTTCAATGTAAATAAAACTACAACGAAATATTGAAATGACGGTATAGGATGGCCACATACTCTGTTAGTACTCCAGCTGTCTGCCTCAAAGAATGGAGGGGAGAGTGGACTTGTAGATGGTGCCCATCGTCCACTGATGCATCAACCAGTAAATTAACCTGATGTGAGAATCGTATGGAAGAAAACTTAAATAATAACCTTACTTCATAAAGATATACGCATTTAAAACTAAAAGAAGAAGCTGCAACTGAAGATTTGAATAGTCGCACACACAAAAAAATGTTGATCCAAAATCAGAACCAGAATTTAGCAACCTGTGTCCAGGAGTGCTTGATCGGCTTGGTGTCTGTGCACTCTCCCAATTCCTAGGCCTGTTGATGTAATTGCGGTATGAAACGTAACCTTTTCCATTACATCTCCATTCCTACAACATGCAACTTCGTATATAAGCATTTAAGCATTTAATCAGGGATGCAATCACGAATGAACTTAATAAGATCGATTACATTTTTAAAACGTATATATGAATCAGATTATACAGACTTATAATCAGATTTTGTTGAATGCCACCAACATTAAAACTTTTTCTTCACCAGGTTTAACCGACAGGATATATGAATCTATTTATTTTTATCAATGCTTCAACGACGATCTTTTCCAAAAATTCAGCCAAAACATCTACCTCCGACGTACATACAAGGTTTACTATGCACCTGTAAATCGAAATACAAAGTCACACGCGCGGCGAAAAAACAAAAATACCTTGCGGCGGAGAACGCCGGCCTGCGCCTTGCGGTACAGGAGGATGCGGCGGATTCCGATGTAATTGGGATCGGAATCTGAAGGCGAAGGCTGAAGCAAACAACTGAAGAACTCTGGATCTGAATCTGTATCTCCTTTCCCAATTATTTCATCGTTTTTCGATTTCTGATCATCCTCTTCCGGCGAGATGCTGGTTACCGCAGGATCGGCCATTCGGAGCCGAGCTCAATTTCAACTATTTTTCATTAATTACAGTATTTGGATTCTGTCGGTGAATGAGAGATTGCAGTTTGAAGAATTATATTTGCCCGTTAAACGAATTCGACTGCAGTTGGAGATTTTATATTCGGAGCTGAAAGATTGTGTTGCGTAATTGCATTACGTGCTGTGGGGATTGTTCCAATCACTTCTCTCTACCTTTTTCTTTAGTTTTGACTTCTCTCTCTCTCTCTCTCTCTCTCTCTCTCTCTCTCTCTCTTAATGTAGTTTAATCTTTTCTTCTCTCTGCAAAATTTATGCTATTAACTCTTTCTTTTCTCTCTTCAACAATAGGCAGGTAAATAAAATTAGTGTGTTTATTATTTTAATTGTCATAGTCATAAAAATATTAATTTATTGAAATTTACATTTATAAAGAGTAAATGTAATAATGTATGATCTATTAATCTGAAGTCAAAATGCTAATACTTTTATTGTTGTAATCGAATTACATATAAATATTTTTTCTTTAAAAAAAACATAGAAGTAAATTTCCAAAGAAAAAATAAAAAATAAAAAAAAAATTGAATTAGATATATTATATTTAAATTGGTATCAGAGCTAGATTAAATATAATTATATAACCTAGATCAATACCAATTTGAAACACAATAATATAATCCAACTCATTATTGTACAAAAGATTATTCGATATTTAAACATTTAAGAACATATATTCTCAAGCAATGTGGGAGTCTAACTAACCCAGAATAATTAGTAACCCATTTTTTTTTTTTTTTTTTGCAATCAAAATTAGCAACCCAATTAAAAGATGTATTTCTGCAATTCAGATTTCAGAGTGTTGAAATATTATTGAGGAGAACTGCACTACAAATCTCAATACACGTGGATTCATATTTCGCATCGAAAGAAAAAAAGTTCGCAATATTCGACTTCGTGTGTTCATCTTATCATCTAAAAGCAGTCCAATTAACCGAGAAAACAAATTAAACACAGATTTTTTAGGTAGTAGAATCATCAATCTGGCGCCAAAATCGGTTGAAAAACCAAACCGTATCAGCTTTTACAGCAAATCCATCTTGATTACGATGCCAGCTGTAGTAAGCATGGGTTCTGTTCTTTATATCAAGTGTTGCATGGCCGAAGCTAGCCTCCCTAAACGCTGAGTACTTAGGCTGTGGCTCTGTCATGCTGAAACAAACAATACGGCCGGTATTATTACAACATTTGTCGTAATTCTTCTGATTTAAATAGGTAAATTAAAATGACTTTGGAGTTGGAGCTCTTACATTGTAGCTAGGCCTTCAATATTTCCTCCATCCCCGATTGTTATATATACGGGGGCAGATTGGTCATTCACCGGAGTGCAAATTCCGTTCACAATATTGTAAGCTACGTTAGATACACGTTCCTGCAGCGTCGAAGATAGTGAAATTGTTGAGTTTTTATTGTTGATTTTTTTTTTAAATAAATATAATTAATTAGAAAAAACACAAACCGATCGTTCATATGCGTGGACATGGCCTGCAAATACGAGATCGACTTTGTACTCGACGAACCATGGTTCGTACATGACCCTCATGGTTTCTCCTTCCATGTAGTGGTAGTTGTAGCTATTGTACCATGGAGAATGCATAAGAACAATCAGCCACGGTGTCTCTGACCTGTTGACTTTCGGTAGCTCCGCTTCAAGCCAATTATATTGAGGAGTGTATTTTCCTAAATTAAATAAAAAACGGACACAAAACAAAAAGGTTGATGTTAAAAAATCGAGGTTAAGTATATTCGAGTTTCGTATTTAAGGCACAAGGATATTTTTGTAATTTCATTAATAATCCAAAGTTGTCTTTAGAATTAAGGTCAAAAATCAAAACTAAAAATCTAAACAAAGTAAATTATACTCATCTTAATTAAGTGCACATAGAAGATATATATATAATCAAGGGGACTGAATTAAATAGTTTTTTTTTAATTTATTTTTTCGATTAGGTGCATTCTTACCATATGCCGAATACGAGGACAAAACAATGATGTAAGCTGAAGCTCTCTTGATAGAGTACCAAAAAGGAGCAGTACTTCCTGATGCTTTGAACGGGACACGGTAACGGTGCGTGTAAGGCTTGAAAGGTTTCGTTTCACCCTGCAACGATAATTGGCCACAAATTTCGTCATTAATGAATTTCTACCTCATCAAGAAACTTCTCATGAAGAAACAAATTTATTGCAACACTAACAATTTCAGGAGCAAAGTCGATTTCATGATTGCCAGCTGTCCAAATCCAAGGCTGATAAGCTACATTTCTTTCGACAAATCTTGCCCATGTATCCCATCTAACGTTGTCGTGATTAGGGTAGTTGTCGGCATAAGAAAGGTCTCCAACAAATAATACAGCCTGCCCCTTAATTGGATTGTGCTCGTAATGCGTGAGCGTCCTGTTGGAATCATAACTCTGGCCAAGATCCCCTACAACAAACGAACAAAAGGAATCAAATGATCGAAAACACTCACATTTTGAGGCACGTATATTATATTTTACGAAACTGCTAAAGATTAACATTTAAACAGAAACGAAAACAACAGCGAATTTTAATTCCCGATTATAAATTTCCCGGTATAAAAATGCTAGAAAGCCTAAAAGCAACATCCCCAATATAATAAGGCAAAAAGTAAGTACTGTTGAATCTCGATAAATTAATATTCTCCCTTAAATAATATTATTTTCTCGGTCGCGACTCGTAGTAACCGTATTAAATTATTAGTTCAATAATTTAATATTTCAGTAAATTAATAGAATTTTGCTTAGTCATATAAAATTATAGAAGTGTAATTGTACCTATGAGACCAAAAGTATATGGAACATCAGGGCCAACTTCTGGAGGTGTAGTGAACCAGAATGTTCTTGTTGTGTTCCCAATTCCAACCTCGTAGTAATATTTGGTCTCGTGCTGCAGGGAAATAAATTAAGATTAAAATTAAATAAAAAGAGAGATTTTTGACCGTTGATTATAAAAAGTACAACTGTAGAACAGAGAAGAAGATTGTACCTCCAAATTCCTAATAGTGCAGTGATGGATAAAACCAGAGGTGTAATTGTAAAACTTGTATCTGGTTAGGCTGCCCTTTGCCTTATTCTTGTGAGCACTCTTCTCGGCCCAGTATAGAACTGTGTTTGAGCCTGGCTCCTCTACAGTTACCCACGATACAATTACTGCTTTTCCTACATGATCTCCTTGAGTTATATGTACCTATTAAAAAGTAAGATCACAAGAATTTAAAAAAATTCAAAAAAAAAAAAAAAGAAGAGAGAGAGAGAGGAGAGAGAGAGAGGAAGAAGACCTGTTGAGGCGCATTATAGCCGGGAGGCACCTTGAAGACATCGCTGTCAAGTGGCATATCGACAGTCTTCTCAACTTTCCTCACGAAACTACTCGTGACACCTCCATTGCACAGAACCGCAGCATTGAGAACCGCAGCAGTTAGAATAGCTAGCACAAACGTTGTTCCCAGTGCACTCATCTTTCTCAGCAAGAACACTCTGATCACATTCCAGAAGCAGGCATATATGAATACAAAGCAATTAAGAAGTAATATTACGCTGGATTAACGGGGAATTAATATATATTATTGCTAATTACATCCAGGATTGTAGACGAATATATACGTTGTTTTTTTTTTTTAAGCAGTCAAACCTTCTAATCTCGAGTATCGGACCACTGGGACCAAAATACTAGCTATATATCGTAATAAATTTTCTGGACAAAAAAATTAATTTCTGTAATAAAATGTGAAAAAGGTTGGGAGTTGTGAAAAAAACAGAGCTTTTTTTTTTGATAGAAAAAAAAAAAAAAAAAAAAAAAAGTCAAGAGTCGATGAGGATGTGTGAATATGACGTATCGGCTATCAGCCAATCACAATGGAATATAAAAAGTCAAGAGTCGATGAGGCAAAGGACAGTAGCATGGGCCAAACTTTAGAGCCGAATAGCCGATATAGTGGAAATATCTAAGTTCCTCTGAAAACGACCGTCTTATGCAATCAACCTTTTTCTTATTATCTTTATAAAATACTTTCTTTTTCTTAAATAATCTAAATATCTAGATTTTGATTTCATACTTAGGTTTTGTTTGATAAAATTAAGCACTAAACACTTAATGCTGAATAAATAATTGAATAAATAACTGAATGATTAAGATGGACGTTTGATCACTGAATGCTGAACATTTAAGTTTGTTTGATAACTGAAAAAAACTATTGCATCTGAATAATATAATTTTACTATATTAACCCTTATAATTGTTAAACATATATTTATTTACTAACAAAATTATTAACTATGTCTATTGTAATTATTATATTATATTTCTTTTCACAAAATTTATCTAAACTATACATTTATTACATATAAAAAGTAAAACTTTCAAGATAAATTTGATTGTAATAACTAATATCTGTAACAAAGTGAAAATGAAAAATAAATAATATTCCAATATTTCATTAGTGGAAGAACCAAACTGTGGCTAATCATATTTTTATTGTAAAATCATGAATCAAAAACAAATTACATAAACAATCTTTGAAATATCTGGCAAACTATTAACAAGGCCACCGCTTTGTGTTGTCATAAAAAAGTCCACCACTTTCAACAAATTTTAGGGATAATATTGTCTAAAATTATATTCATTTCAATTCAGCCGATCACTGAACGAATAAGACTTGATTTTTCGGCTGAATCGGTCAGCAGAAATTGCTTCCATTCAGAGTTAAGTACCAAACAAACTGAATGCTTCTATCTGACCGAACAAGGCCTTAGTCCTATTAAATTTTGGGCTAATAAACCCTCTTATATTTGTGTTATTACAACCACCTCCCTTACCTCTAATTTTTTCTACATGTTCACCCTTATGGAGTCAAAGTTAACGAAACATTTTAGATTCTATGAAATGTTCTCTAGTTTGTACTCGTTTTGTGCAAAATTGTAGTTTTTGATGCACCACAATTTGATATTTACAGGCCAAGAGACTTATCGTATAATCATCTTGTTTCAAAATGTCGAATTGAAGCGGGGTAAAACAGGTACAAACCGAAGAATATTTCACTCTAAATTTGACAGCACAAGGATGGATGTGTAAGAAAATTCATAATTTAGAGAGTATTTGTAACTGAAATGATTTGTGCAGGCTTAAATTAAACATTCAGGCACATTTTTTACCATTTCTCAAAAACCAAAAGGTAAAAAACTCAAAAAACTCTCTCAACCCTCTCGATTTTCATTCGCAAAGCCCGTGCAAATCGTCAACAGATCAGAGGTAATTTTTACGTTTTTACGATCCTCTTGTTATGTAGATTACGAATCCGAAAAAAAAAACGAAAAAAACCGAGCTTAGCAACACTCGTGTGAATTTACACGAGCGAAACCACTTCGCTCGTGTAAATTCACTCGAGTGTGAATTAAATTTTTTTTTTTTTTTTTTTTTTTTTTTTTTTTTTTATTTCGTAAAAAATAGGAGTTTGATTTTTTCTCGGTGTGAATTTACACGAGCGAAGTGGTTCCGCTCGTGTAAATTCACACGAGTGTTTAAAATTTTTTTTTTTTTTTTTTTATATTTTTTTTTTTAATAAATTAATTAGTTTAATTAGCAGGTGTGCTCGTGCAAACACATGCGAGCACTTTTGAAGTGCTCGCATGTTTTTGCACGAGCACAACAAATTTTTCTTTTTTTTTTTTTTTTTTTTTTTTTAATAAATTAATTAGTTTAATTAGAAGGTGTGCTCGTGCAAAAATATGCGAGCACTTCAAAAGTGCTCGCATGTTTTTGCACGAGCACCACACAAAAGGTTTTTTTTTTTTTTTTTTTTTTTTAATTTCATTATTTAAATGTTTTTTTTTTATTAAATGAAATATTAATAAAGTGTTTATTTAAAATGTAGATGGCAGGAGGCCGGGGGAAAAGTCTTATGAGTCAAGTTGCCGGTAAAGGCAAGAGCTTAATGAAAGCCTTGAGCGGAAAGGGTGACAATCCGGAAGATCCGGATCGCATTGGAGACCGAGATGTCCTTGCTTCCGCCCGTAGAAGAAAGCAGTTAGCTCGAGAAGCAGCGTTACAGCGGGAAGATGAGAGATTGAGACGAGAAGCTGTTGCAGCTGGAGCCGGACCTTGTCGACCTACACACGATCTCCAGCTAGCTCGTAGTACATTGCCACATCCCGACGATGATGATGACCACAACAACAATCCAGATAATATGGATACTGACGAGGAGGTGGAGGAAGATGATGTACATCAGGATCGTAAAGCTGGTCGTGCCTTACCCTTTCCGCAGCTGCCTGGTCCGGCGTACTTGGAGGGTCCGTGCGATGGAGGGCCGCAAAATTTAGAGTTTATGCGATGGTTCAAGTCGCATATAGCGATGTACATTTGGGAAGGATATGTAAGTTTTTCTGTCAACACGTGCTTTACATAATTCTTATATTATTCATTATTTTTAGCTAACAATACATGCAATATTTTTCAGGAGCGCCGTGAAACTACACGGTGCGAGTCGAGGACCAAAGCACTCGAGGACTACCGCGGCCCGCAGGATAACACGATGATTGCGAGGCTGGAGGCAACAGATCTTTACCACTTACGAGACTGTTTTCTGAAGAAGATGAACAAGAACCTCATGCTAGCTTTCGTGGAGAGGTGGCAGCCGGAGACGAACAGTTTCCACATGCCATGGGGCGAGATGACGATCACGCTCCACGATGTCGCTTTCATCATGGGGTTGCGGCTGGACGGACCAGCAGTTTCTGAAATTCGCCCGGTAGAAGAGTGCTCACAGAGTCTTGCATCTGTATTGGGTCTCGGTCTGATGGACACCAATGACATGTTTCGAAACAAGGGAGTTGGTTGGGTTAAGGTGAGAGATCAGTTGACCCTTCCCTCCGCCACAGACGAGAAGAAGATGAAGGGCTACTTGATGTTTCTGCTTGGGTCTGTTTTGTTTGTAGACAAAACAGGGAGTAACATGAAGCCGTGGTGGATCCATTTTACCAACGATCTCGATAATGTCGGCAAGTATTCGTGGGCTTCGGCATGCTTAGCAAACATGTACCGCCAATTGGGTATTGCCACCCGCGCTGGGATGAACAGTCTCTGTGGATGTGTTATTCTCCTTCTGGTACGTGTACCTTTATTAGTAATTATTTATTTATTTAAACTTCTATTTTATTTATTTATTCATTGGTGTTTGTTTTCAGTGCTGGATCTTTGAGCATTTCCCCTGCTTTCGACCACCTCTTTCCCGTTCATATGCCGAGTTTGAGCCTCGATGCAGAAGGTGGGCCCATGGTGGAGGCAATAAAACCACGCTGCAGGAATACCGGAAAATACTCGACGCCATGATCGTTATGTAGCGACATAGGAATAATACGTGATAACGCGGGGTTCCCAACTAGTGGTAGGTGAGTGATGCTACCCCGTTCAGTGAATATTAATACCATTGCGTTGTATCTTGTAGCGATCGCCAACCCCATATCTGTTGACATCCATTTCGTCCGTGGCGCCGGTCCCCTCTCATGACTGCATGTCAAGATATAATCAGCGACTGTATTTCGACCCCCCTCATCCCCACCAAAAATATTAGCATATAGATTGTAACGCTCCATAAACTCTTCAACCAAGTCAGTTCTGACTTGTGGCCATCTCTCTTGACTGCCGTAAACAACTTCGGCTATGCATCGGTAGCCACAATTTCCATCGGCCCTCACATTAACGTATGAGGCTATGGACTGTGCGAGAAACGGAGGAAGGAAGGAAAAGAAATTGACCCGGTCGCCGGCAGTAACAACTGATTCTTCCGTCGATTTAGTACATCCGCGAGGACGACCTTTAACCTTTGACTCTGGCGTATCAGCTTTAAATTTTGAGTCTGGCGTCCTTTCGGTCGGGGTTTTGCGACCCTTAGAGCCGGAAGAAGATTTAACCTCGGATTTCCGATTCATCGTGTGCTCATATCCGGACAAGTTCCTCTTCATCGAGTTATTCTTAGGTCGTCCCTTGGCCTTCACAAATGACGGCTCTTGTAAATACGTTGAAGAAGGATTATTTAGGTCCCGTAAATAGTCGGCCGCATTTTTTTGGGACATGTAATCTTTGTTTGATAACTTCTCGAACTCATCGAGAAGAACTTTCTTAATTGCAACTGTGCGATCAAACGGTTCCTCCTCGTCCTCCCATGGATCCGACTTTGGCTCGACAACCAACGTTCTCCAGAATGGATGTAACTGTTGCGGATAAAAAGTATCTCCCTCAGCAATTTTAACTGCAATCATACACGCACACGGGAGTCCGTGGGTTCGGCTTAGGTAACAGTTGCAACTATCCGGATTATTTTCCAATTTTTCGTACTCTTTATCCAACAGGTCCAGTGCTTTGTGTGATACGTTACATACCAAAGCACCGAAGCACGACAGTGAAGTACTGTACATCCTGACTGTTCTACTACTTTCGTTTTCCACCTTCAATTCATTAATTTGAAGGTCAACTTGCGCATCTAGTGCATTTTGAACTGTATCCATAGCTCCAGTCGATGTTTGGATCCAAAGCTTCGATGCACGATGTGCACTCTCTACTCTGTTTCGAGAAAACACTCAAATAATGAATAAATGTAACATGTGTATAAAAGATTATACGTAACGAGTTTATAGTAAAATCAATTTATATACCTGTTAGTCGTCGTGTTACCGAAATGAACGATGTTGTTGGTCCAACACTTAACAAATCTCTCCTTATAAATCAACCACGTTTCATTGATGTAAGTTATCAGCTTCGGATATTGCCCGTACAAACTAACTATCTCTCTATAGTTGCATTCGTATTCTTCCTCGGTCTCAGATTCGACTAATTTTGCCCACACCGTCCTCCGGAACAGTATACCCAACTTGGTGTTACCCAAGAATTTTGACGCGTTTGCCTCAACGTTTCTGTTTATGTGATATAAACATAACATGTGATGCGAATGTGGAAACACGTTTGGCAATGCTTTCAGTAGGCCCAGCTCACGATCTGTCAGTATCACTTCTGGTTCTATCCCGATTGGTAATATGTCTCGCAAACATCGCAATGTCCATGCATAAGTGTCCCCATCTTCACGTGACATAAAAGCAACGGCAATAGTGAAGTTCCTTCCCACGGGAGTAACCCCAATGATCTCCAAAAGAGGCATTTCATATCTACATGAAGGTAATTATAATTTAGTCAACTCTTACATATATATATATATAATAAATGTAATACACATTTAAATAATTATTACCTGTTAGTCTTGTACGTGCAATCCATCAGGATGACGTATGGAAATAACTGCAAAAGCTTTATTGAATCAGGGTGCGCAAACATAACGTCTTGCACTGTATCACCAGCTGGATTTGTTCGATGCCATTTGCTGTATCCACTCTCACTTAGTTCGTGCCACAGATGTTGTATAACTGTTTTTCCTTTCATTTCCTCTCGTCTAATTTTCTGTGATTCATTGTACACTTCTCTCAAGGACGCAGCCGTATCCGGATTCATCTGCCTCAGATGATGCAAAATTTCCTTCGGCTTCACATGGCTCTTTTTCAGTATCTTTGTCACTTCTCGTTGCTCTTCAGTCAGGCGACTTAGCGAACGTAGTCCTTGTGGATATTTATGAGGATTATGATTGTGCTTGCCATTTTTTATGGTAAGGCGCCATAATCCATCCCGACCCTCTTTACCCCATAGCGCAAAAGGGCATTTACACTTTATTGAACCGGACTTCCGGCTTGTTTCGACCTCTGCATTTTTTCCTCGACTCTTATAGGCTCTTTTGCAAGTCAAATACTGTCGGCCCTCGTGGTAAGACTGTCGCCTAATCTCATGTCCATGACTGATGGCCATATTCATCGCCCACTCGACTAGTGCATCTTTACTATCAAATGCAGTCGAAATTGTGAAAAATTCACTGAAATCATGTAGCTCGAATGTTTCAATATCTTCATCCACATCTATGTATACTTCCTGTTTTTATATTAATGTAATTAGCAAATTATAAAACTAAAGGATAAAACTTAAAAAAAAAAAAAAAAAAAAAAAAAAAAAAAAAAAAAAATTGTGGTGCTCGTGTGATTTCACACGAAAGTGGTGGACTTTTTTATGACATTTCACACGAGCAAACCTCCAGTTTGCCAGATATTTCAAAGCACACAACCTAATTAAAAAAAAAAAAAAAATTTGTTCTTGAGCTCGTGTGAATTTACGCGAGCACTTGGCAAGTGCTCACGTAAATTCACACGAGTAGATGAATTTTCGGGAAAAAAACGAAAAACTTACATTCGGGTCTAAGTTGTTTGGATCCATCGCAAAAATTGTTGAATATCTGAAATTTTTCACTTTGAATGTTGAGTTTTCTTTTTTTATAGGATTTGGTAGGAATAGTACAAAAGGTAAATAGTTGTGGTAAAAAGGTAAAAAACCATGGTAAAAAAGTGCCTGAATGTTTAATTTGGCCTGCGTATATCACCACCCTATTTGTAATTGCCCAAAAATTAGTGGTTTTTTCGTAATTTGACATTACCCCTCCATAATTTATCCTTTTCTTATCATAAAAAAAGCTGCCAACTATAATCAAGTGACAGAATCTTCTTAGGCCCTTTTTCCTAGATAACTTTCCCGCACTACAAAGTCAAATGTAAAACTGGAAAATCGCACTAGTATTGGTTTAGGTTATGGTCCAATAGTGGACCAAAATGAATGCTCCAACCAAATCCACAGTTAGTGAAATATTGGACCCCAAAATCATCGCAAGTAGTATGCGAATACAACCAAAGAATCATAAGTCCATTTATTTAAATTCAATTCATCTCAGAAGCAAACATAATGCAGCTAATCAAACAGAAATCATTTGTAGCACTAAAGTTCTACAACGTGACTTCACATTTCAAATTGAAAAAGAATCAAAATACACTTCGTGTTCTCTGACTCGTATACAATTCGACAATCGACCCCATTTATTTAAGCTTGTTTAAGCACGCACCACTCCTATTCTAAGTTGCCCGAACAAAAAATATATGTATATATCACAAACTGCACAAATTACGAAAAAAAAGGAGAACCGAAACAAATTAGAATGCGAAAATTCCACTGCTTCAAGATTGAGCGCTCGTAGAATCATCAATCGGATTCCAATATCTATTGGAAAACCACATTGTATCAGCTTGTACAGCGTAACCATCCTGGTTACGGTGCCAACCATAGTAAGCATGCGTTCTGTTCTTTATATCAAACGTTGCATGGCCGAAGCTCGCCTCTCTAAATGCCGAGTACTCAGGCTGTGGCACTGTCATGCTGAATAACATAATTAAGGTATAACATTAGCCATAATTCTTCTGATTTTTCGAGGTAATTAAATAATTAAGTCTTACTTGTTGGCCAAGCCTTCAATATTTCCTCCATCTCCGATGGTTATGTAGACCGGCGCGGACAGGTCATTCACCGGAGTGCAGATTCCGTTCACAACATTGTAAGCTATGTTAGACACACGGTGCTGCAATAAAGAAGCATATATATTATACTGACTGTTGTATGCAAATAAGGAAAAAGAAAAGAATAAAAGTATACCGATCGCTCGTACGCATGAACATGGCCAGCAAATACGACATCGACTTTGTACTTGACAAACCATGGTTCAAACATGACTCTCATGGATTCTCCTTCCATATAGTGATAGTGGTTACTATTGTACCACGGTGAATGCAACAGAACAATCAACCACGGTGTTTCGGACCTGTTGACTTTCGGTAGCTCCTGCTCGAGCCACTTATACTGAGGAGTGTATTTGCCTTCAAGAAACCAAAAAAAAAAAAAAAAGAAGGAAGGAAGAAAACGGAATCAACTTATAAGTTTCATATTTAACCGAAGAGTAATAAATAGAAAGTGAAATAGTTTTCTTTAGTTACGGGAATTCTTTTACCGTATGCCGAATATGAAGACAAGACTATGACGTAAGCCGAAGCTCTCTTGATAGAGTACCATAAAGGAGAAGTGCTGTTTGATGATTTGAACGGGACATGATAACGGTGCGTAAAAGGCTTGAAAGGTTTCGTTTCACCCTGCAATGCAATTATGACTACTTTGTCAAAATTCATTCTTTCGACGAACAAGTGTGGCAAGTAAGTAATTAACCATATTTTGACATCGAAGATTTGAAATAAATGCTAATACAAATAATACGATCAAACATTAGTTTATTAATTCTGTGCTCTGTTCTTTTGAATCATACATGCAAACAATGAATTTGCACGAGACTTACAATTTCGGGGGCGTAATCAAGTTCGTGATTGCCAGCTGTCCAAATCCAAGGTTGATAAGCCACACTTCTTTCGACGAACCTTGCCCATGTATCCCATCTAACATTGTCGTGATTAGGATAGTTGTCAGCGTAAGAAAGGTCTCCAACAAATAATACAGTTTGTCCCTTTGTTGGATTTTGCTCGTAGTGTGTAAGTGTCGAGTTCGAATCATAAGTCTGGCCAAGATCCCCTACGGAGAAGCAAAAACTCAAAAGGATTAAAATACTCGTACATAATTAAACATGCTCATTTTATATATAATATCATCATAACAGTGCATTTTTTAGCTTTCACTTTCGAAAAACTTAATATTTTCGAATGCATTTGAAGCACAATTCGTCGAAAGCAACTTAAGCTTTTTTTTCATAAATAATTAAATTTCTATGCATTCGGCTTTCAATTGGATCATCCCCTATATATATATTCTTGAAAACGATCACCGATCACACAACCAAAATGTTTTTCGGGAAACCTAAACGACTAATAATCCACTAAATTACGTAACCGAATCCAATTATTATAGCCTATAATAATATTCTAGCAAGCCTAATAGTAACACACCATATAATTCTAAAACAAAATAAAAAATAAAAAAATAAAAATAAAAGTACCGATAAGACCGAAAGTGTATGGAACATCAGGGCCAACTTCTGGTGGTGTAGTGAACCAGAAAGTTCTTGTTGTGTGCCCAATTCCAACCTCATAGTAATATTTGGTGTCATACTGCAAAATATAACATTAAATAATTAATGTTAAAAATTAAACTTGTGAATGTACATTCAAAATATTAACAGAATAAAGTTTGTACCTCCAAATTCCTAATAGTGCAGTGATGGATATAACCAGAAGTGTAATTGTAGAATTTGTACTTGGTGACTTTCCCCTTTGCCTTATGCTTGTGACCACTGTTCTCAGCCCAATACAGAACTGTGTTTGAACCTGGCTCCTCTACAGTTACCCATGATACAATCACTGCTTTTCCTATATGATCTCCTTGGGTTATATGTACCTATAACCAAACCAAAATTAACACACATCCACAAAATGTATGGTTAAATAGATAAAATCCGTAGAAATTACTACTGCAGAGGAATCCTCGAATATCCAACCATATATAAATAATAAAATACTCAATGCAGAATAAATATCTATTACAAAACAAGACAAAATTAACTAATTAATTAATTTAGCGCTAAAAGACAAAAACGTTGGAGATCAATGATTATCAGAAAAAGTAGGTTTATTTTTAAATAGAATAATAATAAATTAAGAGAGAGAGAGAGAGAGAGAGAGAGAGAAACCTGTTGGGGGGCATTATGGCCGGGAGGCACGTTGAAGACGTCACTGTCAAGTGGCATATCACCACTCTTCTCATCTTTCCTAACAAAAGAACTCGTGCTTCCCCCACTGCACAGAACCGCAGAATTAAGAACCGTAGCAGCTAGAACAGCCAGCACAAACGTTGTTCCCGATGCACCCATCTTTCTTATCTATCTATTTTGTAACCGTTGCACCAAGAACAGGGAGCCCACCGTGTTATCTTCCTCTCACATTCCACAAGGCAGGAGATACGAAGAGATATAAATACAAGGCGATTGAGAAGAAGAATATTACGCTGAATTAACGGGGAATATTATTGCGTAATACTGCGTATTAGCGGGGGAATATCCACACATTTATACGGATAACCTACGTTTACTTATTTATTTATTTATGTATTTACTTTTTCATTGAAATTGCATACAGATCGGACCACTTATTTGTAGTATATGTTATTGTTACACCATTTTTGAAGAAATTATTAAAGGTTGGGAGTGAGTATAACAAGAGGCAGCATTTATGGGGATGTGACGTTGACTTGTGGTTTAAGAATTCGATGCAATTAATTAAAGATTAGGGTTCCTCCATTAATTAAGATTAGGGGAAATGTTGAGATTAAACTTTATAATCCCAACTCTTGCACCATTGGACGGCAAGACAATTAATTGCCATTTGGGATTTTTTTCAGCTTGATATTATTAATTTGTTAGTGTGACGTAGATGAATTTAATATTCTTCAATTTTTTTTTTTAATAAATTTCCCTTTGGGCCTTTTCTATTATGAATTAAGTTTTCTTTGTTTTCTTCTAGCGAAATGAAATTGATGGGCTTCGATTCAAGCAGGTCAAGTTAATGGGCTCGATAGATCATACCCAATTATACCACTAGCAAACCTAGTTAATTGTCTCTGATTTGTAAAGATGTCTTTTTTTTTTTTTTTTTTTTTTTTTTTTTTTTTTTTTTGTGAACTGCGCTGTTCGGTTTTGGTTTCGATTTGATTTATGATGATTATAGTTAGTCCAACTCATATTAAAATCACCAATAAATCCAAAATCTGTTGATCAGTGATTCTAACTTCTTGAATCTGAAGATATGTTGATCAAGGGTAGTTCATGAATCAGTGGTGGAGAATGAAGTAGCTCAAGCAACCAATGAAAGGAGATTGTTGAGCTAGTAGTTATTTGTATTAGCGTTTATTTCTTTTATATACAGTAGAAACTCGATAAATTAATAACCTCGATTAAATAATAGTTTTTCTTGATCCCGACTCGGTGAAAATGTGTTAAATTATTAACTCGAAATTTTATATTTCGCTATATTAATAGAAATTTCCTCAGTTCCGACTGTATAAATTTGTAGAGGTTTAACTCTATAAGATTAGTTTTTTGTTTCCACAAATACTAAGATGTCGAGAATTGATAGAATTGATAACAAAATTTAATTGGAAAATGGTTACTATTAAATCAGAAATATTATTGAAAAATCACATTTGATATTAAAATTAATTTAACGAACGAACATCTGATTACTAATTAATCAACTAATCAATTAAAATTAAATCGAAGTCGAGAACAATATGTTGGTGTGCAATCGAATGTAGTTGTGTAAATTGTAGAGGTCTTGTTTACGCCTCTTGCAAACAGAAGAAGCAAAGCAGTATCCCAAGCAAATGAGATTCCACCACGTGTACATTCTCTATTGGCCGCTCCAAATATCTCCCACGCTTTATAGAGAAGGAATAACGTAATCTGAAAGTGAAACCCTAAATATATGCCATGGCTTCACGCTTTGCCATCCTGCTCCTCTCTTTTCTCCTCATTGCGACGTCGTTTAGATGCTCAATCGCCGATGCTGACGTCAATGAAGGCGCCGTCGGGAGCGACGATCTTGTGATCCGGCAAGTCGTGGACCACGGAGAAGACGAAGTCGTCGGCGAGAACTCGTTGCTGAACGCCGACCACCACTTCGCGATCTTCAAGAGGAAATTTGGGAAAACGTACACTGATAAGGCGGAGCACGATTACAGATTGTCGGTCTTCAAGGCTAACATGCGCCGCGCGGTCCAACACCAGAAGATCGACCCCTCGGCTGTCCACGGTGTCACGCAATTCTCCGATCTCACCCCGAGAGAGTTCCGCAGCCGATTCCTCGGCGTCAATAGGCGGCTCCGCCTCCCTTCCGACGCTCACAAGGCGCCGATTCTGCCGACGAATGATTTACCTGCGGACTTTGATTGGAGAGATCGCGGCGCTGTTACGGCGGTGAAGAATCAGGTTAGCGCGGAATTAGGTTTTGCTTTACAATTTTTATTCGATGTTTTTTAATAATTAAATAGGATCCGCCATAACGTTTTTGCAAATATTAGGGTTACGATTATTTTGTTACATTTACAGACTTAATTGATTAGTTATTCACTGATTCACGTGACGATTAATTTATTCTGTAACTCATGCATATATCATTCATTTATGATCTTTAACTGCGTGGTTGTTAGGGTTCCTGTGGATCTTGTTGGTCGTTTAGCACCACAGGAGCTTTAGAAGGTGCCAACTTCCTTGCGACAGGAAATCTCGAGAGCCTCAGCGAACAACAGCTTGTCGACTGTGATCACGAGGTTTGATTCATTTAACCTTTACTGCTATTTCATTGTCTTTCGGACTTTGGTATTAGTTTCTCATAGTATCATGTTGGTTCTATGTTCTTAATTTAATGCTGTTATTAGTATCTAATCGTATTGTTTTATATGAGTATTGAATGTTTGAATGGATGGATATTTTTGTTTAGCTGGTCAGAAGACGACATGTGAATACAATTATTTGGATGTTTTTGAATTAGTGTGTTTGAAATTGATGATTGGACGTTACCTCGTTGGCTGATAAGTATGCATAAAAAAAATTACAATGATAACTGGGCAATAAGGACATTATAGATAATGAACGAGAAAGTAGGTCCCTTATATCAATTGCATATTTGCTTAAGTTCGATATCGCAGACCATAATTGTTTAAGTTGACCTGACAAATAGTCTGTAGGCATAAGTCATAATACTTCCTCATAGTAAAGTACTTAAGGTTCAAAGATAAATAAATTTGCTAAATATGCCTTTCTCCACGTGGTTGATAATGCTTTTGAAAGTATTTACATTCAGTCATGTCTGAGGCGATAATGTTGGCATTCGTGCACATTATCGTTGACAGTTGAAATGGAAATAGTAGTCCCATTTTTTTCGGAATTAAATAGAATTAAGCAGCTTGAAAAAAGAGGTCATTCATAAAAGGTGTATAAAATGGTTTGGAATACTTATGATTTTCAATTGTGATTTTTTCGTTTTAAATTTTATTTGGAATCATCTGTTGTTCTACCCTTGGAGCTTGTTTATGTTGTGGTATTAGCTTCGATGTACTATTCTGTCCAAGCTAGTAGTATCATGCTTGCATTTTAATATGAATTATCCTAGGAACCCAATATGTTTTTCCCCGATACATTTATGAGTCGTCTTCGGATACATTTTTACTAGTCAAATGTAGTATCATTGGGAAAACTCAATTTTGCCCCAACTGGTTTTTGAAAAATGTCAAAGTGAACTAACGACATGTAGCAAAATAGATGAGGACATTTTTGTGAAACACCGCTTTAATACTTCATCAATAATGCGTAGTAAACAAGATATTATGTGATATACCATTCATTATTCAACATACTAAATACACGTCATGAATTATATTAATAATGCATATCCTTCAAACTGCATACATCTCATCAATACCTTTAAAATATAATAATACACCCGAATAGAAAAATATAGATCTCTACTACTCTGCTGTGCTGTTTACTGAAGCTTTTACTCTGCAGTGTGATCCAGAAGAAAAAGATTCATGCGACTCAGGCTGCAACGGTGGACTGATGAATAGTGCTTTCGAATACACACTTAAAGCTGGTGGACTCATGCGAGAAGCTGACTATCCATACACGGGCACTGATCGAGGAACTTGCAAATTTGAGAAGACCAAAATTGCTGCAAAGGTTGCCAACTTTAGCGTTGTATCCCTTGATGAAGATCAAATTGCAGCAAATCTTGTCAAGAATGGCCCTCTTGCCGGTACATATCCCAATTGCTCATTTTTTCACATTCTTTACTGTGTCTCTCTTTTTTCATGAAAAGAATAATTAAATCTATTACTGTGGTTACTTCACATGCATCAAATTTCCTTTAGACATGAGCTTTTCATCCACTGCATTTTCTATTGACTTCCTCACACGCACACACAAAGGAGAAAATTGTTATCTCGGCCAAATATTTGAAATGGTACACTAAATTTCCATAGGCTTGATCAATTGATGCTAATGTTGTTGAATTGGTTTTATTGGGTGCAGTGGCTATCAATGCAGCTTACATGCAGACATACATGAAAGGAGTCTCATGCCCATACATATGCACAAAGCGATTGGATCACGGTGTATTGTTGGTTGGTTATGGCGAAACTGGCTATTCTCCAATTAGAATGAAGGAGAAGCCATATTGGATTATCAAGAATTCTTGGGGTCCAAACTGGGGAGAAGATGGCTACTATAAAATATGTCGGGGCCGCAATATTTGTGGAGTGGATTCCATGGTTTCGACTGTTGCAGCTGTTAGTACTACTTCACATTAGGACTTTAATTTTTTACTCTCCACCTCATTCATGTACATAGAGAGGTGTTTCTGCATTTATTTGTCTAACCAAATGGACTGTGGTTCTTATTTATTTGGAACAATTAAAATTTAATTATTTATGTTGGACGTTCTCTCCGTGCCATCTCGGTTGCAGCTTCGGGTACAGGTTTGTAATTTGATCTCTCCAGCTCCAGGTATGTCCTCGAAAAATGACCATTTATTTTTCTGTTATATTTTCATACTCTCCTGCATAGTTATGGGTTTTTGGGCAGCACTGAAATTTTCCTGTTTTATTTGACATTTAGAATAACGTTTTTTTCTTCTTTTCTGAAACATTTTTAGAACTTTTAAAGTGATTAAAAAAAAAACTGGTGTATCATATTTATCTGATATCTTTCGAAAATAAATCTTTTGAATTAATTTAGAAATTTAAATGCCAATTTTCTAAAATCAATATTTAAAAACATTGGCCCACGTACCAGTAGTGGCTGGCCATCAAAGGCTCGGCCAACATATTAAAATAGAATTTAGTATAGGCCTTGTTCGGCCCATTTAAACAGGCCCAAATAATCCCAATAATGATAATAAATAAATTTTAATATAGGCCCAATCAGTCCCTGTAACGTAATTTACGGATTTTTTTCGGCTCGATTAAGCCCAATAACTGGAAAGTATGGATAATAAACGCAGTAAGGCCCAATAACATAATCAGTTGAGCCAGAACACATTATCTAATTATCGGCCCAATAATAGAATAAACGGATCCAATAGGCCCAAATTGATTTGAATAGGGCCAGATAGGCCCATTAACTAACGTAGGCCCAGCAAGCCCAAAATGGAATTTACGTTTTTTAAAAAGCCCGATAAGGCCCAATAACTAACGCAACTTGGGCCCTGTTGGTGGTGCCCACAATAACGGACTAAACTGATTTAAAGGCCCATTAACAGGCATTATTTTGAAGTACAACGAAATAAACGGATTTAATAGGCCCAATATTAATTTAAGTATGGGCCAGGTAGGCCCAATAACGAATTTACGGATTTTGAGAGGCCCGATTAGGCCCAATAACTGACATGGGTTCTGTTTGGTGAGGCCCAATAATCGAATAAACTGATTTTATAGGCCCCAATAACGGAGTAAACGGATTTCCTAGGTCTATTAAAGTAACATAATTAATTAAATTCAGGCCCAATAGTGGAATCTACGAATTTTCACAAAATATGGGCCCAAAATATGACCCAATAACTGACGCAATGAGACCCATTAAGCAAGCTTGGATCCTGCTTATTGAGGCCCAATAACGGAATAAAGTGATTGTATAGCCCCACTAACAGGACATTTTTTTTAAACATGGCCAACTGAGGATTTAATTGAGGCCTAATTTTGGTTAGAAATTGGGCTACATAACGAAAAATTTAGACCCGATAAGAAAATATTGGTCAATTGGCAGACAGGAGTAAAATCCTGCAAGACCTGGTAAAAGAAAATTTAGGTTTATGCAGAATCCTGCAAAATGAAATATGAAATAGGCCCAACAAAGCTAAATGAAATAGGTTTATGCAGAATCCTGCAAGACCTGCACCACAGTAAGCGAAATATATCCAAACTAGAAAACAAGAAACATAAAACGGACACCATTAACATTTTCTTGTTTATAAATACAAAGTTGTGAAAATGATAATCTGCATAAATAAAATAAATAGAATAATAAATTACACAAACGGTGTTCTTGGTCGTCGCTGTGGCAATAAACTTAGCAACTGCAAGCCTCAACAAAAAGCCTGCTTATTCCTCACAATGGCAAATAATACGAACGCACGGAGAGACGGCACTCAATGCAAAAAAACTCTATGCATGGCATCCATATTAATGAAATATAGAACATGCAAATCAACCCACCATATATATTAATTATAGTTGTGACTTGGTAGAGTCTCTCTCATTCCTCTTCGATATCAATCAAGGAAAACGAAAAAGGATAAAACTTGTATCCATCTCCCTCGTAAAACTTATTCTGGAACTCCACCCAGTGAAGCCTTAATGCATGCAAGAAGGCACTGAGAGTTTCCATTACAAGCAATACTCCCACAGTTGCACAGATGAAGATGATGATTCCAACAATAAGGATAATTACATTGTTGTACCTGCAGCATATGGTCAAAAATGTTATTGCAATTATTTAGTAGTCATAGATTGATAGCATTTATCAAGAAATCGAGACATTCTACAAATTTACTTACCCCCATGCAAGTTGAAGAACTTTCTCATAGAACACACTTGATAACTCCGAATGTGCAAGGCTGAACAAGACAGAAAATGGTAAGGCGAAGATCAAAACACAAATCAAGTTGAAGATTAAAGACACTCCAATAAATATTGTGTTTGCAACTTTTTATGGCAAAAGTAATATACATGGATCAAAGCAATTGTTTGTGATGCAAGTTAACGTTTCAAGAACAAATTTTATGTAGCAATTTTGCAAGGCTTTAGATTCATCAAGTTGAGAATACCACAAAGCATATCAAAATAGTATTGAGGTTTTCAGATAAACAGAAATTACAGGTTCCAGGCATATATCAATTTTTTTAAGCAGATACCTGAGTGCCCACAAACGAAGATAAGAAGCTGTGTTTGAAACTGCCCCAAGCACAAATTCTATTGTGTGAATGAGCTGATGTACAAATACTTCACTGAATTCAAACTCTTCGTGACCATGGGAATCGTGATTTGCTCCTGATTGCAAAGACTCTTCCGAGTCTTGAAGAGGTGCATAGGCTCCTCCTTGGTGCCTCTGGAACAAACATGGTATAAGAAAACGCGATAAACAAAAGTAGGATATACATAAGCTAAGACCTAAAATGGATAAGTAACAAAAGAGTTCATAATCACATACATTGTGTTGCATCTTCAGAAGGAAAGGCTTTGGCAGCAGCATCCAAGGGACAGAGACAAACGCCAATAGTAATAACACAAGCTGTACATGGATGAGATCGGTTTTAATCAAATTGCAAAGAAAAGAAAGATGGAAGTTTTTCATTGCATCCCATAAAATATATGAAATGAATAAATATCTGAGTTATCTTATTTAGTGATTACTACTCAACCTGAGTCATCTTTTGACCAGAGAAAAGCTGATTTTCGCCAAGGTCGTCGGTAGGACTCAGAAACATGTAGATCATCACATGATACAAATCGGCTTTCGAACCAGTGCACCATTTAATGATGATAAGGATAGAAAGATAGCCAAACAGACTGTTCAAGAATATTATCTGGGGAATAAACTGGAACCTGGAATAGCAAAGAGTAAATATAAACTAGTTAAGATAATAATACCTATGGCAGGATATTTCTACATTAAATTAATATAATAATCAGTAGAAGAGTTATTAGCAAAAGGAGTTCTGGAAACTTCAACATACCATGTATTAATCCTATTTTTGAAGAACTGGGCATTAAAAAAGCTCAATACTATTCCAAGGTTCATCTGGGCAACTCCAAGTAGGATTGACATTTTCATTTTCAATGAATTAAGAAATGGCAACTCACTGCGTGTACCATGCCACGCAGGATCGACTCCAAACGGGTAAGTGTCTCGTGCCATGATCAAGCCTATCGTAGTAGAATCCCTGCAGCAAGAAACTTCAATATACAAGAGACACAGCATGCAACAAATATTAAAAAATTAGGTCAACCAGATACCTGCATTCTGGATCACGACATACATATGCTGAACGAGCGAATAATTCAAATGGCACGGAGAAAAATTCATTATAAATCAACCCAGTGTAAATTGAGAATAGCGCCATCAACATAATAACATAACGCCCACCAAAAGTCATTTCCATGATGTCTCCAAGTTTCTGCATTTTGGAAAGTAATTTGATCTTGTCAACCAGAAAGCAAAACGTTGGGAATATCGTAACAAAAATTGTGATAGACTCGCGACGAGAGGACATATGACAAAAAGTTAGAAATTGAAAGCTTGTTTTATAGAGCTCCAACAACATTTTTCATGAATTAAAGCCACGACTAATGCAGTCTTTTGGCAATTCAGTTGATGATCTCAATGTAAAAAACATAAAGAATGACGCCAAATTGAATTACACTAGCATGCAAACACACAGCTATATATTTTTCAATCCACTAACAACATGGTTTATCTGTAAAGATCCGCAAATTAAGAGACCTAATCATAAATATTAATTAAAAAAAACACACAAGGAATAATAACAAAAAGAGATTCTGCATGAAAATAGCAAATTCAAGACTAATGAAATAATAGATTCAACCAGAGAAAAGCACAGTACAAGAGAAACACAAACAAACTACAACTATATATTACCTGACTGGAGAGCTTTTTTTCTCTGATAATAAAATATGACGTCGCAAGTAAAAGGCATATGCCATGTCCCCAATCCCCAAACATGACGGCGAAAAGAAACGGGAATGTAACGATAGTGAATACACCAGGATTTGCTTCCTGATACTTGGCCACTCTGCCATGACATATAATTAAAATGCATCAATTTATATACATGGTAAAAGTATGTACCATAAGAAAAAAACCAACTCTTATCACACTGCATGAACTTGCGACATGGTATGGCTGCGTCAAAGTTCTGAACTAGATATTTTATTTCCACACTACAAAATCAAATTGCTTTCAAGCCCAATGAACGTAGATTACATCTTTAAACTGTAATTATCTGCTGAGAAGCAGTTCTGTAATTATTTGTTCAGTGACAGTTTTGTAATTACTGACGAGTGGCAGTTCTGTAATTACTTGTTGAGTGGCAATTATGTAATTATTTTATGGATGGCAGTTCTTTAAGTATTGTATGTGTGTACATGCGTGTGTCAAAAGTGTGTTGGAATATGTGTATGTATGTGTGTATCAAAAGTGTGTGTATGTGTGTATCAAAAGTGTGTGTATGTGTGTATCAAAAGTGTGTGTATGTGTGTCAAAGGTGTGTATGTTTGTGTGTGTGTGTGTGTGTGTGTGTGTGTGTATCTATATATGTGCACGAAAAGTGTGCGCGCCAAAAATGTGTTTATGTGTGAGTATGTGAAAAGGGTATTGGTGTACCTGTGTGTGTGTGTGTGAAAAGGGTATTGGCGTGTGTACGTTTGTTTGTGTGAAAAGTGTGTGTGTGTGTCCAAATCGTGAGGGAGTGTGTGTTTACGTGTTTGTCAAAGGTGTGTGTATGTGTGTGTGAATGTGTATGTGAGAAGTGTGTTAGAGTGTGTGTAAGTACGTGTGAGCGTGAATATGTGTAAGTGTGAGAATTGAGTGTACTCTGCAAGATGCAAGCTGTTTCCATCAGATTCTCCAACCTTTCCTTCATCTGTCTACCCCACCCCCACCCCACCCCAAAGAAGTACACAAATATATTCAAAATTTTAGCTACGAGGAAAAACTCACCCATAGGCATCAACTATCTCTTGGAAAGCTGTAGTGAATTTGTTTGTTCGGAAAAAGGTTGGTGGCATCTCACGTGTTCGCAAGACTTGAAAAATAGCATTGACTTGTGAATTGGAGTCGTGTGTCGCCCGATGTAGTGCATCCTGAACCTGCAGAACAGAAAGAAAAAACATCTTCTTAATCGTAAATAACTTTCCACATTTCACATACCATCATCAAACTTTGTGAAACAATGTTCCTTTGCCACTTCCAAGCAATAGATCTACTCCCAATCAAGAAAACAAAGGGGAGAAAAAGAAAACCAAGGATATCTAATAACACTGTTAACAACTTTACCTGTTTTACTGCAAAAACAGGACTCCACCCTTCAGCCACTAAACATTTCTTGGTGACATCAATGCTGAGCATATTCAGAGTATGATATATGGCTTTCTCCTTCCTCACCTTTATCAACACACACCAAGATAATATTTAAAGAATGCACAAGAATTATTGATTTATAAATTAAAAGATAAACCAGCACACATGAGAAGAGCTGTTGGTATTGATTATAATACTTGATCATCCAAAACTTAGCTGCTGATTATGATTTGCATGAGGAAAAAAGAAAATAAAAAGTTTCAGCTAAATAATGAATTGCAAACCATCAAATTCCACTGCTCAAATTGTTCTCCAATAGTTTGTAGTAGGTTTCCACGGTGAACAAGTCCTGCGTCTATTGTAGTCTTCAGCTCTGATAGTCTCCCAGAGACCTGAAGTAGAAGAGCAAACGTGTCACATAAATTAATATTTAAAACATTCAGTGCCTCACATAGACCACAATGAAAGACGGGTAAATGACAATGATGAAAGATGTGAGTGTGACACAAAGTCAATAATTAAATTACTCTACTGCAATACCAGGCACGTAGTTTGCAAGATACCGTGCTGCGTGAAGATGTTTTTATGACAATGAAATTTTATTACACTGATTATGCAGTTGATAAAAAGAATGATCAGTAAAGCCTTTTCAAATAATCTGTGCTCAGTTGATAAAAAGAATGATCAGTAAAGCCTTTTCAAATAATCTGTGCTCTAATGGTACACATCAAAACACATAATGATCTAAGTTAACAGAAACAAGGGCCGTACCTAGCCATACAAGTAAATACATACCTCAGTGATCATTTGAGACTGCTTGCCCAAGTCCTCATTACAAGAATACCGATTTGCTCCAAAAGCTTCACATATTTTGAGAATTTTGACTCTTGCCCGTTCTCCAGAAAAGAAGATGGCGAATACATTCTTTTCAACCTGTATCAATAGAACCAAAAATTGAAATTGTTTGTATTGTCCTCTTGGTCCTATTAACAAGAAAATGCACAATTCCTTTAAATATACGCATGTGCTGTGCAGTACCAGGATAAAGCAATTGTCAACTTACAGCATCATTTTAATGTATCACGTGAAATACTACTCAAGAATTTCTATATCATAGGTAGTTTCTACTGATTCTAAAGAAAAGAATCTGCTGGTACAGAAGAAACATAAAGTCACAACAAAATCAATATTAACATCTGACTATAGAAGTGATTTCACAAACACAATAACAGCGCCAGCCATCCAATGCAGCACAGATTTTTGTTAAATCAAAAGTATCCTTTAACATAAGCTTCAATAAGAGAGAGTTGAAATTTAACTGATCCTTTAAATTGGTACAAACTACAAAAAACAGGACTAAATGAAAAAGATATGCACACACCTTGCAAAAACATGCTTTCACAATTACATGACCATTCTTTGTAGGAACCTAATAATCATTTTACACATAAATGCATTCTACCAAATGATTCATGCAGCTGTTAACATGTCAAATCTAGTTTACATGCCAGACAAACAAAACAAACCTTGTCTCCTGTTCCAGGGTCAATGACTGGCTCATCGATTGTAGCCTGCTTCAGAAAAACATTACCCCTGGTAGCTCGAAACAAAATCCTCTCAAATGCCATAGACTTTTCCCTAGGAACAAGTCCTGTAATAAATCCCAGCTTAACTTGCTTTGATGGATCAGTAGTAGTTCCCTAGGAAACAAAACATCATTTATATACTATAACAAAGGGAAATCACCTACTTTAGAAGGATAAAATACAACACTAAAAACTTGTACCTGCTCAGACAACAAGGGAGTTTCCAAGGACTCTTCACCGCTTTGACTGTGTTCCCTTTGAAGCTCCTCGGCACTGCTCAAGGCAGAGTGAAAAAAATCACCAGCCTGAGAGAAAACCGGATACAACAGCACTCAGGTCATAATGTTGCTAAATACATATACAAACTGTGTAAATTGAAAATGAAAGAATTATACCTTTTGTAGAACAAGCTTGTATTCCGCTAGTTCATTGTAGGAGCGCTGCAACTTTGAGCCGTTGGCATTTATTTCAATTAGCTCTGCCTCAAGGTCACCAAGTTTGACCTGAATGGGATGAAAATCAGTGTTAAAGGTGTCTAATAAAAGTTAACTCAACCAATTACAAATAACTAAAGATACCTCGAGGTCGTCCAAAGTGATAATGGGCTGTGTCCCAGATATTGCTGGAGGTGGCAACCCTGCCTTTAACATTTGGTCCCGAAAAAATCTCAATTTACGTGCCATTTCTCCGCATCTTTTAATCTACAGAGATGAAAAAACAATCAATAACCAATCAACTTCTCTATGAGAGAAATGAATTCAATATGGCAGAAAGCTGAAGCCTAACATCTAGAAGTAACAGGTTTCACATTAAACACAAATAAACCAATGCATACACCTATAATACACAAGATAATCACATGTGAGAATTAAAAGGTCTATTAATTGTTAGGAGAATGAAATGTGGTTGGATTCGTGATCCTTCCTAAGCTTGTGGCAATATAGGTTTCAAAAGAAATTGTTTGACACTACGAAATGCCAGTACTTACCCTGAAACTGGCAATTTGATCAAATTGAATGGGGTTAGAACAATGAAAATATGGGTACATAATTACCTGAATGGCGTATGTTCGCTGGAATGGGCTTTTTTCGGCATTTAGCTGAAAAATTAAAAACAAATGAGAAAATTCGATTCAGAATGAAAAGGGAAGCAAAATGTAAAACTAAATTCTTAAACTGATTGAACAGAGAGGAACTCACAAATCAACAAGGCCATAACAAGATCAAGAAACAAGGTGCTCATATAATATATAAATAAACATGTAACAATTCCAGCACTCCATCATATGGGGTTGAAAAGTTATGCAAATAACTTTCCCTCTTCCATGATTTGTGTAAACTTTTAATTCTGATTTTGTAGAGATTAAGACTGATACCGAGTGCTCCCAAAAGTTCCTTATAAAGAAGACAACTATTTCAAAAAAGCACCGAATCCAGAATATATTATATACTTGACCATACAGCAGGACGGTAATTGTTTCAAAAAACTTTACCAGCAAACTAGCAGATTTATCGTAGTTCAAACTTAAGAGTGGACATACAACTCCAACAAGTACTACTGCTTACATACTGTAATCAAACAAGACATCCAAAGAAGTTCCGACCTGCAATCAGACATTTGCAGTTTCTTTGCTATCCGAAAGACTGCCAATTACTTACAGCTATATATAACCACAACAACTTATTCAGCCTTCACAAAGTCAGATCCATTGTAACAATAATTCACAGTTGATTTGTTTGTCCTGGAAAGCTTAATACCAATTCATATGGTCGACTTATTATTCATATCGGGAAAAAAAGAACAGGATCATTTAGATTTATATTCCTCCATTACAGTGGTACTAAGATAACTGTACTTAACAGCAACCACCTGGAATACAGTCAGCAACACCTTAACTTAATGTAAAAAACTGCTTCTCATGGCTAAAATAATTAATGACAAAATATCTTTACAAAGCAATTCACTTCACTACATCAACAAATACATACAAAAATCTTCATTTCACTGAGCATGCACAAAACTAACACTAGTACAAAAGATGAACAATGGAACTTAGATACAGTCCTTAACAAAATAAAGAGCGATGAACCAAATTAACCACTGAATGATTAACATTGACATCTCAATATATCTCAATCTCTTTATCTTTCCACAATGTTATCCTAATTATACTCCAATCAAATTAGTCAAATTCTGCTAATTCCTCAATTCAAATTTCCTAATTGTTACTCCACAAAAGCAGAGCAAAACTTAATTCATCACCAACAGACTAACACATCATTCCAAACAACTGCACAAAAACCCTAGATGTACCATATTAAGGAAGAAATTGCAATTCCGTAGCACTTTACAATTTTCTTCTTCCTCACACAAAATTAACTTGGTCAAACATTCGCCAATTACTAGATTTGTAGTCTTCATGTATTACCCTGCCGCTAAAATCACGATAAAGAGAAACAGAAAACCCTAACTACAACATTATCAAGAAATCGCTATAATAAAATCAATTAAAACGACAGAAAATTAGAAAACGAGAGAAAATCCGAAAAAAAAGTACGAACGTCTTTGAATTGGATAAGACCGAGGTCACCGAGATAAGAAACGGCGAGGTGAGCGGACTCGATAGGGATGATGAGTTGGACGAGTTGCATCGCCTCCGAACGCATCAGATCCATCGACGGACAGCATCCCCTCCCTCGCTCTTCCATTCTCCACCGTCAGATTAAATCACCCCGTCCGATCAATCTCTCTGTATCTGTATCTAGAGAGACGATTTTTCTTCTCCTGTTTTGTGCGTATGAGGGAAGAGTAAATAATTGAAAGATAGATCAGAACATCTATCACTGTTAGAGAGAGAAAGAGAGGAGAGAGAGACAGGGGCAGAGTTGGCTGGCTGAAATTAATTGTTTTTCCTTTTTCTTTTTTCTTTTTTTATTTTCCTTTTCTTTAATATATTATTATTGAGGAGTTTATTAGTTTACCGCCTTTTATTAATCGAGAGCAGGAGTCACGTTCTGCAACGTCTGGTTTATTTCCCTTTTTAGCCCTCAACATTTGTCACTCTTATACGACTTCCCCATGTCAAAAACGTAAATCTACTGTTAATGTTGATAATGTGCGGTAGCTGGTAGGTGGAGAACTACGGAACAATTCTTTATTATGACGTCACTGATTATGAACAAATGAAATTAAATCTGTGTTCGCTAATTAATTTGAAATTCATTTGAATTTGGCCTAGTTCTTAATAAAATAATTCAAAATGGTTTTCTTTTTTCTAATTGCGAATATTGATTCGCCTTAATTCTACTAGTAAAAAGATCATATATATCGTGTTGCTCTAATTCGATCTGTAATTTAAAAATAATATTTGGGATCGATAAACTATAATTTATAAAAAGTAGGGTAAATTACAAACACCCCCTGAGGTATGGTTAAATTACAAAAACCCCCCCTCTTGTTTGGATAATTACATCTACCCCCCTCAACTATGATTTTTTCTTACCTTTATGGTGCCAAATTCAACATAGTCATCTACATTCCGTGAAATGTGCTCTAGTTTGTACTCTTTGTGTAAAAAATACAGTTTTCGATGCACCACAAACTGATATATACAAGCTAAAAATCACATATTATGGTCATCTTGCTTCATAATGTAGAGTTTGAATAGGATAAAACAGGGTACAAAATGTGATAATATTCCATATAATCTGGAAGATTCCACTAAATTATGATGAGTTGAGGGGGGGTGGTTGTAATTTATCCCAACCAGAGGGGGTGTTTTTTGTAATTTGGTCATACCTCCAGGGGGGTGTTTTGTAATTTACCCTAAAAAGTATAACTTACAAAACTACTATTATTTTAAGAAAATTAATTTATAATAATATTAAAAAGAATTATTTATTTGGGAATGAGCCCGATTTCATTTGGAAGCAGCCCGGCCCATTATTAACTTTTCGCATTTGCAGCCTATATACCCAACTGCACCCCTAACGCTGTTTATTAGAATGAGGGGAAACTTCGATATGTTGTCCAATTTTTTTTTTTTTTTTTTTTTTTTTGTTGAATTTCAAATCTATAATAAAAAATTCATTGAAGTTTTTTTTTTTTTTTGAGTGATAATTCATTGAAGTTATTTAGATTGAGTCGTTTAATAATTGATTTGAAATGCATAAACATCACTTTTTTTTTAAAGCAATTTTGGTAGATTTCAAATCATCTTCTGTTTGGAATCATTTCAAATCATTTACATTTGAATTCATTTGAAATGTAATCATTCCGAATCAAACGCAAACTTAATTCTAAATTTAATTCGGTCTTTTCTTTTTTTCAAACAATTTGTTACAGTGTATATTAAGTAGGTATAGCTTGTGCCCTAATTAAATATATTCCTTTTTTTTTTTTTTTTTAATTCCTTGATGATGATAGAAGCAGAAATCTATGAAATTAGATACAGAATATATAGCTTCATTAATTAATTTTATTAATTTTCTAATTGTGATTAATTTTGCTCAAATTTTAGGGTTAGAAGAAGGGGATTTTCCGGGGGAAGTGAGTTTTCCGGCGGTGTTCCGATGCGTTCGGGTGAGCTCGATAGACAATGTGGTGGATCAATACGCGTACCAGACGTCGGTTAGCATTGGAGGGCATGTGTTCACAGGCATTTTGTATGACCAGGGTGCAGAACCGGAGGGAACTGTAAATTATGTAACTGGAGGGAGCTCTTCTTCAGGTGGTGGTGGTGGTGGTATTGGTTTATTGCAGCAGCATAATTTTGTCGGTGGCGGTGGTGGTGGTGCCGCCGGTAACACTGGTACAACTCCCTCTTCATATCCTACTCCTAGCCCTTTCTATGCTTTCACTAGTTCACAGTTCTTTCAGTACCCTAAATCTTGAATCAAAATATTTTAATGTTTATTTAGAAAAAGTTAGAACTTGAAACTAGCTACCTTGATATTTTCTATTCAAAATTCAATAAGATATTCATCTGTTTCATATGCCTATTTCTGCACATATATATTATATATATGTATGTATATATATCCTTTAATTCATTCACACACAAGTAAAGCTGGAGTGAAGTAGAAATAAAGGAAAAGGGAAATTTTATGGGAAGCTGCCTAACAAATTAAAAGTATTATTGTTTTCTGATTACAATGATGAATTATTTGATCTTTGTCTGTGATTTAAATAAAAGGTTAGTGATCTCTGTGTGTGTGTGTGTGTGGCTTCCTACATTTTGTCTTTGTTTTGATTCTAAAATGTGTTTTATTGAATGATTATAGGAATAAATTATGTGTTATATGAGTAGTTCACACACACACACACACACACACACACACACACACACGCACACTTGAATGATTAGGTTAAATGGTTAATATAGTATATATATATGTGTGTGATACATGCCTATAGAGATATATAGATATATGGGAAAGCTCTACTATATGATAACTAGGCTAATTGATTATAATTTAATGAGCACTGGATATTATTATTACATTATATGAAAAATAGAGCTTATAATATAATACCTAATAATTTATTATTATTTTATTTGAAATATATATTTAGGTATGTCATGGTGAAGACATTGAACATATGTAAAGTTAATTAGACCCCTTTAAACATGATTATTAAACTACTTATACCGGCTAAAAGATTAATTGGTGGGCATCTATGCTGATTCTTTTGATGATAATTAATTAATGACCTTAAGCAGTAAGCAAAAGGTATAAGCTAAGCCACATTAATTTTAATTAAAAAATAATTTATATATATGCTAAAGATAGAGATACCAATTAATTAGATGCCATTGTGAATATACATATATAATTATTCAGTATTATAGCCTCGTGCATCTACAGTAAATATATAACCCTAGCACTGCATTTGTATATATACATAGGTTTTGCTAGTTTTTTACAGAGAATTTGAAAATTCTTAGCTCTAAATAGAATTAGTTTTTGAGTAATTATTGTGATACATATCGTAAGCATCTCGATTGTGGGATAATCCTCCAATCCAATCCGATCGGTTTAAATCAAAATCTTCGAATCCAAACGCAACCTAAAAATATCGCATGATCAAACGCATACATACATGAAGCATACCCTAGTTATAGTTGTCGACGGCTTTCCGCTTTTAGACAATTTAGAGAATTCTTTAAATGGAAAGGGGTCCAATAATCTAGCATATAAATACTTTTTATTTGCAAAAACTAATTAAAGGGGACCATATGCATATGCAGAATACTTTTTTTCCTAAAGTTGATTATTCTTATATAATTAAAAGGGGGTATTTGCACTCGGCTCCCCTGTGAAATGTCTAATTGGCAAAAAAACCCCTCGGATAAAACAATTAGCAAATACCCCCCTATGAAAGGAAGTCAATGACAATAAGGACCCTACGAGCGAATCGTGGGATACACTCGCGGTTCATGCAGCTGGGCGTGCGTTTTAGGACATTTTAGGACAGGAAAAGACATAAAAACCCTTTGGTAGAGGAAAAAAACCCAGATTGATTCAATTATAAATAATCTAAAGTTATAGGACTAAATTGTAATTATCAAATTGTGGGCTGAAATCGTCTTCCCCAAAATCCAAATTTCTTCTTCGCCATTGAAATCACCACCACCAAATTCCTCACATTTCAAATCTTTTTCACATCTCCTGATTATTATTAACGAGTAGAAAAAAAAAGAAAAAAAAATTATCCAGCAACAAAACAATATGAGAGAAACAGAAGCCACAGAACTTCTCAATCCAAACCTACTCCCAAATCATCTCCCTCTGCCAAACCCGCATCGCCGCCAAAAACCCAGATGGGCCCCACCTCAAGAAGCTCCTCTGCCTCTCCTTCTCCAACCGGGTCGAAGCCCGGGCCCGCCTGTCGGACCACACCTTAGCACTGACAGACTGCGAGGAGGCCCTCAGAATCGACGATTCCCATTTCAAAACCCTCGTTTGCAAGGGTAAGATTTTGTTGAGTCTGAACAGGTACAGCGCCGCCCTGTGCTGCTTCAACGCCGCCAATCTCGGCCCCCAGGCGACCGAGAATTCCGATCTGGTAAATGGGTTCTTGGAAAAATGCAAGAGGCTCGAGTTTCTGTCGAGAACCGGCGCATTCGATATTTCTGAGTGGGTGTTGAGTGGGTTTCGTGGGAAATCGCCCGAATTAGCAGAGTACATCGGCGCATTGGATATCAAGAAATCAGAAATCAGTGGTCGCGGACTGTTTGCCACGAAAAATGTTGAAAGCGGGACCCTGCTTTTCGTCACTAAAGCCGTCGCTGTTGATCGGGCTAGGTGCTCGACGGTCCAGAAGGCGGCGGTGGTGCTAGACGGGCGAGAAGGCGGCGGTGATGCCGAAGTTTTTCCGGGCTGGGAGGTGGGCGGCGGAGTGAAACGAAGAAGAAGATCTGAAAAAATCTTCAATTTTTGTCCCTTATTGCAATTTTGGAAATTTTAAAATTTACAATTTGGTCCTATAAATTATAGTTATTTATAATTTGACCACTCATCAAAGAAATAATTTTTGCTTTATTTTTTATTAAGGACAATTCTGTCATTTCACGTAAGTCAACGAGCCAGTGCACACAAAGGGGCGGTGGGCTGACTAAAACACAACATAGGGGGTTATATGCTAATTTTTTTTTCCGGGGGGGGTTTTTGCTTCCGAGAAATAACACAGGGGGGTCTATGCAATTAACTCAATTAAAAGCTTATTTAATTTTGAGCTTTTGGCCTCACTGGATAATTACTGTGTAATCATCACATATACACAATCATTTTTTTTTCTGAGAACAAATAATTATTTTTTTGAGTACTGTTGGAATTAGTACGGACACATACAGTAGTATATATAGATTGAACAATTTGTTGTTCAAATTCATCATAACCGTTGTCCCTTCAGAACACGAACACAGTAAGTAAGTACTATTGCTTCTATACATTTAATTGTTATATATAGACTATATATATAGAGAAACGTCATTTGTACGCCGTTGATTGAAAAGTGAAATTTATAGTGGCATTTGTGTGAAATTACAGACCTAGTTTACAAATGTATGTATATAGGGGCTTCACTTAATTATGGCGGTTTAGTTAATTATTGTACGAGGATTGCAATTCTATAACTCAATTTAGGTGTTATATTTCATGCATGTTTTTACACTTTCAATGTTTCAACGCAGCCAATTATTGACAGTGAGTTTTGTGCTTAAATAATTTGACCAATAGCTAATGACCAAATGTCAAATTGTTCAAACTCTAGCTCTACTCTTTAGCATTAGGTCAAACTTATAAGCAAATTTATTTATTTATTTATTTTGTCAATTTTTTTTTTCACTATGGAAGTTTAGTGATATACTAATTGTATTTTCTTTTTCAATTTTGGCAAATAGTTAACTAATTGAAAGAGATTTTTAAGGGCAAATATTTCGACACGAAAGAAGTGGGCGAATTGTGTTCGAATATTTACTATTTTCTTTCAATGTTCTCGTGTTCGATCTAAAGATCATATTTTGTTTACGGCTACAAGATTAACAATCAATTCTACTACAAAAATAAGATAAAACAACAAACAAAATTGAATTAAAAACAAAAAAAGTAAAAAAAAAATATCGTTGACAAAACAATACGCACATAAAAAAGTCGATGGCTTAAATTTGAATTTGGAGAAGAATGTTTCAAGCTTTATCTTGAGGCAATATTGTTTCCCCAATTCATCTTCAACTATATCGAGTTTCGGGTTTTCGGGTAAGCTGGTAACTGTAGATTGGCCAATTCATCTTCAATGATACGTAGATAGTAAGTTTGGAGGGGTAAGGGTAAATAGACATATGCAATTAATGAATGTTACATTAAAATAGCAGCACAACCTTTATTTGAGTTGATAATCAACTTTCCTTTGACATGATACACTAGCTAGAAGATATGACACAAGCTTGGAATTGATAATATTAAACAATACCCCTATGTCTTGTTTGAGATTATTTTTAATGTTTTATTAATCAATGCTAATTAAGAAGTGAAATTTGTAAGAGGATGATCTTTATTTGACAAACAACTTGATCAATATTTTGTTACATAATTATGAAGTGAAATTTGTAAGAGGATGATCTTTATTAGACGAATGAGTCGAGACAAACGCACAATTGTTCAAGTTTGTTTGGATTTGTATTGTGTTTCAAAAGTTGTTTTTGAGCTTGGTTTGACAAAGCAATCGGATCAAACTTGAAAGAGTTCGAATCGAGCTGAACACGAATCGAGATCAAGCTCGAGCCGAACTTTATAGCATATCAAACAAAAATATGTATTCAAGATTGATTCGTTATATTCGCAAAACTTAGTTCAAATATTTTTTTAATGAACGAAATTGAATCGAAAATTTTAATTTCTAATTACATGTAACCTTTCCTAATAATATGCATGTTGGAACTTTGGCCTTATCCCTCGACCTTATTGGGTATTTTTCTTTGGAAAAAAATCTTTATTTTCACACAGAGAGAGAGAGAGAGAGAGAGAGAGAGAGAGAGAGAGAGAGAGAGAGAGAGAGAGAGAGAGAGAGAGAGAGAGAGAGAGAGAGAGAGAGAGAAACCCTAGAAAAAAGCATTAAATTCGGTCAAGATAGAGAGTAGAGGCCTATATGTTGGTGAGGATAGCCCATTTGTGGTAACAGTAAAAGATGAGGTTCAACTTCACATCTATATTCTACACTACTATTCAATGGAGATCATGACTTGTAATTTGCTCTTTGCCTGAAAATTAGACCTCTTTCAAAATTCAACCCTAAGTTCTTGTGGTCATTCAATAACTTTGACTTCAACCTTCCCCACCCAAAAGGATAAACATTAATTAATATTATTTTATTTAGTATTTACGACAGATGAAGTTCGATTGTTTTGATCAATTTACCAATCAAAACTAATCTTTCATTTGGTATGTCATTATATTATAAATCCAATAATTTGGTTAAATTACAATCACCCCTCAAGTAAGGTCCGTTTATGGGTCCCTTCGACCCTACACCCGGTAAAAAATACCGGGTGGGTCTTCTGCTGCCACGTGTTCTTTTTTTGATTTTTCTAAAACCCCTAAAGGTAAACCCTAGCGGGGAATTTATTATAAAATACAAAAAAGAGACACGTGGCAGCAGAAGACGCACCCGGTGTTTTTCATCGGGTGTAGGGTCGAACAAATCCCATTTATGAAACAACGCCTCATTTTTTCATAATTACATCCACCCCTAAAGTAAGGTCCATTTACGAAAAAAAGCACGTCATTTTTCCATAATTACATCCACCCCTTGTAATTTGTAGATTTCTTACACTAACACCCTTTTATAGAGGTGGATATAATAAATGTACGAACTGCAGGGGCTACATGTAGTTTATCAAAATTAAGGGTTTTTTCATAATTACATTTTACCCCAGGGAGGTGGTTGTAATTTATCCTCCATAATTTATTGTCAACATAATCAAATTTTATTCGGTTAATGATTAAACAAATATATTCACAAATCAAATAACAAATGTAACCCTTTGATTTAATAACATTATCTTTTTTACATGGACAAATATAGAAATAAAATATAATCACAACTTCTAATACACACGCTATCAAATATAAATATAGATAACAAATCACGTTACCCTGGCAAAAAAAGAACACCTAATAGTTTATGCACAATATTAACCGAGGAATACGAAACCAAAGAAACGATAACAATAACAAGGCCAAGAGCAATTCAAATTAGTTTGAAGCTAACAAAATATTTACAACCATTAAAAAAAAACGAAAAAATTCTCAATAAATGGATAACTCATAGTCAGTTCAAACAGATGATGCAAACAAATATTAGATTTAAAAACTTATATACTAAGTGCCTTTGAGCATGCTTTGCTTCTAAGGCACAGTGAATGAATGAACAGCAAAGCAAAGTTTCAAGGCACATTTTCCAGCTCTTACGAACATTCATCATCTACAACAGTTTTAACTCCAGATCACTAAATTACACATTTAAAAGGCGAAACAAATCTCAACATTCAAGAAACTAATATCTCAACTGAACCGAACCGTATAACAACAGCTTTGCTATAAGCCCTCAAATCATTCAGCTGTAGATTACTCGATCAATGCAAAATTTGGCACAATTGCCAACGTGACAAACTCAATGAATGCAAAATTTAAAACACGATCATCTCATAGATCCACGCCTCATCAAATCAAACCAATCTACCACGAGATTACTTGCCTAAAATGCTGCCGTAATCATATACAAGATATGCAAGACCAACAAAAATTAAAAGAGAAGGCAGCTTCGCAGCTAATCATGTACATAATCAAATACAGAGTGCTGGTGCTAACCAACCGGATAATATTCAAACACATAATTCCGAGCAAAAACCGCGCGAAAACCCAAGAACAGTTCGCAGTAATCAAACACATACGAAATTGTCAACATAAAACAAACAAACAACACCAGAAACAACAGCCTTTAAACCAACTAAGTCATCTAATAATCAAATTGATTCTGCAAATTCACAAATTCGGAAACACATTAGTAGAAGATCTCCTACAAAATCCCAAGCAACGGAAAAAACAGAGCCAACCAATCAAAAACATGAAATAGCATCAACGAAAGATTAAAAAAAATACTGAAATTAAAGCTTGCAGTTAATATGAACAACGAAGAATATACCTAAGATTCACTTCAAATTTCCAGATCAGGTCATTGTATTAGAATTTATTTACATCCCCACCGATTCAGATAATCAAATGAACAACTAATATGTAGAAAGTACCCCCAAACCACCCACCCCCACCCCCACCCCCCAACAGCAGCAGCAGAGGCCATCGACAATTACCTCAGCTTCCTGTACATGGTGCCAGGCATGTTGTGGTAATAGGGAAGACTCTTCGCTTTGTTGAAATTCGGAACAGCTCTCTTCCCCATCTTCCTTATCCTCTGCCTCCCAAACTTGTCCTTCAATTTCCACGGCATCAAATCATCGTCAACGTCGTGCGCATCGTCGTCGTCGCTAACGTCATCGTTCTCGCCGTAGTAGCGGCGCTCCTTTCCCTCGACGCGGTACACGCTGACGTGCGCCATCTCGACGGGGAGAGTCATCGGCGGCGAGACCGACAGCGACCGAATCGAGATGACGTCAGCCGGAGTCACGAAACCGCACGGCTCGCCTCCCTCCTCCTCCTCTTCTTCCTCTGGATCCGGCTTGGACTCCGGTTCTTCGTCCACGATGACGTCATCTTCACCGCTGGTGGCGCCTTCTTCTTCGAAGGAACAGAGGTCTTCGTCGTCGGACTGCGGCGCGCTGACAATCTCCCACGCGCTCAGATCTTCGCCGGCGGGGGCAGATCCGCCGCTGTTCGCCCTAGATGATGTGGTTTTCTTCAAAATTCTCAACATTTTTGCTTTCGGGAATTTGATTTTTGATTTCGGGTTTTCTATCAGATTTCTCTCTCTGGTGTTTTAAGAGTTGTGGATCCGTCAAATATGTAAATGATGCAGGACTCGGTGTTGAGAAATGGAAGTGGTTTAAAAAGGGAGAGTTGAGGGGTGACGTGGCATTTTTTTAGCGTCACTGGACCACACATGTGTGAGCTTGATTTTTCATTGGTCCATTTTGCGTGGCGAAGGAAGGTATCGTGCAGCATAATTCTTCTTTATTCCCTTTTTCCCTTTTTACCCTTTCCCCTCTCTTTCTTTTGATTTCCCCTTCTTACCCTTTGCTCTCTCTTTTGATTTTCCCTTCTCATTTTTCCTTTATAATATTGTTCTAGGCAACGTTTTAGTTTCCATTTCATTTGATATTTTTTTCCTAGATGTGGATTTGAATTTGATTAATTATATACTAATTGTTTTTTAATCAAAAGAAAAACTACTAATTAATTCTTTTAAGATATTTTATTTATTTATATTTGATTTATTATTTAAAGTTTTTAAAGGTTGACTCTATATGTAATCATTAATAATTTATCAATAATCAAATCCTTGTGTTTCATGAATAAGATCATATCTTTTTTAATTTTCAATTGCGACCTACAAATAATGAAATGAGTATCATTTTATCGGCTAGTAAAATTAAATTGCAGATTTCATTTTGCGTTATAGACTTCAATTAACTTGAATCTTGGGGATGGGGATCATTATAACATTAGGCTTCAATATATTTCTATTTCTTTAGCATAGAATTTCATTTCGAGATTTTTGTTAAAGAAATAGGAATTATATTTGTGACAAGTAATAAAAGGAGGAGGTTAGGGTCCAAGTTTTGCTATGCCGATAAATTAGGAAAAAGAGAAACGGATACGCCCTTCCTTGTATCTCTCATACTTTGACTTGTATAGATGCCAAACATATTGATGAATGGACAGCCACAACTTAATACATAAATTATCACACCACACATGCTGAGATGAAGATTACTTATCTTACCTACATTTGAAGCATCAGTGTGAGGATTTTACGCATAGAATGAATTTATTTCTGATTTGCCCAATCTCACTTGTATTCTAAACTCAACAAAGTTCAACTCGAAGTGATCTAGACCACCCATTTTTTCTTTGACTAATCGTGATCGTTCATCCAGTCATCTAAAACGGTTCTCTCATCCCTAATCTGTCTCCCATTACTTTTGCCGCTCCTCTCTCCTCTTCTTTCTCATTCTGCAGTACCTGCGTTCACCCACTGTGTTTCTCCGACCGTTGTTTCGTTGGATATATATACTATGTGAGGGGCCGTTAAAAATATAATACAGCTCCATGTGATGCAGTTATCTACGTTTGTATCTTCTTGCTCCGAACTCATTCTGTCTTTTGTATTATATATTGGTAACGTTTATTTCAAAATGAGTTCCCAACAACCAGTCTATTCAATAAATATAAATATGTATAAAACGTTAAGAATAATAAACTTTACAACATCAATTATCAATATATAAAAAAAACAACAAAAAAAAAAATTGCACATAAAATTGCTGATAAGAGAAATACAAATAAGATTGATTTATATATATACTTCAAAGGAAATAAAAATAAATTAAAAATCGAGAGAGGCTGAGTGACTCATACAAAATTGTCACAGTTATACAGTTCAAGAACTTGGCGATTTACGGAACTAAGTACCAGCTTGGAGTGCATTGACAAGGTCCACTGCCCTTGCTAAGATGCCTTTTACGTACTCGGTGAGAATACGCTGCTGATATGATCCACCCTCCTGCATTGTGGTGTGGGATTTTGCGTATTTTGGTGAGGTGTTTTAACTAAGAAAAACAAGCAAAAAATATCTAGAGAGAGAAACTTTACCGTTCTGATCAATATTCTTTCAATACGCTTCTTCACGACAGTGAATAATTCTTCAGGGGAAATATCGCCTTTACCAACATTCAATCCGTTGATTAACAGCTTATTCCATTCTGTTTCTGGAGCTGAGTATTGATATAAACAAGTGTTAATAAATAAATAAATAAATAAATAAAACATCTTTTGTGAGTGCAGAGTTGGTAAATAAGTGAAGCTTAACTCTACGGTCTAACCAAATTGAGCACATAGCATAAATTTGGATTAAGTATAGATCACATTAATATAAAGAGCCGGTCTCGTGCCACTTTTCATGTGATAATCATCAATGTGGAACTGGGACGAGTAATTCATTGACGGATGAAAAAAAGTGAAAGGTGAAAAACGGAAAGGTATTATTATTTATTATTACATGCATATATTGGTAAGACAATGATACCAAGGAAAAAAGGAGAAATGAATATTAGATTAAAAAAGCACCTTGGATTAATGTCTCAAGAAACTGCTCAGCTTTCAGTACCTCGTTCCCTGCCCACCAAAACAAAAATCAATAATAGGTAAGCAACAATATATCTGTTTAAAATAATACATATATATATACACATATATACATATATATGAGGCAATGTACTTATAGACATGCAACCAGAAACAGGGGAAAGTACAGCTTCATAAAACAATAAATTAGAGTACCTGAAAAACGGAACTAATTATTATTGCAAATGTAATATTTTATGTTACAAGAACAAGTACGCAGTATAGCACCTTTTTTGGCATAACTACGCTTAGAGAGGACCCTTGAAGCATACAGTTGCAAGACCTTTTGCAACATAGCCTCAAGCCCTGGTTTATCACCGTCTTCTTTTGCCTGCACATTATTAGTATCATTCACTTGCTTAGCAAGAAAGTATTACCTGCTTGGAATTTAATAAATTTTGACTTTATGTAATAAATATCTGGATCCTAATGAAAAATCATGTTTAAAACTCGTGCATTTGTAATGGTAATGACATAACTAACCAAAGTATAGTATAACTAGTGCCGGCATAGCATTTTTGGCAATGTACGGGAATTGTGAAATCTATGAATATTTTGTACGGAGAAGAAACAAGTGAAATAACAAACTTACTTGCCGTAGCTGTGCATTAACTTCTGAAAGGAATCCCTCATCAAGACAACCTTCTTGCTCTCTTTGGTGTAGTTCCTGCAAATGTAAAGCAATATTTACTCACCCAAAAGTGACTAGTAAATATAAGTCTCGGTATACGTAAAAATAATAGAGATAAAGCTAGTCAATCCATCTATAAAACCACTCGAGGATAATCAGTTAAGTTCACATCTTTTAGGCCTTGTTTGGGATGTTGATGGCATTGATAAGATTTAGTGAATTGGTTACAAATACATTGTCCATGACAATGTAATATGTGATTATCTTATTCTCGCAATTTATGATTATACATTCTTTGTGCTGCGTAATGTCCTTCATATTACTGTGTAACGCTAGGGGTTAAATTTGGACTAAATAATAAATATCCATCAGATGTCTGATTAAAATTCGGGCTTATTTTAACCGTGGGCTTGAAACCTTTAATTTATTAATCTTACATGCAAACGGAGATAACAATCCGTTAAAGGTCAGACACAGAAAACATACTGTTTGCATGAGAATGAGAGCCTTAGGGTTTCTAGGAGGCCAATGGATCTCTTCTTCTTCTTCAATGACAGGTCTCAAAATTGCCTTGAGCACATCAGTAGCCGATTCTATTTTTTCCTGAAGGAATTAAAAAACCATTGAAGGGAATATAAAAATTAAACAAAATAAAAATAAAAAATTCAAAGATTGTTTTAGAAGTGTGTTTGAGTTTGTGGACAAATTTGAATAAGTGAGATGTGCTCCATACATTAGTCTTGTGGACAAGACGATCCACCACACTCATTAATATTGCAGCTAATTCTTCGTAGTCTTTCTGAAATGAGAATGAAAAGCTAGCTTATTATTTCACGAAATATATAAAGCAAGTTTACAGTTGTATTAAAATATAAGTTGACCGAGTGTAGAACCATGCCTTATCATCCTCCGATTTGCACGTTTCTGTTCTAGCTGCAAGTCGTATCCAAAAACCCTCATTGAAAGCAAGAACATTCTCCACAACAAGTTTCTGAAGCTGCTTTCAACACAAGAATAATATGAAAATAATAGTCAATTCCACATAATTCAGAATATGAAGATAACAACATTGCAAAATAATAATAAAAAAGAAAATAACGAGATGAAAAAACTTTAATGTACAAAACGTAAGAAGAGTAGGCTATAAGGAACAAAGTAATTTTTCAAGATATATACACTATAAATTCAAGATCCACTAACTTTAAGGTAACACTACATTATCATGAGCCAATATCAGTCTGCAACTTACTAAACTTACAGAAAAGAGAACTTACATTTGTCAAACCAAACTATAAATTGATAGAAATTTGGAAACCTACTTACTTCTTTGTCATCTGCATCTCTTAGCATATCTATAAGTCTGTCAACTTCCACAGTCTTTTTAAACGATTTTTCAGCATCATTACCGACTGCACAGATCAAAGTCGTCCTGTTTATTAAATCCAAGCAAGCAGTGCGACAATTAATACCTCCATCTACCAAATAAAAACATTAAATATCAAATTCCAGAAGAATAAGTTTCATCTTAGTTACTTCAGAAATGAGATAATCTTGTTTCAAATAGGCTTTCCAATGTCTTTCCGTATCATTGATGCTTTACAAGATGAATACTCACTTTTTTCAGGAATATGAAATTAAGAAAAACAATAAATTTTGAAAATATGTTAAAATCGTTAAAAAGAATCAACAATTAATATTTTTATACGACTTCAACTGTTAACTATACCATTCACCAACCATATTGATTCTAGTTTCAATGTTGGGTGGATAAATACATTAATATCTGGCTTAGCAGGGAATTTGCCACTAGTAATCGAGGACCTTATTAGCAATCAAAAGAATATTCGCAAATAATTACATATCTGATGTTCCTGCTGCTGGTGTCAGTCAAATAAAGAAAGAAGTACCACACCCATTCATAACAATGGTCAATGAACTATTAATTTAAACATAAAACAATATACACTCATACTAAAATAATGCTGGGCACCTAAACATTATGAAAAGAAGATAAGAATACCTCTGCTTCCATCCCACGAAATTCAAAGAAGTAAATTTCGTTCCTCCAATCTTCCCATTGTTCCATCTTCTGTACAGGAACAACTACAATACAGCAAGTATAATGAAAATCAGTTATCTATTTTACATACATTTCAAAACAGAATACACACACACACACACACGCGCACACGCACACACCGAGAGAGAATTACCGGGTGAAGAGAGGACGTAGAATGAAAGAAACATATACCAGTTGCCATTTTACAGTACAATTTTGCGAACAAATTGGCGGAGGATTAAAAAAAAACAAAGGAATATAATTAATTGTATGTGGCAAATGGCGGGGGCCAGTGATGAACATAGATGTTTTTATTTCAGCCCCCAGTCACAGATTTTGCTTATCGGTTCGTTAGTCATCGACAATTGAGTCAAAATTTTAACCAGAAAACGTGGCAACTGCGGCTCTTTACGTAATACACAAAGCGCGACTTCTCTAATAAGCAAAAAGAAACGGGCCGGGTTCTCTATTAAAAACATTAGATGGGCCTAGCGATCCAGACTAGAGAACCCGGCCCGTTTCTTTTTGCTCATTAGAGAAAGTCGCGCTTTTGTAATGCGATCTTACGTAAAGAGCCGCATTTGCTACATTAGATGGGCCTATTAAATACTGTAGTCTGGATTATGGGGGAAACTATGCTGGGCCTGGAAATTGAGTTGAACTCAAGTACTGAACATCAATTGTTTTCCTCTATTCTTAAAAAAAAAATTCAAAATTCAAAAAAAATTTAAAAAAAATTAAGAAAAAAAATAAGTAATATAGGGTTTCAAAATTCACAAAAATAAATTCAATGAACTGGTTTAAATAAATTCATTTTATTCAATAAAAATTGAAATATATTTATATTTAATAACATTTGGTAGTGGAAAGTAGTATAAATTGTCATACATGGGGGGAAATTTGACACGCTTCTCTATGCAATATATCTTCTCCCATGTGCAAGCTGACATTGGAATTATTCAATTTACTGATACTAAATATCACCATTATTCTTTCTCCCACTATCTTCTCCTCCATCATCAATAGCAGTGATGCACACAACTTTGCACCATCTAAATACTAATTTTTTTTTTTTTTTTCTTTTGCGTTGTAAAAAGATTCTTTAGATATTATCCAAATATCTACGTGACTGAAAAAGATCTAATTTGTCATTTAGCGCCACCTAATCCATTTTTTCTATTCCAATACTTTGTAGACTACGCGTTTAAGTCAATGACCAATCTAATGATATCGTGGAACCCGCTTTCACCTTACTTTGTTCTGAATATAAAATGCGCTTTATAAACTCTACTAATTGTCAGAATAAAGTGTCCCTTTAAATATTTTCTTAAGAAAACTAAATCAACATGTTCAGCGTTTCAGAATCACATGAATGATATTGAGATATTTTAAAAATCACATGAATGATATTGAGATATTTTAAAAATCACATGAATGATTGCATATTTGAACTTTTCCTTTTGGCAAGAAAGTTTAAAGAAATGTAAAGACATTGAGAAATACTGCCTAAACTTACCAAGTGAAACTAAATTCACCGGTTAAAAGTAAACTATTTATACGTTTAAATAAGGGTGTAGAGCACTTATCCCCTGTGGTTTGGACTTTGTTTACATGACTCACACGTAGTTTGGACTTTGTGCACATAACTTTTTGTACTTTCAAAAAAAAATTCTTCCTAATGAGCGTGAGTATTTATCAAATGGAATATTCATAGGAGGGTTTATGTGCTTATATTAAACGTAAAAGGGGTCATGTGTACAAAATGTTCAAACTACAGTAGATTATGTGCTTATATTGAAAGTATAAGGGTGTTATGTGCACAAAGCTCAAACGACAAGGGAGTCAAGTGATATTTGTCCATTAAATAAATAATTATATAGGTATACACACATAGGCGTGTAATCATCACGTCCAAAGTTTGTTAGTTGAAAACTATTAATTCTATCCCACTTGGAATTAAAGTTAGGACAACATGCTATTGATTAAATAAAATTTTAAAAAAAAGTTGGGGACAATAGGTATCCTACAAGCCGAAAGACTTAAAAATATATTAGAGGAGAGAATAATGGTGGAAGGCTGAAAGCAACCAGTTTTGGTTGCCCATAACTGCCTAAATTCAAAAATCCTACTGTGAATACGATCCAATGGACCTTTCAAATCTTTCCGCAAAATCTATATCCGTCGACTCGACCGAATACACTGTATACTAATATTACAGCCATGCTGCTGTTTCATTTTAAAATTCAGAACGTAGAGAATGAGATTTACTCAGATCAATAAATGAACAAATAAAAAGCCTTATATATTATTTATCGGCCCCCATGCACCCATGCTCCAGATCAACATCTCATTTCCAGACAAACAAAAGTAGAGAGTGAAAGCTTCAGTGTACAAATATAGCCTATCAGTCTACATAAACCCAACTAAAATTTTGGCCCCCCGCCCCCACCGGTCTTTATCGACAGACAAGAAAGAGAAGTATTGCCCATTTGAATTTTCGATCATATTTCTAGAGCTTTCTATTTTAGATATTAATGTAAATGAAATCTTAATATCTTAGCTGTGTTTTCCTCCCTACCCATATCCCCATAAAAGTTTGTCTCTTACCTCATTCAATTCTATAACCAAGTCACCAACCTTCTATTTATACTATCTCTCAACATTGTATTATTATTAACTTATTCCTTTTTTTTCCACACACGCACACAGAAGTGCACTAAAAAAAGTACATCGAAAAAGCGTTCAAAATCGAACACAGACACACACACACAAGGTGTAAAAGGAATGAAGATTCAATGTGATGTGTGTGGGAAAGAAGCAGCAGCTGTATTCTGCACTGCAGATGAGGCTGCTCTCTGCCTAAGCTGTGACAATCGAGTTCATAATGCCAATAAGCTCGCTAGCAAGCACCCCCGTTTCTCTATTCTTAATCCTCAATACAAAGAATCTCCCCAATGCGACATTTGCCAGGTAATAACAAAATACCACCTTCTTTTTTTAACCACCTAAATTTTAAAATTTATTTATTTTCTAATTTATTTTTATTTTAACAGGAGAGACAAGCATTGCTATTTTGTCAAGAAGATAGGGCATTACTTTGCCGGGAGTGCGATATTCCAATACACAGAGCAAACGAACTTACCAAAAAGCACAACAGGTTTCTCCTAACAGGTGTCAAGCTTTCTGCAGCTGCTTCTTCATATCAAGCTGCTGCTACATCCTCCACGGAATCGCGATCTGAAAAAAAGAACAAAATGTCAGCTGCTAATGAAGTTAATTACATGCCAAGTTCAACTGCTAATTGTTCAGAGTCGTCGTCAAATCCTATGGGGTATAATGAGTCAAACCAGGTCATGAGTGAACAACAATCAGATTCAACCAGTAGCATATCGGAGTATTTAATGGAGACTTTACCTGGTTGGCATGTTGAAGACTTGTTGGATCCTTCTACTCATTATGGTTTCTTAAGGTTTGCAGTATACTATAATTTATAATTATATAATTTACTTTCCTGCCCAAAGATGATGAAGTCGATATTTCCAAAAAAAAAAAAAAGGGAGCAATCTCTGCAACTATTACTGATTGCAGTTTTGTATTTTCTATTTAAAATATTAGGTCTCAATATGTATATGCATGTATTTTAGCAAGAATCTACTATTTAAAATGTTATGAAATATATATTTCCGATTATTCACTAACTTCAGGTGAATTTGCAGATAAATATGCAGATATCACCATTCACAAATCAAGAGCCAAAAGGCACATCAGATTTTCCAATCCAAAGACATCCATTCCTATGTGGTCACCTCGTATACCAGCTCAAAATCAAGATCAAGCTAGGGTAAGAGACTAAGAGGAAATGGTGTGAAGATGAGTTCCTCGAAGAGAGAACCCCAAATTAATCAATGTATTGAGAGAATTTTGGCATAAAAAAAACCAGTGGAACCTGTTCATGTCTGTTTTTATTTCTTCCTTTTCGCTAGTTTTCCTTCCATAGTAAAAAAAAAAACAATGCATTTATTAAATGAATTTATTTTTTCATCTCTGCCAGCAGCTACTACCTTTATTTATTTTGGTCAAGATACTCCATGGCATAAACAAAGCAAAAAAAAAAGAGTTACTAGATAAATGAAAACCTTGATAATGAGGCACAATTCTTTTACGAGGCTCGTCAGTATGGTTAACTGAGAATCCAAAAGTGCATCTGCTCATCTATCTGCATTGACATTAGCATCATAGTTCATGCAGGTAGCGAGTAAAAGTAAACAACAGAGCAGATAGGATTTTCCATATTGTTAGTTCGGTTGAATTGAAGTTGAACAACAATAGATTCTTCTTTAATAGAAACACCATCTCTTCAGTCGTGCAGGAATCTCAGAGTAAAAAGTGAGAAAGGAATATAAAACCAGACATTACACGCATTAGCTTATAAGCCAAGAACATGTGTGCACTACGAGTGAAATGTGCATATGTCCGAAAGACAAACTTATGGAAAGATTTCATGCAAGTACAATCCATGACTACATTATCTTTCGTTATTTCATTATAGTTAAATTATAAAACAAAAGAATGTAAAATTACAGACTACTGCTAATGACTAAATTTCTAATAGAGTTTGTTTGAACTATTGATGTGATTAATGTATGCTCAGACAGAGATTTTTCGTACCTGTGATGCTTTTACCTGGATTTTCAGTTATATTTTCTATCTATTCTGTTGCTCTATGCAAACATCAAATTTGGCTAGTACAAACCTATGATCAAGTGCTTCGAGCATCGGTTTTTTTCTGGTCTCAAAAGTGTGTCATTTCACCGGATTTTGTAGAACAAACAATGGATAACAAGGACAAACACTTGTCTAGAATCATACTACATCCACCTGAACTAAATGATGTCTATCGAACACAATTTCACCATTACAAGTCACGATGAACAATTTAGTTGATCTGCTTAAAGTATATATGTAATATATCACTAGAAACACAATAAGTTTACATTATCATGAGATGAAACCTCTAATGTACAGATATTGCTACGAATCAAAATAATGCCGGATGTCAAATCGGAAAATTAAACATTCACACTCAAACAATTTGTACATTCCGCCGTCAAAAATAAGAAAATCCACGATCCAGCGGCTGAGAACTACATACCTGATTCGGAAGTCTGTATTAGAAAATAGAAGATATTCCGCTGCAAAATGGTTCGATCGTGATTGTGCGTTTTCATATGAATACCTCAAGACGAACGGAGTGAATGCAGCAGTAGTCGGTAACTGAATACGTCTGCGAAGAGGCCGGAGGCGACGGCGCAGGCGGTGGCCGAAAAGCGCGCGGCGGACGAGGCTGTATGATGAGGAGAATTAGAGCGTGGGAAGTTTGATAATTACGGAATTGGGCGGGCCACACTCGCTGAAATATAAATTGTCATTTTATATAATTCCATTTATTAACGGGCCAATCTGGCCCAACTACTAAAGCTAGTTCGTTGTTAAATTAATTCAAGAATGATCGTCACGTGAAAAGCACGTGTATTATCAAGAGAAATATGAAAATTATCATAACAATCACTCGAAATAGTGTACTTTTATGAGTTTATCCTTTCTAAAGTAGTAATTAATTCTCAGTATAACAAATCTCGACAACATTGAAACAACAAAATGTAAATCTGTATCCAAGTAAATAAAATATAAAATGTAAAAAAATCACACAAATAATCAAACCTCAAGCCAAGCCCCATAAGACAATATAATGAACAAATAACAAACAATCTAAAAAATCAAATAATAAGTGAAATCAAGCACCCCCATTGACAACTAGATTATCAGCAATCGAAAAGCTCATATCGACTTTCGGAGGGCCAGAGTGCCGCCTCTGCCTAGCTGGCGAAGGAGGAAAAGAAAGCCGTTTCTTAACGGACCCCGCCGGAGAAGAACCCTTCTCCAATGTATTATCATTATTCTCCATTACTCCCAATCTCGACTTAGCTTTCGCCGAATGAGTTGTCGCCATATAACTCGGCACGGAAGAAGGAGAGCTGGCCAAGCTCTCATCGTCTCTAACGGAAGAACCGGCAATGCTGTGCCGCCTGTTGCGTTCTGATTGGACGCTGAAAATGCTTCTAGAATCTTCTTCTTGACTTATTACGGTACTGCCCCCCACTCCTCCTCCTCCTCTTGGGCTCGAAGGCTTCGGTTTTCTAGAGGAGGACGAAGATGCTGCTTTTGAAGGAGTTGACGTTACAATAATATTATTATCGGAGTTTAATTGATGACGGGCGAAAGATTTTGTAATTTCTCCGCCGATATTTGCGGCGGTTTTGGTGGAATCTTTTTCTGGTGTGGTTTGAGATTCCCACGGCCTAGCGGCCATATACCGCTCCAACCAGCTCCATCCCCATTGTGGATTTGTCGGGTCCATGAATAGTAAGTTTGTCGATTTTGATGATTTTTTCCATGTTTGCTGTAATGCCTCATGTTTATCAATAAAAAACGAAAAAACGAACAAGGAAGATTGAAATTCTCATGATATGATTAATAACATTTATTATATATATTCCGTAGAAGGAAGTACCTGATGAGTGAATGAATAAGCAAGTGCTCTTTCGCGCCTCATTGCAGCTTCGAACTTGTGCAGCAAATTGGCCTCGATTTTCTCTTTCGATTGTAGACTGTCGTCCCATTCCTCTCCCATCTGCCACAACAACATTTAGTATAATCTATAATCCTCTTTCGCTTAATTAATTAAACACAAACAATAAACAACACATTGCAAATTCAAGAAACACAATAAATACGAATATAAAAGCCACTATCGACACACCAAACTTTCTTTTTTCATTAATATTCTCCAAAAAAACATCTATATGTGTATATATATATATATATATATATATATATATAGATGACATTAGCGAAAAGAAAAAACTTACTCTCAAACTTTCGAGTTCCTTTGCACGTTTCTGAAGGAGCTGCCTTTGGAGTGCACGATTCTCCTCAGACATTCTAATCCTTCTAGATTGAATCTGAGAGTGCACGCGAGATAAAGTCTGCATGCATTTCAGAGTATTTGCCGTTTGACGTTTCACCGTGGGACCATCAACAAGTGATTTCAGTCTAACCAGCCCTCTTAGAGCTCGTAATGCTCTCCTCGCCTGTAATTACAACAAACCCCAAATTAATAATTATTCGACCAAAAAAAAAATGACTCGTCTAGCCGAAAGAGAAACGAGAAATCAAATGCCAAGGTTATAACAGTTACATTATACGACCAGACTTCTCCATTTTGATCTTTACATTTTGATTTTAACTAGTTAAACCTCGATATCACAAATAAACCGAAGAAGTAAGATAAAATTACCAAATAACCACGGAAGGCAGTTTGGACTTTAATGGCGGCCACTTCCTCGACGGATTTCCCGGCGAACTGAGAAACGGATGTTAATCGAACAACCTCAGCTGCTGCAGCCTCTGCGGCAGCTACTGCCGCCTCGGCAGCTGCAGCAGTAGCAACCGCAACAGAGTAAGCATTTTTAGACTGCTCATTCTCCACCTCCTCTACCAACTTTACATCTTCCAAAAGCGGAAGAGGATGAGGGTGAGATATCGATACCACGGGTTCTTCGTTTGGAGAATCGGAATCGGAAACTGAAACCGATGGCTTTTCTTTCCCAAACCATAGCTTCTTCAATTTATTTGATTTCTGCAAATAAATCATGCACCATTATAATATAAGAATTGTTCATATATCATATTAAAACAAATAAAAAAAAATAAAAAAAAATTGGCATGCATACCTTGGCTTTCTTTTCTTTGGGATCAGAGGTGAGAGCCTTCTTTACTGAAGAAAACCAACTTCCTTTCTTACCCATCTATCTATATATATATGTATATATATATATATATATATCATTCCTCAATTGCCTTAATCTGGTAAAAAAAAATATTAAAAATTTAATAATTACTTGAAATATTCAATCTTTGTGATTAATTACCAAATTAGATGTGACGTAATTATGATTAGTAAATGTGATTTAACACCAAATAATCAAAATCTAAACACACTGGAATCTATTGAAGTATCATAATTCATCAATTTTACTTCATTTTTGTCACCTGCATTTTCTAAACAGTTGCAATCACAAAATCTAAGATTGGAATCAAATTAATCAAGAGAAACTAACCTGATGTGGAGTTGCTCAGATCCCACACAATTAAACTCTTTTTACTTATTTATTTTTACTTCGGAAGAGAGTCAAACCCAAGTCTCAGCTTATATACAATGTGAAGTATTTGTGTGTGTGTGTGTGTGTGTGTGTTTTAAGAAATGAAATCAGATCTTGGGCAGTGGAAAAATTTGAAGGAAAGAGAGGAGAAGATGAGGGAATCAGAAATTCACAGCTGGTTTTGCTAATGTGGGCCCCGCGCTTGACCCATGTGGGCCCAGGTTTCTTAATTATACGCAATTATTAATGTGACTTTAAGTTAGCATAATTAGTATTCTATGTGCCTTTTTTACTTAAATAATTATATTTTGTGTTTGGCCGTTTGCTTAATGACTGGTAATTAAGTTTAAAGTTTAAATTTAATAAAGATGCTTTAAGACTTCAACTTTGCCCGTTTTATATGCTACTTACCTCTCTGAGGCTTTAACAAAGAGAAATGTATCTCAAAAGAATATCACGAAACGCGCCAAATCCTTTCTTTATTTTTTGTTTATGTAATTTTATGGATAAGAAGATGTGAGTGAAGACTGGGGTGTTATGACTTATGCTGGTGTCTTATACTATTTTATATATATGATAAAACCAAAAACATAATGAAAATGAAGATACTATTATATTATCATAAATACATTTCTCTAATATTATATTGTAGAACATCGATAAATTAATATCACAAATTAATAACCCCACTTAAATAATAATTTTTTTTGATCCCGACCCGATAAACACATATTAAATTATTAGTTGGATAATTTAATATTTTACTAAATCAATAAAATTGTGTTATAAATGTATATGGGTTATATTTTTAGTGATAGGTACGTAGAAAAAGTCAAAAAACCATCATCAATAGTTAAATGCTACTAGTTGAGAAAGCATGATAATTTGTTAAGTAGTTAAGGAACATATTGTGGTCATAGACTAAGTAAGTAGCCCTCTCATAATTGCAAGAGTGGACAATATTCATTAATGAAAACCGATGGAATGGAGATGGTTGGATTTTTGTAATAGAGAATATTTATGTAGCTTGAATTATTTAAGGCATTATTTAAACTAGAGCCATGTTTAATGTTTATGTAGGTATCAACTGAGCACAATTAGCACATCATTCCTATATAAACCAGCGTTTGCAGGCCAGTTCATAATGCTGCAATTTTTAGTGATATTAAAAAAAAATTAGGAGCAAAAAGCAGTTCAGCGTAATTTATTTTTCAAGTGCTCTTGAAGCAAATGTTCGATCAGGAGCCGTCATCGGAGACCCAGTTCAAATTAACAGCAATCGTGATTCATAAGTCATTCGAATCAAGGCTATGAAGATAATAAAAATATTAATTTCATAAAAAAAAATAGTAATTATTATTGACAATTCATTTTTCATTTTCTTTTTTTTTTCTTCTCATATATTAAGAGTTGGCAAATAGGTGTATTAGGACTAGGAGTTCGGTGATTTATACAAAGAGTAGGGTGAGTAAAAGAAATTAACAATGTTCTACTTGGGTGACACCCATAGAACTTTATATCTCCCTCCCTCCCTCAGTCTCTCTCTCTCTCTCTCACTCTCTTTCCATCTCTCCCCCCCTCCCTGCTTCATCAAGGGTATTTCTGTTGTACAGTACAATTGCATGGAGAAAGACAAGTGATGCACGATAACTTACGTTATGATAAATTTATACAGGTTAACTTATGAAAGAATGACCCCCGCCATTTGAGGTAAATAAGCAGGTAAACATGGAAGAATTATGACAAATCCCTGCAAACAAGAAATTGGAGATATATTAGCATTAATTGATGTTAACATAATCGTCGAGTGGTATTCGTATTTTCTTGCACAAGCTGAGCATAGAAATCAAATATTGGTGTGTAAAAACAACTTGCCTTAACCTTAGTGTTAAGTAAAGGCAAAAATCCTATCTGCAATTGCTGTTCTGCAAATTGGACATTCCAAACAGGCAAGAGAACATGATTTACATACTGAAACCAAATAAAGACAACGTTAGGTCTGTGTGCTCAATGAGCATAAAAGTGCAAAATTAAACGTAGAACTATAACTTACAGCAAAAATGACGACATGGCAGAAGCATTGCAGCTGAAGGCGATTCAAAGCATACTTTACACACATGAGAATTCGCATCTCCATTTCCAGTGTACCTAAGTTCTTTCTCCTTCATCTCCTGCATGCGAGCCTGAAAGAACAGCTAATTAACAATAACACAACAAAGTTTTTCTTATCTATCTGAATAGCTAATTTGCGAAAATTCACACAAGCATATGCACATTTCTATGCAGTCACTCGGTTCTTTCTATATTTTAAGATAAATTAGAATCTTCAAGAAATAAGAATAACATAAAAAAGAAAGGCATTTTTAAAAGGAAGGAGAAATAAATTTACTTTCAGACGAACAACAAGAGGAGCTTCCTTGGGAATGATAGAAGCCGGAATCGAATTATCTTGAGCACCACCGTTTTGGAGGATTGAATCCTTGCTGTCAACATAATCACTTTTTAAATCACTTATTTGGTCTGTGTTATCTTCATTACGCCTTCCATTAACCACCTTTGATTCTTGCATAACACTGGCCTCTTTCTTCAAACGAGCAACAAGAACCCACATATTTGCCAGGTCGTTTTCCAGGGCAGCCTCTCTCTTCTTTGCCTCGTCCACTTTTTTCCTGTACTCGTCTTCCAAAATTTCCTTTTCAGCTAAGGCAGCCTCTAGATAAGCCTCTCTTTGTCTCCTTGCTTGTAACTCCAGTTTTATATCTTCAGGGTCGAGATTCCACGACTCGAAGTCGTCACTAACCATTCCGGAAAATTCATTTGCTCTGCCAGGTATTCTACCTCTACGGTTTTGCTTGCGACTACCACCATTACTGGAATGACTGCTGGAACTTCTAGAGCTTAACTCACGAGCAGTTTGGATTTCTTTATCTAATTTGGAGTTTTGTAAAGACAGTTTGGTAACTTCACTTGCTAAATTCTTTAGCTCAACTGCAGCAGCAGATGCTAGTTCCTTTGCATAAGAAGCTTCCTCAGACAGTTTCTGATTTTGTACAAGTAATCCACTGTTCTCCTCTAGAATCTGAACTTGTTCTAACTTTAGTTTCTCGTTCTCTATTTCCTGCCAGAGCAGAAAAAGCTTCGATCAGAGTAGAATACCAGAAAATAAAAAGCTTTTAATTCTTTTTGTGGCACAAGACTTCTTCCTATTCAAAAATAGCCAATGATTTGAGAGCAAGATGTGAAAACCTTAGGCCAAAATTCAGAGCACATAAGCTCTAAAAATTATCAAAATTAATTAAGCAATTGAGAATCTTCAAAACTAATTGTGGAACTATGTCACCCACAATAATTGTGCAATATATACTAAGTTGTAAGTCCAAAATTGACAAATGAGCACATTGGAAGATGAAAAACTAAGCTAGGAAAATTGTATCCAAGCAATATTAAGTGGGTTTTAGAAAATATTATTAAAGTATATATAGAGATGTGAAAATTATGTCTCAGAGAAAAAAATTACTACAAATTTACCTGTGACTGAATTTTCTTTCTCAACTCTCCAGTATATACGTCAGGCACACAATTTTCCGAACCATGCGGCTTACTGTCACCAGAGACTGCAGCTAGTTGGTGCTCCAGGCGGATAATCTTCTCTTTTAAATCCTTGTTTTCTGCATTCTGTAAAAGAAGATAGCTACCTTTTAATGGACAAATAAATGACTAAAAGCTAGAAAATGAAGGGTACAGAAAGCAACAGTTTCAAATCTGGAGCGTTTTTGTCTTCCATTATTTTTTTAGTTTGGAAAAGTTATGAGTAACAGCTTAGAAAAAACAAATATATATATATGTACCTTGTTTTCCAGCTCATCTTGAAGAATACGATTGTCTGCTGATGTTATCTGCGTTGCAAGATTAGAGAAGGGTTATTGAAATTAAATAACATCTTCTATTATTCAGTGAGTAAAGAGTGTTTTCCGAGGAAATTGTACTAGCAAATGCCAGATGATAGCTCTTATGAATGGCACAAAGAATTGCCAAGAAAAAGATGCAGAGAAGAAAGAAGAGAAACCTCAAGCTCAAAACTCGTCTCACTACACTGTGCCATCAATTTTGTGACTGTCTGTTACAAGGAAAAAGAACACAATCAAACAAGAAATTTTCAAGTTATGATAAATAAGCAGAGCTGAAACATGTGATTTGCAATGAATAACTCGACCTGCTGCAATTCATTTATAGATGCACTAGCAACTGAAGCTTGACCGTTCTCAACTATACGCTTTTCTATAACTCTCATCTGCTTTTGCTTTTCTTGGATTTCACGCTCCATGATCTGAATCTGTGCATCGAATGCAGACAAGTTTGAAGTACAAAACGATGTGGCAATGTTCCCAGCAAATATGTATCGGCAAATAAATCAAATGAGATCGAATTTCTTATAGGACTTGCACATTGCTCAGGGTTACACAGATAAACTGTGCCCATATTCTGAGTGACATGGACTCAAGTTTGTGATACTCTGATTTAGAGTTAGTGTATAAAATATGCAGCCAGTTTTAATGATCTTTTTCTAATTATTAACCTTTTGAAACTGGTAATAGGCAGACAGTGATTCTTAATTTCTTATCTTACTATTAATTCTTGAAATTGAGTAAGTTCCTTCCTGCATAGAAATATCAGAGATTTAAGAAAGTTTTAAGTTTTTTTTACAAGCACAGAGTCAGAATAAATATGAGTTTTTTAAAATCTGAATCAAGAGAGCACCAGATAAAAGACATGATTCCCTGGAAGTAAGAACTGCATAATGTTAATAAGCAAGGAAAAAAGTAAGCAGGCAATTACTGCAGGGCAAAGACCAAGTAGAAGTTCCATACACTATCAAACTAAACGCTATGAGAGTGAAAAATGCTTGGGACCTACTAATAATTTGCCTGATTATTTTCGAGAATGAAAAATGCGATTAAATTGAAATTATAGATTACCTGAGTTTTTGAGCTTTCAGGGTCATTTACGGACTGCTCTACCAAACGCTTTAGGGTACTGGTAGCAAATGCAATCTCTCCTGCAAGCATCTTCACTTGCTCAACAAGAAGATCCATATGATCGGACATTGTTACCTCATCCTACAATAAATAACAGAGAGGAAAAAAAGTTTGTTGAAAACTATTCAGATCAATTATTACTCCTAAACCAGAATCTATGATCTGAAGGTAACACAATTTATAAGTAGTCAATTTTTTGTATAAGCAAATAATCAAGTCAGGCATAATCAACAAAATGTTTTAGGCATTCACGCATCGACTGCTGATGATGATATTACTACTTCCATATAATGATAATAATATTCAGAAATAAAAGCAAGTAGTCATTTGAGAAGAAAAGGAGTTGGAACATACTATAGACAGTTTTGATGCACAGGAAGAAAGAACCACTAATAAGTTCACCAGCTTGAGTTGTTATAGTTATAGTACTGCCAGCTTGTGAAATATCATCAATCCACTTGCTGGATGATCTTCTATGTTTAAAATGATAAGCATCTGATGTGACAGTTAAAACAGAAGATGAAAAATATTTTTTTTATTCTCGCAATCGAATTTTAGAGAACCATCACAAAGAACATCCAATTTCTGTTAGACAAGAGAACAGCAAAATGGTAAATGATCACGAAATGGACAGTTTTCTTCCAGATTTTATCGTAGAACATACGACAGCTGATATCTTGGAGCACATTCAAGCACAGATCTATGGCAGATGTAGTTACAGCAAAGAAAATAATATATATACAAAACATCTCAAGGTTTCATATGTATATGTTAAATCATTATCAGGAAGGTACATTAAATAACCTAGATGCATCGCTTTAAGCAGCTTCGAAGTGATTTAATTCTAGGGTCGCGATGACAATGATTTAAAGGGAAAAAGCAAGTAAAATTGCTAAAACATAAATAGTAAAATAGTCAACCGGAAAGAGCTACTTACATCATCCTCAGAAGCAGAATGACTCGTTTGGTGAGTTGATATTTCACCCAATGATCCTGGTATTGTGTGTTTTGAGGAAACAAGTATTAACTTTGTTAGCCTTTGAATTCTGCTCATTAGAGCTGCCTTCGCTTCTTCTTCCTCCTCCAATCTTGATTGCATTTTGACTTGTCCTTCTTCCAACTACATAACATTAATAAGCATATGTTTTTACAAAATTGTACAGTAAGTAGAAAAGACTCAAGGAAATAAACATATTTTCATAACGAGATTCAAAGCTACCTGCTGTCTTAAGACCAAAAGTTCTTCATGGTTGACACCAACAAGCACTCCACTCTTAAGTTGATCAAGTTCTTCTTTGAGACATGTTATTTCTCGTTGATACTTCTTGATCAATGATTTTTCATCAATTATCTGAAACATTCAAGAAAAATGATATTTGGTTTCACCATCTAAAATAGGATTTAAGCCCAAGACTTTCATAACCAAACTTACCCTATTGCGTGAGGCGTATATTTCAACACGCTTTGCCCTGCTGGCAAATTTTAATGTATTATGGGTTTCCTCCAAATTACTTGATGCAGGAGTAATTGTGCATATGAGCTGGGGGAAATAAAAACTAAAAGTCAGAAGCCTTTGAAGAATATTAAGTTGGACAAATAACAATCATGTGAGAACCATATAAGCAGGTGAATCAGCAAAAACATTGAGTTATGCAGCAAAAAAATTCAGGCTCACCGAGACATGTCCATGTCCACTTAGTGAAGATTGTAGAAGGCGAGTAAGCTTTGAATCCCGATAAGGTACATGCGATGCCTTCCCTTCACTAAGTTTTCCAATCACCTTCGCATAAAAAACCTTTAAATATCAGTGCAAGGAAAAGAATAGGAAAGATAAATAACTTGTTTATATTCATTAAATCAGATTTCTATCTGATGCTGAAACTCAATATTTGATAATACATTAACAAAGTAGTTTTCTGAGTTAGTGTGTTTCAGTATGTTTACATGTTCAGCATAGGACATTATGTTAACTGTGCCAACAAAAAGAGAAGAATGAACAAAGAGAAAGATAAGGAACCAATAAAAAACAATGAATCAACGATGGGCCCATCGGGTAATAAAAGTTCAATCATACTAACCGTTCCAAGTGTTAGAAGACTTTTATTGATGTAAGATCCTTCCTTTCTCCGTAACCCAGTTGTTTCGGTTTTTGAGCTTTCGGATCCAGCTAAATCAATTAAGTTCTGGATAAAAGAGGCCAAACCAACGTGAAATTTATACACATTGGAAAGTTAAACAACTTTATATGATAAACAAAAATATATTTCCGTTAGTTATGGACAAACGTACCAACTGTGAGAATATAACCCCATCATATTCATCTCCATGTGCACTACTTTCGATCATCTGTGACCAGATAGAATAATTGGCAATTGTGAGGATTAGATATTCAGAGTACAGCAGGCAGAAGAACAAGATAAGAAAAGGAGGGAAAACATACATGCACTAATGCACAGAATTGGGGAAAGGTACACACAATTCACAAAGACACATAATAATTCGAAAAGGATTATATGATGTATTGTCAAATAGGGGCCACATGGTTATATATAAACTCACAAAGCATATATAGGCGGTCAAAAATATATACCTTCATGTTTATACTAAGGAAGAAGCACATAATTAAGTGATATTATAATCACACAATCATAAACGACAGTAAAGCCAAGCACAGTAAACGTACCATCGTGAATATTGTATGGCTACGGCTGCTGAAGAGGTTAAAATTATTTGATCCAACATGACGATGTTCTGCCATAATGTTCGAACACATCAAATAGATCGGTTAACTATTTCTCTCTATCAATATACTGTCACAACATATATTATATATATGCCAAAGTACAAAAAAATTGAGATATTTCACATTTCACTGAGTTTTCTAGGGGAGACAGAGATAACTATACATAATAAGTTAATAAGCCATGGAATTGGATTATAATCTGAACTACATAGATACCTACCAACAAAAGAAGACAATCCATAACACCAGAATGATAAGACTGAGAACATTCATATTGAATTAGAACTCTTGACATAAATATCAGCATTTGATCAATTACAACACTCATACATATACTACAATTAAGTGCCTTCAGATTGACAGGAATTTGGCAAATACTTCTAATTGAGTTGTTTCAGTGGCCTCAATTAACTTCTGATCCATTCATTTCTGCAAGTAGCCAGGAACCTGATTTGAACTGGTGACACGAGGATTTTGTCTATTTGGTTTCATTGTGCATGCTTTACTTGTACTTTTCTTTGTTAATCATTTCCTCATTAATTCCTATTAGAGACATTTATTCGTATTCTAAACACTCAATAATTCTAATTCTAAAGCTTCAGGAATAGGCAAATCAGGCTTCAACAATATATGAATCAATAAATAAAATAGCATGTCAGCAGAAGTGAAAAACTAAGATAAGTACCTTCTCCAGCAGCAATAAATGACAGGGCATGTCCAGGGGACAAAACAACTTCTTCCTTTATACCCTCAACATAAGTTCCCTGTGCACACAGAGCAAATTGGATAAAAATGAGCATAAGATGAAAACTGAAGAAACTGCAGAGCAAATGGATTCAGTTATTGGATGACTGTTAATTCGAGAAATATAAGGTATTTGAATTTTGAACAAAAACTTAAAAATAAATTAATTATTGTTCCATAGTTAGCAAACTTAAGATTTTTAGCTACATAAAAAGTATTATTCACAAATGTCCAACGAGAACGGTCATTTGAGTTCTGGTAATTATTAACTACATAAGTTTTGAAAAGATTTAGACAAAGGCTAAAGGTGACATTATCATTTCAGAATATGCAGATTAGGAATTGGTGATGGTGCAAAAGTAAATCCAAAAGTACGGTAACATTCAGAACAGGGAAGGAAAAGACAATTAGTAAGATAAAAACCTGCACGTCCTCTCTAACACGCAAATTCTGGCCGGTTGGATCCAGCAAGTCATTAATCACCTGGTAGTAGTGTGGATTTAAATAAATCACAATAATTCTCCATCTCCAGTCACATAAATTCCAAATTTATTATATGATAATTTAGTACTAACCTCATTATAGATTTCAATATATGACACTCGAAGTAAGAACTCACGACCTGGAGTCTGAAGAAAATTAACATCAGTCATCCATACATCAAATTACAATATCCCTTATATTACATTAAAGATGCATAAACAAAATAAGAATATGATGCAGAGACATACATCAATTGCTATGATTTCATTTAAGACGAATCAAAATCTCAAACATAGAAAAAGATTCGAACAAACTTACATCTTGGATGATGCTGAAGACATCTTTTATAGCCAATGGTATGATGCCAGGTGAATATTGATCACCCTGATAAGACGTGATGAAAAACAATGAGAGTCATCAATGTGAATTAGGTCATGAGGGCATTGTACATGATACCCCTCTAAACTAACTTGGGAGCAGACAAGAAAACAGAATCAAATGATACAAAACAACAACTATATTGAAACTATAGGCATCCTGGATACAACTTTTGGAAACTTCTCATCAGTATAATCAAGTACCAAACATATCTACATTCATTATGTTCGCAAAATGGCATGTCAAACATCAATATATCAACAAATGGCTACTAACACTATATATTGTATCATTTCTCCAAAAATAATAAATTAATCGTAAGCTCGTTTACATCCTCAGACTGTGAGGTGCAACAAAAAATCAAATAAAGATACTTCATAGTTAAGAATTTAACTTACATGCATAGTGTGTGTCTTTCCACTACTTGTAACACCATAAGCAAATACAGTTCCTGCACATCAACAAATGTTAGTTACAACAAACTATAGTCATGATTGAAATTGAACAAATGTACAAAGAACAACTTTAGAAATTAGAGTCTGCTTAAACAGGTTCAAGTTTATCGCTCTACAATAACCTACTTGAAGTTTTGTTATCATCGAATCAGCATCAATTATCATTCAAATCTTAACTCGAAATAGACTTGAACTGTAACTGAAGCGATTAATTCTACAAATGACAAAATTTAGAAGTAATAGCAAATTGATTGTACCATTAATGCCCTCCATTGCAGCCTTAATTACAGGTCGAGCCGCTACTTCATACACTTCTTCAGTGTGTGTATCAGGACCAAAAACTCTGTCTGTCATAGGAAAAATCAGAAATACGAACGGCAACAGTTAATGATTAAGCAAATTATGGACAAAAATCCAAAGCTATATTGTGAAAATATTAATTCCGGCCTATGGAATATAGACTTCAGATTCAAAATCGCATCATTCATCTTTGAATTTGCGTACAGTTTCAAATAACCGAAATAAATAGAGGGAGAAAAAAAACTTACCAAATGCATAGGCAGTCATCGGATTATACTCATTCCGCACAATATTGTCAGAATCTGCATACCACGCGATCTCATCTCCTTTTTGATATTCCCTTTCACTGCCACAACAGAAAAATGCAAAAAAAATACAAAAATCACTATCTCCATAATCAGAACCCTAGCTCCAAATAATCCCCCAAATCAATCATAAGTTGGATCTATCATTAAGTTCAAATTCACCTCAAAGGCCGAAATCTAATTGTCACCGAAATGCTATCCCCCGATCTCGAAGAACATTCCATGGGCTCGCCTGCCAAGTGGTCATCCACCGATGGATAGCTCGCCGGCGTCCGGCTTCCGTGAAAATCGCCTCTACTCAGGCTTGGCGTCATGGATCTAGTGCCGTACGCCTCGCCGCCGTGAACTGACGTCACAGAAGATGAGCAGGAACGCGGCACTGCACGAACGTTCATCATCGACGATGTGGACGAGGTAGAGGAGTACGGGCTCGAGGGTTTTACATCGTGAAACGGCGAGCTGCTTCTTCCCCTAGAAGATGAGGCCGCCATTTCTCGAAGAAATTACAGCAAATCGAACAAACCAAAACAATAACAATCAAACCTATATTCCAGTTTGTGTTGGTTTCAGTTTTAGTAATGTGTTCTGAATTCGGAGAAAAACAAGAAATTGAGGTGTGGGGGGTGGGGTAGATGAAGAATGTGTCAGAAATCACATGGCGTCAACCATTAAAGTGACGAACATTGTTTTGATTTCTTCCCTGTAAATCTGTAAACGTTTTTTTTTTCAGCAGAGAACAATCTGTGTACATGTGTATGTACTCACACACACACACATACACATTTGTGTCTCTGTGTGAAGAAATGGCTGAAGAAGGGAGAAAGCTTCGTTTCTTCTCCTTCTAGAGAGAGAGAGTAGAGAGAGAGAGCGAGGAGAGAGAAGAGGAGGAGGTGGACTAGTGAGAGGAGTGAGAACGACTGGAGGGGGTTTTTGTTTTTCTTTCTTTTCTTTTATGTTTTTTTGAATTTTAAACGCATTTGATTAAAATAATGGAGAAATTCCGGAGTTAATTAAATACTAATATGTTTAAAAAATAAATTGCTAATGTCAGGGAAGAATTCGTCGTTCCACTTCCAGACCAGAGTAATCGGAGATTAATTTATGTTTTGAAAGATTGAAAATTAAAAAATGAGCGGGAATAACAGTGGGAATCAAGCCGCTTACAGAGCATAAATTGTCAGTATGTCATTAAAAAATTACCAAAGACAAACAAAAGTAACTGACTTGGCAGGTTGGAGACAACTACTCCCTGGAGTGGCGAGTTGAATACACGCGCTTCGCATGAGAGCCAATAACATGTGGGAATTACGAAATTACCCCTTCAACTCCTACGGAACTTTGAGAGTTGACTCAGTCTGCAAAATGTTTTTCCTTCGTCGTGCTATCCAATTACGATTAAGCTGGTCATATCTTCCAAACAGTCATCTATTTAATTTTTAATCTATATAGGGCATGGTTACCAATATTTCATAAATTTAAATTAGATGAGATTGGACTAGTTTTCTACTTACTAATTAATTATTTAGTTAGTATGTTACGTTGTTTGGTATGTAAGATTAGATTTTGTATTAAATCTGTTAAATTCTGATATAGAGGGCGTTTGGCTAAGCTTATAAGATGTTAAAAGGAGCTTATAATATGTTTAAGTACTTATAAGCTCTTCCAAAGTGTTTGGTAATTTTTTAGAAAAAGATCTTAATTTTTTTTAAATAAGTTGTTGGAGAGCAAATAAGATCTTTTTAAATAAGTACATTTACCCCACCTTTTTATTTAAGATCTTATAATGAGTAAAAATAAGAAATAAGCTCATTATCAAACACTCTAAAAATTAATCCTAAAAATAAGATGTAACAGCTTATCAGCTCTTAAAACATCTTATCAGACGTAAGAGCTTATCAGCTGTATAAAATAAGTTTAGCCAAACACCCTCATAATATGTGATTGTATATAAAATATTTTATTTAGTAAAATTAATATGCAGTTTGAAGAATAAAATAGTTTTTTACTTATTTAGTCACCCTCTATTAAATTAATCTCAGGGATGAGTGCTACTAATTTAATGAAAAATATGAACCTTACCAATCAAATGTGTTACTAGTCTCTACTATTTAGTTAGTAGAATATTATAACGATAATCGAACAAATTCATACTTATCAATTTGTAGAATATAAACAATTATATCTACATTTCACAATTCTTTACGTAAGATGACAATCAAGTAGTGCACTTGAGCAAACCAGAGTTGTGTAATTTAGAGGGTGTTTGGCTAAGCTTATAAAATGTTAAAATGAGCTTATAAGATGTTTTAGAGTTTATAAGCTCTTCCAAAGTGTTTGGTAAAATTTAAAAAAAAAAAAATCTTATTTTTTTTTAAAATAAGCTGTTGGAGACCAAATAAGATCTTTTTAAATAAGTACATCTACCCCACATTTTTATTTAAGATCTTATAATGAGTAAAAATAGGAAATAAGCTCATTATCCAAACACTCTAAAAATTAATCATAAAAATAAGATGTAACAGTTTATCAGCTCTAAAAACATCTTATCAGACGTAAGAGCTTATCAGTTGTTTAAAATAAACTTAGCCAAACACCCTCTTAGTAACATTACATAATTGGGTTCTGGATGTAGTCATTTTATCCTTGCCAAAAGCAATAATGGGTGTGAAATTTCATCCAATCATGCAAGTAAGATATAAGAACAAGGTTGGTAAAAAAAATGATGAGCAACGTATTGAAATGTTGGAAGACAAGCTTACCTCAACTAACCCAAACCTAAAACAATGATATTATAAATGGATGTCAAAGGTACATTTTTCTAACGTGGTTGGAACTTGGAATTAAATCTTATACATAAAGTTATCTAAATATCTATCGAACTATGCGTTTGAAATCTTGATTATTAGGTGGATTGTATTATAAATGATTAAATTAAACAACATATATATATCTTTGAATTATGAGAATATATTTTATTTTTGTAGTAGCAATTATGATAATTTTTTTGTGGTTTGAGGTGTATTTGAACTCCATGAACTTAGATTCAATTATATGAACATGTTGACTTGGCTCAACCAATTGAATCTTTATTTATTTTGGCAATTGATCTTTTAAGTTATATATTTGTATCACAATAAATCAACATATAATAAGGATGTAGATGAATAAAGAACTGATCAACAAAAATAAAGAAACGTTTAATCGTGTTTTTACATTCAATTTTTTTTTAATAATAATCAAAATATATTACGCATGAACATACCAACACCATTCTCACTGTTGTTGAAGAAATAAAGAAACACAATTTTTTTTTTTTAATAATAATCAAAATATATTACAAGTATGAACCAATTTAATCGTGTTTTTACGTTCACGGTTTTGTTAATAATAACTCGAGTACTCAAAAAATGACGAAATAATAACTTTTTGATAGTTATTGAACGAGAACGAGATTCAACCAATGCACATATACGGGTGCGAATTCATTTGTTAAAAAAGAGAGAAGCTACATACAAATTTGCCATGTTTAGTGTCACATTAATATTGTAATAACTTCTTTATTTCCTAATTAAATATCATAACAATATAAAATAAATGATTCTTGATGTTACTTTATAAAATGACATTGTCGGTAACATGACCCCCTTTCCTAAGGTTGCTTCTATATTCTCAAATTTTATAAAATGTGCTCACAAATATCCAAAATGTGTATGATGAGTAGAAGCCAAGATATATGATATGTGTATTAATAGTCTCCATCCACTATCATTGACAATAAACATATACAAGGTTCATAGAGCACATGCTACCATTTTGTTTTTATTTCTTTTTTAATTTTACAAGGACAAGATATATTCAATCATTAATAGTAGTATATCACTCCGAGTATCTAATGCTAGCTAATACACATTTAATTTCATGATTTTAAAATCATTAGTTTTACACACACACACAAAAAAAATAAAATTATAACTACACAATAACGCTAAGAGCCGATGTTCGTTCGTTGGGCTTGTCGATATTATTATAATATTTTTTTTAATATTATAAAATTTTTGGTCAATTTGCAAACTAAAATCAGTTAGGAAATATTGCATTTTAAACTTCTAATTTGATTTAAAGATAATAATATTTTTAATAATTTATATTAAATTTGCTTAAATATAATAGTTTCATATTGGTTGGAGTCCAAACTCCAAGAGTCCAAATCGGTAACACTCCATAGCCTAAAGGCCCAATTAATTTTTGGGTTCATTTTCAGTCGGCCCTTTACATAAGTCGCACTTCTATAATAGCGACTTTTCCTTTACCAAACAGAAGTCGCACTATAAAATAAAATGGCGCTCGAATTTTCATTATCTGCTGGCGGAGCTCTGAAGAAATGGTGGCCTCACTTTGCAATACCACATGCTCGTTGCTTCTCCGTCCGCATCTCTCCCAAAATTATACCAGTAAATATTTCTCCCTCCAAATTCATATACTTTTACGATTTTTTTTTTTTTTTTTTTTTTTCTTTTATCATATTTTGATCAGAGAAGAAGGAAAAATAAATAAATTATCTTAAACATATCCCGTTAAATCATTTCAAATTGTGATTTCGTTTGGATGTTTATAATAGTGAATCAGATTAGTTTAATTGAATAGATTAATATTATTTTAAACATAATATGTTTATTTTCGGAGGGAATGATTGATTGGGTGTAAGTTATCTAATGAGATTTCCATGTAGTAGTTGTTGATAGATATATTGATTACTAGATAAATAGATTAATCACGAAATTAATGTATAATGATCTTCATTTTGACATTGCACGGCAGGCGATAAATGTAGTGCACGAAAATTAACTTCGAATAAATCAGAGTTAAGAATAACTAACTCGAGAGCTGGTAAAGTGAACATGGACCTCAATCTCGACGGAGGGGAAAAACTGTATCTCGGAATGGACTTCGGTACATCTGGCGCTCGGTACGCGCTGATCGATAAGGAAGGAGAGCTACGCGCCGAGGGAAAAAGAGAGTATCCTCTTTACATGGTATATTTCAGCCCTCGTTGCAGTTATTTGTATCGTGTTTTTTTGTGTAACGATTTTTTTGTCTTTTTTTTCTAGAAAGAGTGAAGAAACAGTGGATTGGGTAAAATCGTGGAGGACGACACTTTTCGGTCTCTTGGAAGATATTCCGGTTAGTCTTCGCCCAGCCGTCGCTTCCATTTCAATTGACGGTACTTCTGCAACAACAATTATCGTTGACGGGTAAGATAAGACGTGATTAATTTAATAACTAAATTACGCCTTATTTGATGTTTGGTTAGTAGAATAACTTTTTCAGGCCTACCTGCAATTACGAAAAATTAAGCTCTTTTGGACCTCTCCTTGTTCAATTATATAATTCGGTGGAACCAAACGAGGCCTAATTAGTGTCGAATTATATAATTTGGCTGATAAGATAAGCCATGATAATTCAATAATCACGCCTTGTTTGATGTTTGTTTAGTACAATTATATAATTCGGTGGAACCAAACGAGTCCTAATTAGTATCGAATTATATAACTTGGTTGATAAGATAAGCCATGATTAATTTTAATAATAACACCTTATTTGATGTTTGGTTAGTACAATTATACAATTGGGTAACTCATGAGATTACATAATCCGATATCGGCTAATCTTATATCGAGAATCAAACGAGGGGCTTAATAGTCATTTTCCGTCACATTATCTGAATGCAGCAAAACAGGGGAACCCTTGTGTAAGCCTTTCCTATATAACCAGAGCTGTGCAGAAGCTTTACCAATTGTGAAAGCAATAGCACCTCCTAACCACACAGTTTGCTCCGGATCTTCAACACTGTGCAAACTCGTCTCGTGGTGGAATACTTCTTCCGATATACCTAAAATGCCAGCTGTACTATTGCATCAAGCTGATTGGCTGTTGTGGCTTCTTCATGGAAATCTCGGAGTTTCTGATTACAACAATGCCTTGAAAGTATGTATATATATTTATATATATTTCATCAATTAAGTCGATTATATATACAATACATATAATTTTTTTTTCCTCAATTGGAAACGTGACAGGTGGGCTATGATCCAGAAGTAGAGTCGTATCCTCCATGGCTGCTCTCTCAGCCGTATTCCAGCGTTTTGCCACGTGTACAAGCTCCCGGGACCACAATTGGCACTATGAAAGAGAATATCAGAACTCAATTTGGTACTTTCGCCACTACATATAGTTGTAGAGTGAAAAATTTGCATTTTAGTATCATATTATTGGCTAAAAGTAGATGCATGTTGTTGTAATACAAGCATGTGAATAAAACCGAGCTTAATGAATTCGATTTGTCGCTTAAATGCTACGAGACAATGCTTTTAAAAAAAATGTACGATATTAATTACCACACATTACTAACACAAAGAGCTTGAATTTATCCGAAAGATGATCGTTCGGTAATAATTTTCACCGCAAGCATTTTGTAGTGATATTTATAGAATTTATTTCTGGCTAAAGCTCGTATTTTTCATGCTCGGAGAATTTGTTTGTTGATAGGTTTTCGAGAGGATTGTGTTATTTGCACAGGAACTACCGACAGTATAGCAGCCTTTCTCGCAGCACGTGCCAATGAAACCGGAAAAGCTGTAATTATTTTCATCTATTTTTTTCTTTTCTTTTACTGCACTTCGAATTTTTCAGTAGAACTAATGAGTTTATTTATTAACGTACTTTAATTTTCCACCGACAATAAAGGTGACGTCTTTGGGTTCAACACTTGCTATAAAACTACTAAGCACTAAAAGAGTAGAGGATGCTCGTTTCGGTGTGTATAGCCATAGGCTTGACGATAAATGGCTTGTCGGTGGAGCTTCAAACACGGGAGGAGCTGTTCTCAGGCAAATCTTTACTGACGATCAGCTCGTAAAACTGAGCAAGCAGATAAATCCCGCTAAAGCTTCTCCCTTAGACTATTATCCCCTCATTGATGTCGGTGAACGATTTCCTGTGGCAGACCCCAAAATGGAACCCCGGTATTTTTTTTTATTAATTAGTTTAAAGAAAAATAATAATTAAATAGAAAATTAGTAAAGGCATTCTTAATTTTTTTATTTTTTTTTTTTTTTTTTTTTTTGTTTGCAGGTTGAATCCTCGGCCAGAAAGTGATGTTGAGTACTTGCATGGTATTTTGGAGTCGATTGCTCGTATTGAGGTGATTTAAATAAAGTCGTGCATGCGGTGTTGATTTATTTATTTTATATAGTAATAAAAAGGCGAATGTGTTTTTTACGTTGAATATATAGGCAAAGGGGTATAAGTTGTTGAAGGATTTAGGGGCAAGCCGAGTTGATGAAGTGTTTACTGCTGGCGGAGGGTCGAGAAACGAGAAATGGATAGAGATACGAGAGAGGGTGCTTGGTTTGCCTGTGAGGAAGGCGCTTCAAACTGAAGCTGCTTATGGAGCTGCTTTATTAGCCTTGAAAGGTGCCTCTGCTGCTGCTGCACAATAACAACATTTCACACCAGCTAATTATTATTATTATTATTTTTAATTTACTATTACCTTTCGAATTTGCACTTCTAGTTGGTATCAAAAGTTTATTTTCCAGATTTATTTGCTTAATCCATTTGCTCAATTTCTAATCATCCAAAAACTTCAGTAACTATATGCTTCCTAGTCTTGCAATAATTAAAAGTTAAGGGACCAAAACCAACAAGTAACCAAATGGGAAAAAATAAAAATGGTAATTAAAAAAAGTTCAGATTGGGGTGTTGGGAGAATCGAACTCCCGACCTCTCGCACCCGAAGCGAGAATCATACCACTAGACCAAACACCCTGATTGATGTTAAATTGGACAATGTTTAAAGTATATACTTCACTCTGTCTCCACACTCCATTAACTTAACCACACTATTCGAGAGCAAAGAAGAGAAATTTGGAAACAGAAATGGCGACGCTAGCTTCCTCAACCCCACACCTCCTACTGCACCGTCTTATCCTCCGCCGCTCCGTTCCGTTTTTAACTTCGGCTCTATCTCTATCATCCCAACCCAAACGTTCTTTCCCTTCCGTTAGTACGACGCCGTTTACCACCCACTCTCAGTTCTCCACCCGCTCCTCCCTCTTTTCCTCACTCGCTCCTACATTCTCTCTCCCACAGCAACTCGAAAACGACGTCGGTTTACTCGAAGATGTTGAAATTGAATCGGAAAGTGAGGATAATGCAGTTTCTGCTGATGCTGCTGTTGTTGTTGCAGCTTCTTCAGAGGGCTCAAAGAAATCGATTTTAGGGCTAGTTAGACAAACCCCGACGCCGAGCCTTAGTATGAAGGAGAAGAAGGAACTGAGTTCGTACGCGCACAGTTTGGGGAAAAAGCTAAAGTCACAGCAGGTTGGGAAATCAGGCGTCACTGACACTGTTGTTATGGCTTTGATTGAAACACTTGAAGCCAACGAGCTTCTCAAGGTAATCTCTCTCTCTCTCTCTCTCTCTCTCTCTCTAGGGTTAAGCCGTCAAGGATTAAAATTTCATTGTTGGTTCTCTCTATCCAAACTTGAATCCAGCAAAAAATATTCAATTGTATTGGCATGAGCAGTCAAAATTGTGAATATTACTAATATTATTGGTATAATTTCTATAGTTCTCACTGGTATAATTATTATCTTTGAATAATGTCCATGGGTGATAAGAAATATTAAATTATTTTTCAATTTGCTGAAAATATTTTTCCAACAGCTGAAAATACATAATAGTTGTCCTGGAGAGATGGAAGAAGTGGTGAAGCATTTAGAGGAAAGCACCGGTTCATTAGTCGTTGGTCAAATCGGAAGAACGGTGATCCTTTATCGGCCAAGCATGACCAAGCTTAAAGCAGAAGAGAAAAAGAAACAGAATCAACTTCTTCTCTTGAAAAGGCAATCAAGGCCGAGACCACCGTTTCAGGTCTGCTTTCAGTTCCTCGGTTCTTTTTTTTTTTCTTTCCTGCACATAATTCCAAGTTTACAAACTTAATTGCTCGATATGAAAATTTTACTAGTTAAAGACCAACCATAATTGTTCATGTTTGTGAATCAAATTGAAATACCATGGTATATGTTATGAACAAATCGTCTGGTCACCGATGAATGAAAATTGTAGTATCTTTCTTATATGCATTTGGAATTGTTATGGTAATCGTTGGAAGTTTCTTGAATGTAGACTTGGTTAATGACTGAAAGTTGCTCGACTTATGCGGTCTTTAATGGAAATTGCTTGCAGGGTAAAAGGCCGGTGTCGATGGCAGGGCAAGAAACGAGACAATATGGTCGTGGTAGGAGAGGTACTAGCAGATATTGAGCTTCCCTTTGTATTGCAGTGCCATTTTTTTTGTAGTTAGACCAAAATCTGAATCTTTGGCCAATTATTAATGTTTGAGTTTGAACTATATAGTATGAAATATAGTTTATCTTTCAAGAGTTTTACAATTGTAACTCAGTAGTAAGATTTTTTTTTTGGATTGTTAATTAGCCAAATGAATGAAGAAAAAACTCTAGCACAAATTTTCTGACATTAATATCATGGAAATTTCACAATAGATCAGAATCAAAATCCTATCCTCTAAGGTGAAGAGTATAATACTTTTCTTCTAAATACAAGAGCTGATCATGAACAAAATCGAGAAACGATAGAATAAATACAGGCCAATGAGAACTCTTTGAATTCTTCTCGACCTTTGCCTTTGAGCTTTTTTTTCAAATAATAGCAAGAACTTGTGTATTTTTACGATAAATACTGACAAATCGACTTCTATTTAGGAACAATGTTATATAGATTTAAGCTTCCCAACTTGATAACGGGTCAAGTCTTCAGAATAAAGTATACCATTTCGTTTGGTGAGCCGCCACAGAGCAATAGAAAACCGAGCCTGGCCAGAGAAATAATTGTTACACTAATTCAGATATTTTACAACAATTTAAAACTCAGTGGAACAATAGAGGTATCGTAAAACTTACCCATTGGAATGCAACGAGAGTGGACCAACAGCCAGTTAAACCATAACCACCTTTGCTCAACAGCTATTACATATACAAGACATGGTTTTTAGTAGGTTGATGGAGTAAGTAAATAGGTCAATATTTTAATCACGAGTAGCCGTTGAAAATTAACGAACGAATCTACATACCAGCAGGACAAGGGTGCCCACACAAAAGATCCCACTCATTGACATACTAATGAACTTCAAGTCTCGTCCAGCCTGCAAAGTTGATGTGCGCTTTGTTGTCATATAATCAATATTACAAAAATTATACATAAAATCTGAAAATTTTCATCCTTTCCTCTGCCTATCAAAATGCATTTCAACCATTCACTTTAACGACAATTTGGAAAACAATTGAACATACAGTATCAGGTGATTTTGAAAAAATGGAAATCCTTGTAATAACATAAAATTCTGTTGATATAGTTTCGTATTTTCTCACCATGGTGAGGGGAATATAGTGCCGCCCTCCAACCTCTCCATACTGAAATTATGAAGCTGTGGAAATATGGCTACTATGAAAAATGACTCGATTTTTTTCTTTTTCGGAGGTAGTATATAGTATATACAAAACACCACAAACTTTGCTCGAAATATTTTCCTTAACTAGAAAATGACAATTATACATTTATCCACATGTCAATGCATGATAATCATTTGTTATTCCTAATTATATGCATGTTGAACCAGAATTTTCATTTGAGAAAAGATAAGAAGTCGACTGAAGTATACGAAAGAGCCAACATACCAATAGAGTACCCTCGAGGCTATGAGTACTTGGTGTGATGCATAGTGCGAGTGCGTATGGTATCAATACCTTGTGCATCTGCATCGTACAGGATAAATCATATACTTAAAAACATCCGTTTTAATTATTCACTCATTTGCACTTTCGATATATATATATATATATATATATATATATATATATATATATATATATATATATATATATATATCAGCTTACCTCCTGTATGACCTCAGGATCAGGGGAAAAGATTTTAGGGAATAGCCAAGGAACACATGTTCCAATAGATCCTAATATCAACCCACTTAGCGCGCCAATGATAACCAGTGATTTCAGTAGTGTTCGAGCCTGTGAGTGTACATAAAATTTCAGGGAATGTATGACAAAATGTTCCAACTAGTATGTCTTCGTGAATACTAATTCACAAGTAGGAGATGGCATAAGAAAATGTGAGCTACGGAAACACGAGTAATTGATTCTTGAAGGAAAAACTTCTACCTCCTACGATGTGATGCTCATGGAGCTTGTACATTACTAAGGAAATGAACACAAATCAAATAGTACAAACTTGTTAGTAAAGAATACAACCTTTGCTAGATTTCGATTTACTCCGTATATCATCGCTGGCATAAATGATTGGGCTGTTTGTGAAAGAGGCTCACCGAATACAGAACACATACAATACACTTGTATCATAACCTGAAGAAGAGGAGGTTAGGGAAAAGAAAAAAAAAGGATAATACACTGAAGAGCCTTGACATGAAAAAGTTAAAACCTGGTGAGCAGCAACGGTTTTTGTACCCATTGAAGTAGCAAAGTAAACTAGCAGAGAATAAAATGCCACCTGATATTATAGCATCTTAGAACAATGGCAGAAAATTAAAAAAAATGACAGAAAATTAAGAAAAACATCACGAACCTTTGACATCATTGTCACAAATACTGGAGCTGCAAGCTTGAATATGTCAAGGAGTTCATCAGGTGATGGAATAGAGATGGCAAAACCATTATATCCCTTACTGCTCAGAGCTCTAACCATCATGTAAGCTGCAACAACCTAAGAAATATACGTATTAGAGGAAAAATAAAATGAGGGAAAATGAACATATTTCAGAGAAAAATAAAATGAGAGAAAATGAACATGTTCAGGATACCTGAGAAACCATTGTGGCCCATGCCGCGCCAGCAATACCATATCCTAAGAATCTGCATAATACTATGTCACCGATGCCGTTAATTGCAGTTGCAACTGCCAAAGCCTTTAAAGGTCCCCATGAATCTTTCATTCCTAAGCTGTGAAGCAAGAAACCAGGCAGAGCAAATATATTTAAGGAAGAGAGAAATTTAGGATTGTGAACTTGCAACGTTAAGACATTCAGCAAATAAGGTTTTAAATAGGTTATGTTAGACCTTGCACTTTGAGCAACCCATCCAATGAGCACTGCTGGCCATGCTAACCCTCGAATCTGTAAAAAGATATAGTTTACTAACTCAAAATGGAAAGGTGAGATAAAACATAAGCAAAAAATAATTTTCCAGATTCTCTAGGATTAAAAGAAAAATGATTGTAACAAACCTACAAGAAATGAAAATGTACTGAATGGTTTTGCATTACATAAAGCGCCAAATTTCTTAAACATGGATTACACCATTGTAGACTTCAAAATTTATTGTTGAACTAAAATGGTAAACAACGAAAGTCACCATATTAATATTCAACCTCCTGAGGCAGATGCTCTATACAGTTTTAGTTTACAAGATTCTCAGAATCAATGGCCCATTGGCATCACTCGGAATTTCAAAGGTTTCTTCTTTAAAACCATATGGAATTGGCACAGACTTATAAAGAACTTTCAATCTGAAAATCAGCCTTTAATTTCTATGCCTCGGTAGGAAATGACTTTTTGTTGGAGGAAGTGTGAAAATTGTGGTAATTTGGACCCCATTATTTAGCTATAAAGTCCTCAATAATCATTCAAATTTAACTCTAGATACAACGCAACCATGTAAGGAATAAGTGAGAACAAAGCAGGATCCATGACTTGTTATAGTTAAGCATGAGAAAACAATTGGTTAACCTACTAATCAAAGAAACGGTGGATACAGCCAAAACATGAAAACATTACAAATATATAGCAGCCAAGCTAGATGGCGCAGAGAAAATGAACCTGAACATATGTGTTTGCTGCAGTTGTGACATCTGCACGATTTGCCCCCATAAAACCTGCAGATTATGTAAAGAAATTTATCAGCTTAGAATAAATTTCAAAATAACCAAAACAATAAAATCGGAAAAGGTTAAATTTTGTCCTTCTTTACCAGCTAACGCCCAAGGACCATACAACCTTGTAAAGAAAAGCATCAGGAAACCACCAGCCAATCCAATAAACAGCAGGATAGATATCTGATGTTGCACCTCATTTTTATCCTGCGCCACTTAATTGCACCAACATAAACCTTATATCAAAATGCACTTCAAATTCTGAATTCCCAAAACCAACTTGCATATAATGTAATAACTCCAACAAACAGACCTGTCTGGCAAGAGATGTAGCAACCAAATTCGAAGTAGCAATCGAAAGAAACATAAACACGTAGCTCGTATAATCGCAAAACACCGTCCCCGGCCCTGCCAAAATCACATTCAAAAGCACAAAGACATAAATATTCAACCGACCATTAAAACAAATTGCTGTAGGTAAAAAAAAAAATTGAAATTGTTAGGAAAACCTAAAGCAGCAAGCTCAACGGAGCTGCCTTGACCAATAACAGCAGTATCAATTAAACTCATTAGTGGACCACAAATCCATAGCCCAACCGCCGGCCCAGAAAACTTAGCAATTTCCACCATTTGAGTCCACAAGCTCTCATTCTCCGAGAATTCTTGTCCGTCATTCTCAGCAATCTCTTCGGGCAAGTGCGATTCCTCTACTGCAGCAACATTTTCTTTCCTCTCTTCCTCAATTGGTGGAATTTGATCAATGCTCCGAGTAACTTCGTGGCTCGGAGAAATGCAATTGGAAATGTAAATCGGATTGTTTTTTAGCTCAAAAATTCGGAGCGCGGGTTTAGGGAAAACAGAATTTCGATTCAATTTCGTGTTCGTTGTACGGAAATTAGGGTGGTAAGAGTAGTGAAACGGCGCTCTGAGATTCATGACTGAATTTTCTTCAGCGCTTGTTTTAGAGAGAGAGAGAAGAGAGAGAGAGGCGCCAAATACTGAATGAACGAATGATAAGAAGTAGGGAAGGGTCAAGACTCAAGAGGCGTGGAATTGAAAAGTAAAGAATTTAAACATGTTTCTTACCGAAATATACGGGAAGGGTTTTAATTTTATGTAAATTACAACCACCCATGAGGTATGGTTAAATTACAAAAATCCCCTCATGTTTGGATAATTACAACTACCCCTCAACTATAAATTTTCTTATATGTCAACTCTTGCGGTTTCAAATTTAGTGGAATCTTCGAGATTATATGAAATATTATCACTTTTGAACCCGTTTTATCCCATTCGAACTCCACATTATGAAACAAGATGATCATAATATGTGTTTTTAGCTTGTATATATCAGATTGTGGTGCATCAGAAACTGTATTTTACATAAAACAAGTACAAACTAAAGCACATTCCACAAAATCTAGATGATTATGTTGAATTTGACACCATTAATGTGGAGATGTATGAAAAGATTATAGTTGAGGGTAGATATAATTATCCAAACAAGAGGGTTTTTTTCGTAAATTAACCATACCTCAGGGGTGTGGTTGTAATTTACCCTTTAATGTTCAAGTAGTAGACACGACCAAGGCCTGTTTGTTTGATTTGACTGAATAAAGTTTGTTTCTTTTGTATTCTTCCTTGGGAACCAATGGCGTAGCTTCGTTTGCTCTTCCATTTTCCAGCTACCGCTTTCGTTGAGCAGCTTATAACTTATTTTCATTGTCTTTTTTATTCCCACCTACCAAAACAATATAAATCCTGATTTTTCTTCTTATGTGAGATTTAATTTATTTTTTTACATTTTAATTCCAAAAATAATTCTAACAAATTCAATTTGCTTTTCTGAAAATTAAACTTTTTAGAATATCAATTTATTATTATGTATTTCATGTTTTAGGTGAATAGAAAAATGAGACTTACTGCTATTGTTATTACTGAAGATATGAATATTATGGTTCATCAGATAAATTATGTGGATGCGAAAGTAATGCGTTAACAACTTTGTGATGATCGAAGAACTTGGTTTGAAAGATGCTCACTTCATGAACAAAGGAAATGGCAAAGATCCGCCAGGATTTTATTTCCGCGTGAACTAAAATATACAAAAAAAGTTCTTTCATTGGCCGATAATACGATAATTATTTACCATCGTAAGAAAAATATATAAATATTTATGTAAATAATAAGTTTTTGAAAAATGATGGAGAATCTAGAATCATATCATCAGGCACGGTGGCATCGTGGGTCCTGCTATGGTTTCGCCACTACTAATGAATGTGAACTATAGTACATAAGATCTTTCAATAATACACGTAAAAATTTCGAAAAAAGATACGTACAATACTCATCAAAGAGTGGAAAATCAAAGATACATACCTTTTGTGTGTGCAGTTGATGACTACTCCAGTGTGTAACTATACAGTTTTCATCTTCCCAAGTTGAATTTGAGTAGGGTCTTGAGAATATAGTATCCCATCTGGTAAGGTGAGCCGACGCAGCAAAACAGTAAACAGAGACTGTCCAGATAAACTACTAAGTTATAACCCATTTTGAATGAAGTTAGTTATACACTTATACATAAAAAGTAAAAAATAAAAATTCAATGATTTTACAAAACAATAGAAGCTACAAAGAATATACCAACTGAAATGCAACAAGTCCAAACCAACATCCAGATAAACCGTAACCGCTTCTGCTCAACCCCTATACGAATAAGAAACAAATGGACACTAATGCAAACATTCAAATGGAGTGCCAAAATAATGTGTTATTGGGACAAATTAATTACGTACCAAGAGAAGAAGTGTGCACGAACAAGCGATCCCACTCATTGATATGCTTAGGAACTTCAAGTCTCTACCAGCCTGCATGGTTTGACAACCACCTTAAAGTCTGAAAAATGAATAGGCAAATTTGCCGATTCTACATTTCACTTATTCTATATTCATTTGAGTTCAACTTTTCCTCAAAACCAAACTGAGTTCAATTCAGAAGAATCTTCAATAAGGGGGTTGAGAATTAACAGTCAATAGACGTCATCCATGAACTGAAAGCTCCATTCACTTGGAAAATACACTCAGAAGATAATCCGGAAAGAAATATATAAAGACAGAGATGACATACCATCAACGTGCCTTCAAGGCAATTAATAGGTGGTGCAGCACATAGTGCAATGAAGAAAGGGATCAACACCTTCTGCATCTGCACAAGTATAACATTAAATTAAACCGGTCACAATTTTAAACTTAATTTTGAGAAGCATTTTCATCATTCCTCATCAACATGAATTATTCACTAACTGCAATTCAGAACAATTTTTATTCAGCTCGGTAAAAAACTAAATGGTTTATGAGTTATCCAACTTCCAATTAGCAGCAAGAAAGTTAGGTCTTAAGGTATATAATATAGTTGGTGAAACTGTTAATAATTATCAAAATTGAAAGAAAAAAAAAAAAGTAATGATAAAGAAAGAAACTGACCTCATGTATGACTTCAGGATCAGAAGAAAAGATTTTGGGGAATAGCCAAGGAAGTAATGTTCCAATAGATCCCAATATAAGTCCACTTAATGCACCAATGATGACCAGCGATTTCAGTAGTTCTCTGACCTGTTTATACATCATATCTCTAATTGATCAGTTCTTGTGAACGGAGGGACACAGATAAAAAAAGTTGAAGTAAATAAATATGTCATGTAATATTATATATCCAAAAAAATGAACTTTTATACTTTTATTAAGAGTATGATCGGTGTTATTGGATGTCATTATAAGTGTAGGGCACACACGGATGGGATTATAGTATGTGTGTATGACTTTAGAACAGCAAACCTTTGATAAACTTCGATTAGCTCCATATATCAGCTCAGGCATAAATGACTGTGCTGTTTGAGAAAGAGGTTCACCCCAAACAGCGCAGATGCAGTATAATTGTATCATCACCTAATGATTAGGGATATAGTAAGGGTCTTTGAAAATTTGACAAGTAAAAAATATATATTTAAATATATTATAGATCTATGTACACCAGACCTGATGGGCGGCAACAGCTTTTGTACCCATTGCTGTAGCAAAGTAGACGAGCAGAGCATAAAAAACAATCTGCATGAAAAAATATGTCAGAAAATTCTAATGATCATAAGTGAACGGGTGTCGTAAAATTCAGAAACATGAAAGGCGTCATAAACCTTTGACAAAATTGCCACAAATGCTGGAGCTGCAAGCGTGAATATCTGAAGGAATTCATTACGTGATGGAATAGAGATGGCGAAACCGTTATATCCTTTTTTGTTCAAAGCCTCGATCATCATGTAAGCTGCAACGACCTACAACAACCACGCATTAGTCATTACCATTAAACTGAAATGGAATAATATTTCAGATACCAAATATGGATGTGATTTCTGGATCTTGAATTAAGATTGAAAAACGTTTGTACGACACACCTGTGATACCATTGTTGCCCATGCCGCTCCAGCAATACCAAATCCTAGGAATCTGCATAATACTATATCACCAATGCCGTTAATGGCACTTGCAACTGCCAAAGCCTTGACTGGCCCCCATGAATCTTTCATCCCTAGGCTGAATTGCGAAGAATATATTCAACCAACTATCAATTTTGGGAAAATGAATTTGCAATTAAAATAAATAGTTTTCTACAATTGCATGCCAGGACAAATAGATCGGGGGAAGCATCTCAATATGCAGATTCAAAGTATGGATCAAACTATAAGTTTTTTGTGAACTTATAGTCAATGAATCTTAAGACAGTAAATTAAGGCAGAATGTTATCTTAGAGTCCGTTTCACTGAGCATAGCATACAACAGAAAAAATCTAGTACTAATAAAAGACACAACCATTAGGACAATCCATAAAAGGGTTATCAAGAACCACATGTATAAATATATATATATATATATATATATATATATATATATATATATATACACACACACACACAATATATATATAGATACACACACACACACACACACACACACACACACACACACACACACACACACACATACATATATGTATAGAGAGAGATCTTTCATCAACAAAGATCTTAATGCTACCTTGCACTTTGGGCAACCCATCCAACAAGCCATGCCGGCCATACTAACCCACGAATCTGGAAAAATACAACATTTACTAACCAACAACAACGAGAAAGTTCAATCAAGTTAAAGAAAAACATATATGTTGGAGATATTACCAACAAATTTAATTGACTTCTTAAGATTAAATAAGCTGGACAATGGAGTATCTAGAATAGAAGATCTGGCTTAAAACGTTTTACACCTTCACAGAAAATGACTATTTGTGTAGGGAACATTTTGTTAGATTTTCCTTGTCATGTTTGGGTGGATAATTTAACTATTAGATTACTGATTGCATATCTCATTCTAAAGGAATACCGTAACACAGTTTTTGAGGAGAAAACCTAGATCTCAGTCCGGATGTGGGTAAACTAGTACAAATATTGCCGAGCGATGAGGAATAATTCAGACCTGTTGAACGACACAACTTCTTTGATACTTCATGCTATAGCAAAGTACTCGAGAAAATATACTGAAAACAATAACAAGGTCGTGATTATACAGACCTGAACATATGTATTCGCTGCAGTTATGATTTCTGTATTCTTTGCTCCCGTAAAAGCTGGGGATTAATGTAAAGATATTCATCGATCAGAACAGAATAATATACAAAAAAATCATAATAAAAGATATTAAAAAAATACAGAAGTTAGGCCCTCGTTTACCAGTCAATGCCCAACGGCCGTAGCACTTTGTAAAGAAAAGCATAAAGAAACCACAAGCCAATCCAACAAAGAGCAAGGTAGATATCTGATGTTGCACCTCACTTTTATCCTGTGCCCTTGCATGAGAGACATTAACTAACTTCAAACAAAATTACAGTTTAAAGAACTATTGAACTAGTTCGAATATAATGTCTTCAAATCGCCCTCCATATTTCAAATTTAATATACAAACCTGCCTAGCAAGAGACGTAGCAACCAAATTCGATGTGGCAATTGAAAGGAACATAAACAGATAACTCGTATAATCACAGAACACCGTTCCTGGGCCTGAATGAAATTTCACAATGAAAACGAAATCTGGCTATAAATTGTTAAAAATCATAACTAGCTGAACTAGTTGAAAACTGCATTGTATTAACATTTCACAGCTTAATATAGCAGGGTAGCTCAAATTTGAAACAGAGGATAACTAATAATACATAAGGAGGGGGAAAAAAGGGTTTGTATACCTAAAGCAGCGAGTTCGGTGGAGCTGCCTTGACCAACAACAGCAGTATCAATTAAACTCATTAACGGCCCACAGATCCAAAGCCCCACCGCGGGACCAGAAAACTTCACAATCTCAGTCACTTGATCCCACAAACTGCCGTTTTCCGTCAATTCGTCTCCACCGTTGTTTTCAGAAACTTCTTCTAACGTTTGCATCTTCTCCAACACTGATACTTCTACTTCCTTTTCTTCTTCATTTGACGGAAATTGAGTAACGCCGTCTGTTCCACTGCAATTTGTGATAATGCGGTGATTGATTCTACAACTCGTGATTCGGAGATCAGTATTGGGTGAAGTTAATTTTGGATTGAATTTTTGGTTAGGGGTTTGGGCATAAGGGCAGCGAAAGCTGAAGTGGAAGTTGTGAGTTGTAGATTGGAGATTCATGGCGGAAGATTTTGGCGCTCCGCTTCTTCTAGAGAGAGAAAGAAGAGAGAGAAGCGCTTGTGAAGAAGCCGAGCAGGTTACATTTGCAGTAGTACGAACGAATAAGAGGACTGAAATTTTCGCGGTTTTCGTGATTGGTCCAGCCTGGCCATGCACAACCTTTTTAATATTAAATCCTGAAGTTATGGGCTTTAAATGGGCTGACCTGGGCCTGACCATTATGGGCTATAGTTTATCCCGAATAATAAAGGAAAATTACGGCCACCACTTGAGTTATGGTCAAATTACGAAAATCTCCCTCATGTTTGAGTAATTACAATTATCCTTCAATAATATATTATCTTCCGAAAATACCCCTCCAGAGGTAAATTAGGGATGCTAATTTGATAAAACCGAACTGAAGTTTCGATACGCCAACATTTCATACCGTTTACCAAACTGCATATACGATTTGGTTAATAATCGAATTACATTAATTTTATGTAAGATATTTAAAAGGAGTTGGTGACTGTAATTACCCAAACAACATGGATTTTTTCGTAATTTGACCATACTTCAGGGGTTGTCCGTAATTTGCCCAAATAATAATCAAGATTACGTAAAACATGGGTATATTGTAGACATGACCATGGTTACGATTCTAACCCGGACTGAACTGGAACCGAGCTGAACTGGAACCAAACCGTGGTCGACGGTTATAGACCCATAACTCAAAACTGATTTGACCAAAATCGGTCAGGTTACGGTTCCCAAATTTGGAACCGAGAACGGCGGTTTCAAGGGCAGCGTCACCGATTTTCTTAGATTGATTCCTCAAAAGTTGCTAAAAAAATGAATATTTATATTTTTTCAATTAAGAATGTGAAGACTATTTTTTTTCTTTTTTTGGGGGGGTGAGCCGACAACACATAATTATGAAAATTTATTATGAATAGTGCATTAAAAAACATCAAATTTTGGGGGGCGGCTGCCCCCCTTGACATAGCATGGGTAGGCCCCCGGCACGAGCTGAAAAAATGGCACACATGAAACGCCTTACTGTTTCTAACCCTCTTTTTTGAAAATTAATATAGATCATTTATATTATATTATACAATTATTAGTGATTTTACCTAGTTTAATTGCCTCTTAATTCTCCCGGCCATCAACGTTTGACAATTTGGTTGTTACACACTTGAACTATATATAAAAACATATTACTGCTCGAATTTTGACTTGAAAGTTTCAAAAGTCGACCCAAGTTGGGCAATATCTACAGTTAAAGGAAATTATTACAGCCAATAGAAGAAAGAAAAATATACCCAGGAAATTGGTAGAAGAATTATAGAACATTTTTAAATACTCATTTGGTGGAAAAAAGATGTGGTTTCCGATTGTCAATTGTTTTGTTTTTTCAAGTGATTACAAAAGTCATATATATTTCTGTTGTTGACATTAAGCTGTGGGAAAATGAGACTTATCAGTTTTACTAATGTCATGGATGAGCTAAGAGCCTAAGACATTTTAACATTTGGTATTTAGTAGAAAAAAATGGTTCTTAATCGCAATTTATCCTTTTAAGGTGGTGTTTGCAAATGATTATTTAAAAGCAGAAGTTAGTGATTGTGAGTTAAGTCAGTTTTAAGTGCTTATTTCTAAAAGTTGGGGGTGTTTGCAAATATTTATGGAAAATGAACTTAAATAAAAAAAAGTAGGGGTGCTTTTAAAAAAATAGCTTAATGCAAATTATTTTAAGAGAAGCAAAAAACAAAAGTTGATTTTGCAAACACCTGAAAACAAATTATGAGCGAAAAAAGACTCATAATCACTTTCAAAAAGCTTTTCCAAACACCGCCTAAGTAATCTTCTGCATAATAATAATAATAATAATAATAATAATAATAATAATAATATATGATGACTGTTTCCCTCGCGTTTTTTATGTAACTTATTTATTTTCGTCTTTTTTAGATTTCAAATTACTTAAAATTTATTTTGGGACCAAGGTAAAATTATGGCATTATCTTATCAATCAAAGGAGGCCACAAGAAAAAG